TTGTTGTTGACTCCTCCTTGTAGTTCGCTCTCTCGGTTTGATGTAATCCGGTATCGGTATCGCAATGTTGTTATTCGCTATTTTGTAGAACATTGACAAACGTGCCCGTTTTCTTCTTTCTTCAAGAGTTGGGAGATTAAGTTGTTCTCGCATGGATGTTACACTGGCATCACGCTGGTAGTTTCCACAAATGAAACGAAGTGCACGTCTTTGGACCTTCTCTAGTTGGTCTATCTGATTCCGCTTGTTGGGGTCCCATACTACCGAAGCATACTCTAGCTGGGACCGTACGAGGGAGATGTATGCCAGTTTTTTCACTTCTGTTGGACAATGTCTTCCGAGATTTCTCCGAATGAATCCAAGGGTCCTCGAGGCCTTGTTTGTGACTGCATCTACATGCGATTTCCAGCTTAGACGCTCGATCATGTAGCTCGATTCCAAGATATGCTTTGCTGGCCACGCTTAGAAGATCATCTCCCCTCATAGTATTAGTGTGCATAATGGGATGCCTCTTTCTGTGAATTCGCATTGAGTAGCATTTCTTGGCGTTGAATTGCATTTGCCAACGATCAGCCACTCCAAGAGTCTGTCCATATCTGATTGACGTTTTACCGTGTCATCTACAGATGCTATTCTCCGCATCAAAAGGCAATCGTCCGCAAAAAATTTGATAATAGAATCGACCTCGTCACCAATGTCATTTATGAATAAGAGGAACATAAGAGGACCTAGAACTGTGCCCTGAGGCACTCCTGATGTGACATGAACCGACGTTGAAGCCTCTCCATCAACAACCACTCGTTGAGTCCTGGTAGTTAACCAAGTTGATATCCAGCTTAGGGTCACATCACGAATTCAGTAGTATTTCAGCTTACTTAAAAGCCCTAAAACCCCTGATTTCTGGGGGCTCTGCCCCCTGGACCCCACGCCAAATAGTGTCCTGCCAGTTCCACAAATAATAAGGTATCAAAAATGCTCATCTGACCGTAATTAAACGCCTAAAACCCCTGAGCTTCCGGGGCTCTGCTCCCTGGACCCAACCAAGAGCCCTTAGGCGGGCCCCTTGATACTCATCTGACCGTAATTGAGTGCCTAAAACCCTTGAGATTCCGGGGCTCCGCCCCCTGAACCCCAAGCCAATTAGTGACCTGCCAGTGTCACAAATAATAAGGTATCAAAAATGCTCATCTGACCGTAATTAAACGCCTAAAACCCCTGAGCTTCCGGGGCTCGATCTGCTCCCTGGACCCAACCAAGAGCCCTTAGGCGGGCCCCTTGATACTCATCTGACCGTAATTGAGTGCCTAAAACACTTGAGATTCCGGGGCTCCGCCCCCTGAACCCCAAGCCAATTAGTGATCTGCCACTGTAACATATAGGTATCAAAATAATGCTCATCTGACTGTAATTAAATGCCTAAAACTCCTGAACTTCCGGGGCTCTGCCCCCTGGACCCCGCCTATAGGGCCCCTGAGCTTCCGGGGCGGACAAGGTATCAATAAACGCCGGCCAAAAAATAGAGGAGTGAAAAGGAAGAGGACGTAGGAAAAAAGGGAATAGACAAAGAACATTTTTGAAATTCAGACAAGGATTAAGAGTCGAGAACGGTACAACGAGTCGTCTTCTTTCTCTAATAAACTAATGAAACGTCAAAGCTTCCGCGCTTCGTGCGGGTGAGGGGAGGGGGAACTGAATTCAGACGAGGATAATTTACGGTACAACGAATCGTTTCCTTTCTATAATAATTTAATGGAACGTCGAAGCTTCCGCGCTTCGCGCGAAAGGGGGGGGGGGGGGGAATTAATTTAGACAAGGATTAAGAGTCGAGAAGGATACGATGAATCGTCTTCTTTCTCTAATGATTTAATGAAACGTAAAAGCTTCCGCGCTTCGCGTGGGAGGGGGGAAACTGAATTTAGACAAGGATTAAAAGTCATAACGGTACAACGAATCGTCTTCTTTCGCTAATGATTTAATGAAACGTTGAAGCTTCCGCGATTCGCGCGGTAGGGGGGTGGGGAGGGGGAAACTGAATTTAGAGTCGAGAACGGTACAACGAATCGTCTTCTTTCTCTAATGATTTAATGAAACGTAAAAGCTTTCGCGCTTCTCGCGGGATGGGGGGAAACATAATTCAGACGAGGATTATTTTTGGGAATGGTACAACGAATCGTCTTCTTTCTTTAATAATTTATTGAAATGTCAAAGCTTCCGCGCTTCGCGGAGGAGGGAGGGGGAAAACTCGCCCCTCCCTGCACCCACCCACCCCTAATTACGTCACTGCTGGTCACCATTACGTACCAATATTTGGCTCGCATAATTTCAAATTTGGGCCTCCCCCCTAAGAAATCCTGGATCCGCGCCTGGCGTTAAGAGTGATAAAAACATGGGATATAGAAATGGAAAGATGGGTTGGGAGAGGGAGAGAGAGAGAGAGGACATTTTTTTTTTCGGACCCGAAATTTGAAAAATTGTCCGATCAACATTTCGTTCCGTGGGGGGGGGGGGGGGGTAAGGTCGCTTTCTTTAGGTCACCGATTAACATTAAAAAAAAAAAATTAATTAAAAAATAAATAAAAAAATAATGAAGGGGGTGGGTCCTTCCCCCCCCCCCCCCCCCCTTGCGTACGCGCCTGGCACCATAGCTATATATTTTAATGCAGGCGCGTAGCTAGGATCTTATTAAGAGAGGGATGGTAGTGAGCAAGCGTTTCACTTAAAGGGGGTGGGTGAAAGGCCGTTTCATTAACTTATTAGGAAAAGAAAATGATTTGTTGTACCGTTCTCGTCTCCTAATCCTTGTCTGAATGAAGTTTCCCACCTCCCGCGCGGAAGTTTGTATGTTTGATTGAATTATTAAAGAAAGAAGACGATTTGCTGTACCGTTCTCTACTTTTAACCGTAATTGTCTGAATTCAGTTTCTGGCGAAGCGCGGAAGCTTTGACGTTTCATTAAATCATTATAGAAAGTAGACGATTTGCTGTACCGTTCTCTACTCTTAACCGTAATTGTCTGAATTCAGTTTCTGGCGAAGCGCGGAAGCTTTGACGTTTCATTAAATCATTATAGAAAGTAGACGATTTGTTGTACCGTTCTCGACTCTTAATCCTTTTCCTTGTCTGAATTCAGTTTCCCCCTCCCGCGCGAAGCGCGAAAGCTTAGACGTTTCCTTAAATTATTAGAGTAAAAAGACGATTCGTTGTACCGTACTTGACTTTTACTTTTTGTCTATAATCAGCCCCCCCCCCCTCCCGCGCGAAGGGCAAAAGCTTAGACGTTTCCTTAATCATCAGAGAAAGAAGACGATTCGTTGTACCGTTCTCGACTTTAAATCCTTATCTGAATTCAGTTTTTCCCCCTCCCGCGCGAAGCGCGGAAGCTTTGACGTTAAGTTAAATTATTAGAGATAGAAGACGATTCGTTGAACTGTTCTCGACTCTTAATCCTTGTCTAAATGAAGTTTCCCTCTCCCGCGCAAAGCGCGGAAGCTTTGGCGTTTCATCAAAATATTAGAAAAAGGAAGACGATTCGTTGTACTGTGTTGACACTTAATCCATGTTTGAATTTACTTTTTCCGAAAATTTTAAACCTCTGATTTCTTTAGCTGATATTATAGGAAAGTGAAACTTCGAGAAAATACAAGTATTGTAGTCAAGCGTGTACGCAGGGGGGGGGGGGGGGGGGGGGAGGGGTTACCCCCCCCTTCAGTTTGTTTATGTTTGTATTTTGGAGCAACCCCCCCCCCCAACGGAGCGAAATTGCAAATTCTCAAATCGAGACCAAAAAAAAAAAGTGTCCTCTTACCTCCCCCCCCCCCCCCCCCCCCGCTTATCCACCGGCTGGCGGAGTCGTTGCGATTTTTTGGGGGACAAAAAACAAAACAAAAAGTGTCCTCTTACCCCCCCCCCCCCCCCCCCCCCCCCCCCCCCCCCCCCTTGAAAAAATCCTGCGTACGCTATTGATTGTAGTTGTAGTCACTCTCGAAGTCATCACAGCGGATAAAAAGTTACAGTTCGTATAGGGAAAAAAAACTTGTCGGTCGACTGACATTATACATCTCACCGACTTCAAATACCGACGCAGCTGACCCGACAAAGCAACATATTTATGCGTGTCTTTCTTGCTCCCTCGACAGACGACTCCATCCAACAACAACCCTCTCTCTTTTACTCCCACTCCTCCTCTCTCAGGCTCTTACCTCCCCTCTCTCTCTCCTCTCTTTCTTCCTCCGCTTCTTTTGTTTCCCTTTGCTCTCTTCCCCCCCCCCTTGTATTTCTTTTCCTTTCTTTTCTCTCCTCCCTCGTTTTCCTTTTTTCTCTTTCTTTCTTTCTTCTCTTTTCTTTCCTTTCTTTTCCTTTCTTTCCTTTCTTTCCTTTCTTTTCTTTTTTTCTTTTATTTCCCTTCCCTGTCTCCCCCTCCCCTTTTCATTTTTTTTCCCCGACGGCAGCGCATTTTTACCGACAATATCCTGACAGGTGGGGGGTGTCGCACCCCCACACCCCTATTTGGAGACGTCCCTGGCTACAGGCGAGAAAGGGAAAGAAAGAAGAAAAGGTAAGTCGGCGGTTGAAAATTGAGGAATGGATTATGTTGAAATATAAATCAAGGCAGCATCACAGTATTTGCTAGGCCTATAAGTTTTTTTGCACTTTTTCTCAATTTTTCGGGGGGAATGATGATCCCTCCTTAAAAAAAATTGATGGGGGAACGTGTCCCCTCCCCCCGGATCGCCGACCCTGGTCATGAGAGCTGATTACGGTTTTGGACAATCTAAAAGAGTGCCCATCAACGCACCGAAAGAAGAAACAAAATCCATGTAATATCTCTATGATGTCATCACACTGAACAAACGAACGCATCTATGCTTATGCAGGGTCGATATATTTAGGCAAAAACGTGTTCTGGCCGAGCTAGCTAGGTACGGGTACGTACACCACTGATCTCTCCGTAGAGATCAGTGGTACGTACGGGTGTGAGTCTAGCTCGACGACTGATCTATCTTGCGCTCGCATTTCTTTAACTGGAGCGGCCGCGGGAGCGAAGACACTTCACACAAGACCCTTTTGGGGGGAAAATATCGTGTAGAATATTAAAACTAGTAAATTATTTTGACGAGTTTATGAAGATTTCGAAGTTGATGACATCACCATGAAGTTGTCCGATCAGGTAATGAGAAGCTATCGCGTAGCGAAGCTTTTTAAGGACCAAAACACAGAACGGATCAACAGCGTAGACTTCTCACACAACGGGGAAACGCTGATATCAAGCAGTGAAGACGATTCCATCGTAATTTATGATTGTCTGGAGGGAAAGTAAGTTTACTCAATCATGTCAATCCTATCTAAATTACTACATAATTTGACCCCTCTCTCTCTCTATGTGTTTGAACTACTGCGTAGACTTAAGCCTAATAAGTCTGACAACATACATCCCCGTCTACTTAAAGAACTAGCAGATGTGTTAGCTCTACCAATTTCCATTCTTTTCCAAAAGAGTCTTGAAAGTAAACAGCTACCCCAGGACTGGAAATCTGCTAATGTTACCCCAATTTTCAAGAAAGGTAACAAAGGTGATAGTAAAAATTATAGGCCAGTTAGTCTAACAAGCATTATTTGTAAAATGATGGAGAATCTTGTGCGTAAGCAATTGCTTGACCATCTTATGACGAATGATTTGATTTCAGTTCACCAGCATGGGTTTGTAGTTGGTCGGTCTTGCATTACCAATCTTTTAGAGGTGTTGGACCAGTGGACACAGATTTTGGATGATGGAGGCACAGTAGATGCGATATATTTAGACTTTATGAAGGCGTTCGATACGGTGCCTCACCACCGGCTGCTTCTCAAATTAGAGTCATATGGAGTCCGTGGGAATGTACTTGCATGGTTAGAGTCTTTTCTGAGTGGACGGCAGCAAAGAGTAGTGGTCAGAGGCAAGCAGTCTAAGTGGGGCAAAGTACTGAGTGGAGTGCCACAGGGCAGTGTGTTGGGTCCGTGTTTATTTTTGCTATTTGTCAACGACCTTCCAAAAGTTGTGAACTCAAATATTTCAATGTTTGCAGATGATACAAAGTTGTATGTCCGTGCTGATACTGCAAATTTAAGAAAGCAGCTTCAAGAGGATCTGTCACGGATGGAAGAATGGGCTGAGAAATGGCAGCTTCGCTTTCATCCTGATAAGTGTACTGTTTTAAGGCTTGGGAAGTTACCAGCAGATGCCTCTACAGGCTATTGTATGAAAAAGGGGACAGACTCTGTAACACTATCTGTTACCAAAGTAGAAAAGGACCTAGGTGTCCTTGTAGATTCACAACTATCATTTAAAGATCACGTCTCCCAAACAGTTCTCAAAGCAAATCGAGTACTTGGAGTTATCCGTAGGACATTTATGTACCTAAATACTGACACTATGCCGTTTTTGTTTAAAGGCCTCGTTAGGCCCATATTAGAATACGGACAGGCCGCATGGTCCCCGTACAGACTAGGAGAACAGAGGATGTTGGAAAGCGTACAAAGACGTGCAACAAAGATTATTCCTGGCCTTAGAAATTTATCTTACCAGGAGCGCTTGACCAAACTCCAATTACCAACTCTTGTTCACAGGCGTAGAAGGGGGGACATGATCGATGTGTACAAGTACTTGAATGGCTTGTACAATGTGCAAGAGATTCCCTTTAAGTTGAGTACAGAAGATAGAACTCGAGGTCACTGTAGAAAACTAGAAAAGAAATATTCAAGACTAGATATCAGAAAATACTTTTTTAGCAATAGAGTCGTGGAGCTGTGGAACAGTCTCCCAGAAAATGTTGTGGCAGCTGGGTCAGTCAACTCATTCAAGAATAGACTGGATAGTCACTGGTCAAAGAACGCAAGCCTTCTGTATGAGCCGGTCTAGGTGTTGTCTGTTGTTTCATGTTTTACACAACCTCCTCCCTCCACAAATCGCAGTTCCCTGGAAGAATCCTGGATCGATGAACAGGCTTAGACCTATAACATCGTGTATTAAAGTAAAGTAAGTAAGTAGATTGTGGGCATCAAGATAAAGAATTTGAATTTGCATCAATAATTTTTTTTCTTCTTTTTTCTACATTTCTAGGCCCTATTTGAAATTTGATGACATTTATTGACCATGTGTTATTGGTGCCTTTGAGGGAGGGGGTTGTTGATGTCACTGTTAGTTTAAAGGAAGATGTTAATGCTACTGTTACAAATACAATCACATGTTAAGTCTAATAAAGTGTAAATGGGCCAGGGGAGCCCTATCATTTTATGTCTGCGCACTTGCAATCTGCTTCAAACGGACTAGATAGAAATAACCATCTGCAGGTGCATGTGATCAAATCAGTGGTGATAATTTTTATATGGAGAATATTTAACATTTTTTCAGCCTTCCCCATACACAGAGTGTAACCCTTGCTGCAGCCACAAAGGGGGGGGGGGGGGGGGGGGTTAACTAGCCGATTCGCCCTCAGTTTTTCTTTATCTTGATTTGACATAAACAGTTTAATTTAGAAGAAAATGAGGTGCAGTGTAACTGTTAGATGTTATGTACCTGATGTATGTCTGGTGAAAGGTACAGTTAAGTGCGTGCCAATTAAAACAACTGCCGTTATTAATAACGGTACAATTATCCATGTTCTAAGGAAGGGAGTTCTAGAGTCTTGTTGCATCCTGGAAGTAGCTCCTCCAGTAGACCAGCATTCTAAACTTATGGCAAAAGGAACTGTGAAAAGTGTGATCGTTTGGGAATGCCCTCTGTGCAGGGATCATCTAGCCTACTGTTCTGGCAAAAGGAACTATGATCGTTTGGGAATGCCCTCTGTGCAAGGATGATCTACTGTTCTGGCAAAAAGGAACTATGATCTTCTGTGAATGCCCTCTGTGCAGGGATGATGATCTAAATCCCTGCACAGAGGGCATTCCCAGAAGATCACAGTTCCTTTTGCTAGAACGGTCAATGGAGTGAGGCTTGTGAAAAAATAATATATTTACATTTTCTCATTAGTTTTTAAATGTTTTTATGTAACTAGTACGTATCGCTATAATAGAGAGTAGGCCGGCCGACCCAGCTAGCTACATATGGATATGGGTATGGTGCGAGGATACGTATGTCACGCTAGCTAACTATAGGCGCCGATCTTATGCATTCGCGCGAGAAGTGAGATCGAGGCTTTCGTCTTCGATCCAAGGCGGTACTTGGTACTTGGTTACTTGGTTGGGTAATCCCTTTGGCAGCTCACTCAGGAAGCTATACTGGGATGGTAGGTGAGGCAAGTGACTACAAGGAGTGTCATGAATTGCTGGAATGGTGTGTGGACAAAGCACTTGTCAATTTACAGTAAAATATGCTAAGTCCAGTGCAAGTAAAAACCAAGCTAGTAAGCTTATATGATGTGAGAACCAACGAGGGGCTGCATCATTCTGATGGAGGGTAGAGCAGCCTCCTTGAAGTTGGTTATTCCTGTTGCATTGACTGCAGAGCCTGGCAGATGGTTCCAGATCCTTATTGCTCTTGGGTAGTATGAGAACTTGAAGGAGTCGATAGTTGCAACAGGAATTACATACTTCAGGTTGTGGTCATGTCTTCCGAAGTATGTAGCAGGGATAACAATAGTTGGTGCAGGTATGGAGACAAGTCGGTGATGGATCTTGTAGAGAAGGGTGCATTGGTCGAGGATTCGACGTGTGTGAAGCGTGTCCCACCCTAGAGCTGCCACAAGAGCTGATGGTGATGTGGTGTATCTGTAGTCACGGTACACAAAGCGAGCCGCTGTTCTTTGTACTTGCTCTAGCATTTTTGTGACCGTGACGCTGTGTGGGTTCCAAGCCTCCGAGGCATACTCCAATTGGGGGCGCACTAAGGCTGTGTAGGCCCTGGACTTTACATCCCTGGTACAGGGTGAGAGAGTCCTGCGAAGAAGACCTAGAGTACGGCTTGCTTTATGCCGGATGGTTTGGCAGTGCTTGTTCCAACGGAGATCAGCAGCAACCGTTACTCCAAGGTACTTGTACTCTTTCACTCTCGGAATCAGTCCATTTGACAGGTGGTATTCTCGGATGCTGGGAGTACGCTTCCGTGTGATGGTGAGGATAGCGCACTTTTTCACGTTGAAGTCCATCATCCAGTTTGAAGACCACCTGGACAGCTGTTGGAGATCGTCCTTTAGGATTTGATGGTCCTCAGGGCATCGAATCTCACGATAGAGGGTGCTGTCATCTGCGAAGAGACGCATTGTGGACTGGATGTTGTCTTGGATATCGTTGATATACAACAGGAAGAGGGTAGGGCCGATGACGGATCCCTGGGGGACTCCAGATGTTACATCCCTCCATGTTGATTTGGATCCATCAACTACGACTGCCTGCTGTCTATCAGTGAGGAGAGACATTATCCACTGGAGTGAGTCACCACTTATTCCATAGTACTGAAGTTTGGTTGACAGGAGAAGGTGTGGTACTCGATCAAATGCCTTCTTGAAGTCCAAGAAGATTATATCAGCTTGGCTACGCTGCTGTAGGATGGAGGACCAGTCGTGGACGGCTGTTGTCAATTGAGTGGTTGTTGACAACCCTCGTCGGAAGCCATGCTGTGCATCAGTGAGGATATTATTCACTGCAACATGCTTCGACACATGGCTCAGGATGATGTGTTCCATGACTTTGCAGCAAACGCAGGTAAGTGAGATCGGTCTGTAGTTGGAGGGGTCACACTTTTCTCCTGACTTGTGAATAGGGGAAACCAGTGCTTGTTTCCATTGGGCTGGAACGATGCCACTGTTGTAGCTTTGTTGAAACAGGAAGGACAGTGGAGAAGCAATCTCGCGAGCTACCAACTTTAGGAGCTTGGGTGGAAGTTCATCAGGTCCGCTGGCCTTTGAAGGGTCCAGTTGTTGGAGGCGTTTCTCGACACCAGTCCTGTGAACATGCAGGTGACCAATAGTTGGAAAAGGAGAAGGTCCTTTTTGTACAAGAGGTTGGAGTTGGTGAGGAGTGAAGACAGACTGGAAGTAGTCGTTCAGTGTCTCTGCCTTGTCTAATGCTGAGGCGCATAGTTTAGATGGAGTAAGCAAGGTAGGAATACCAATGTTTTCAGAACGACATGTCTTGATGTAAGACCAGAAAGACTTTGGGTTGTCCTTAAGGCTTGCCCCGATGATGTTGTTGACGTACTCACAACGTGCTCTGTGCACATTCTTGGCAACTTGGTTCCTGAATTGTCGGTAGGCTGTCCAAGCTGTGGAGCAAGACTGGCTGTGTGCCTTCTTGAATAGGCTATCTCTCTTCCTCATCTGGCGTTTCAAAGGAGGAGTAATCCAAGGAAGATGTTTCCTTCCTTTGCTCATTTTGGAAGGAATAAGCTCAGACAAACACCTGTTCAAGAAGTTGACAATGATGGACCAGTTTGTCTCCACTGATCTTCTTTCTGGATCTGATTGGAGGAATTCCGTCGCAAATTCGGCTGCTGCATCTCTCAGTTGCTGTTCGTCAGCTTTGTGGAACTGGTAGATCTTCCTCAGGGGCTTGACAGAGATTTTTGGATTTGCAGCAAGAGTAAAAGTGACGATGTTGTGGTCTGATATCCCAGACTTTACGCACACATTCTCAACCAGGGCGGGATTTGACGTCACAACTAGATCCAGGATGTTGTTGGATGAAGGTCGGGTGACTTCCCTTCCCTGCGGGAACACTTTCTAAACTCTTGACTTGGGTCGCGTAATTCGTTCTTATTTATCTGTTTTTATTATTATTTAGTTTAATTTGTGCAAGAGGAATTTCATTGTTTAATAGCGTAAGAGCATGAGAATTGAGTGAAATGCGAGAGTGTTGGCAGCCCTGTATATAAAACATGATAAAATAGGGTTAGGGATAGGGTTAGGGAGTGTTGGGGTTAGATTTCAGGTGGCTGTCTCAAAAGGAAATCTTTCCTAATTTTGTGCTGGTTGTGTTTTTTGTTCAGGCGTATGCTCAGACAAGGGCGCTGTGCAGACATGGGCACTGTAGGCTTTAGCCATTATACGGCATGGTGCGCAATGCCTCCCAGAGAACTGCCTAAAACTACAGTGTGAGTCTCTGATCTTGGAGCCATGTGGAGGCAGCTTAATGGAAACTTGGATCTATGACATACATGTAGCCTACAAATATACAATAAAGCTTTTATATCTTTTTTTCCTTGCAGACCAAAGAGGACTTTGTATAGTAAGAAGTATGGTGTTGACCTCATCCGTTTTACACATGCTCAGAACACAGTCATCTACACATCTAATAAGGTCGATGACACCATCCGTTACTTGTCTCTTCACGATAACAAATATTTGAGATACTTTCCGGGGCATACAAAGAAGTAAGTTTGCACTTTTGCTTTTTGAACTAACAAAGTTATTGATACATGTACGGTAGTTCCATGATAATCATCGTGCATGACATGTACCAGGATTAATGATTTTAAAAAACATGAATACAAAAATTGACAATTTAATTCATAGACCCCAGTAGTACATGTCAAGTACTATTTTTCTTAAATATGACACTGGATAAAATAGTGTTCAATACATTTTAAGGAAGTGATTTAAAATTATTTTTTTTATCAGGATGACTAATTCATTTGGACACCTAAATGAACCTCCTAGAAATTAACAGTACAGATTTACAAAAACATCTCCCCTCCTTAGGTCAATGTTGAGAGAGTCATTTGTGGGGAAGTTGTCCTGGAGGTATTACAGATCAAAGTTTAGTTGTCCGAGAACTGTACATTATTTATGGGGAAAAGTGAAGAGTGTTTGTAGTCTTGGAAATTTTGGCATTTTTTTCAAGTGCATTTATGAATACCTTTTATATTCTTTACCTCTTGTCCTTTTATGCCCTCTAGAAGTGATTGAACAGGTATATATATATATATATATATATTTAAAAAAAAAAAAAAAAAAAAATTTGGAGGGGAGAAAGAAATTAGAACTGTGTCTCACCCTTTTACAGTGCCATTCACTGTCTACTGCTGTCAGTAGGGCACTTTAGCAACGAGACGGTACGCACAGGAGACGGTAACGCGAGCGAAAAAAACAAACTGTGCATGCGCAAACCTGAAATCTCTCCGTCCCGTCGATTTTCAGAACGGTACTCGGCCAACATAGCGTTCGTTCCCTAAACAGGACATAAGAAAGAGAGCTGACAAATAATTTTTATCCAAATCTAACAATGCAGGGCACTACCATGAATACTGAAGATAAAAACGGAATCTACTAGTGTTTCCAATGTCTGTTCGATAAGTAGCTTATTCTATACCTCAATCTACAATAAATTGATGGTTTGGCCGTTAAGGCCTACTTTGGGGGCCCTTTTTCATCGTTATGCATGACGTGCCTGCACGCTGTGCACTACCGCCCACCGTCGGGTCCATTGCCCCGGCGCTCCGGCCAAGCCTCAAGGCACCAGAGCACTAGCAACAAAAGGCAGCAGCGCGGTAATTGGATACGGCTTTTCGTCCCCGTCGCCTTTAGCAGACAGTGAAAGCGCTTAAATATCACGACGGTAACAAGAGTGCGAGACCCGTCACAGTTGGTTAAACGCTCCGTCTCCTGTGCTTTCCGTCTCGTTGCTAAAGCGCCCTAGTGACTTGGTATTCCCAAATTTATTAAACTGTTAATGTAAATGAAATACATGGAACTAGTTTTTGCTAAAAAAAAAATTATATGAGATTACCGGTATTTAAACCTTTTTGTTTGTTGCAGGGTGGTGAGTTTGAGCATGTCACCCATCGATGATAGTTTTCTTTCTGGGTCATTGGATAAGACAATCAGATTATGGGATCTACGGTCCCCTAGCTGTCAGGTAAGTTAAGAATGCATTTGAAAATTTTGAATGTCATTTCAGATCTCTAATCAGTTGAGAATTAATGTAATAATAATTAATAATATATTAGTGTAAAAGGAACAGTACATGTGCACACTGTACCATGAATTGGGTCCTTAGCTGCAGCCGTACAAACCCTTTAGTGATGATTGACAGTATCTGGTGCTGGTATGTGTACTTAGCTCACAGCTACTGATCACTTATCTTCAAATCATCTCCTTGTTTTGATAATGTAGGAAGAGAGAGAGAGAGGGGTCCGGATAGATATAATAATTTACCAAATATATCAAGTAATAGGCGGTGTCCTGGCAAAATTTGTATCATCACGTACTAGTAAAAACATATTCTTTCACATAATTGGTAATAAGAGCTTCCATTTCATTTTTTGAGAGGTAGGCATTTCCAAAACTGGTCTATACCCAGCGCTCAAAATACACGGGGGCGGTGGGCGATTCGCCCCCGTGAGCTACAAAATCGCCCCCGTCAGGTTGCCCACGGGGGCGATTGCAAAATTAAAAAATCGCCCCGTTGGAATTATAAAATAAAGATAATCTTTTCTGTTATAACTTTAACACAATATTGAGTTTCAATTTTCAAATCTTAAACCAATGAAATGGAACTAAGATTAGCGTGCAAGATTTCTTGTTTTTGCGAGTAGGCCTATTATTACCGATTCAGCTCGCAGTGCAGTGCCGCCGTCAGCAGTGGTTATAGGCCTACTGCGCCGTTAGTAGCTGTGCGTGTGCACGCTGCCGCGCCATGTCTGCTGGAGCTGGAGGCGATCGGGCAAGGGCAGAAACATGGTCATGGCCTCGAGAAGTTTTTCGTTGTCAGCAAATAATGAACCTCGACCAGTAAATCAATATTAGGGACTTTTAGATTTGCACGATGAGAACGTGGACTGCAATGTGCGACCTCCTTTTAAGGCACTGCCAGTGCTTAAAAGGACGTCACATGTGATTGCCAGTGCCTTAAAAGGACGTAACATGTCCACGTCCACGTCCATGTCCACGCAAATCTAAAAGTCCCTTTTGAGGAGAAGAGGAAGACCAGAATGTCATGGAATCAGGGGCGGCGATTTCTGTTAATGACCGGGGGGGACACAATGCGAATTTTTTTTAAGAGGATGTTATGCGAGGGAGCGTAGCGACCAAGCGAGATTTTTTTTGCAATTTGATTAGTCTAAACGCTGCACTCTTGGGCCTTCCAGAGCCTAAAAGTGTGTTGCAGTCATTATTCAGTATATGCTATACAATTTGTTTTGAACTTTTTCAAATTTCCAGGGGGGGGACGATCCCCCCCCCCTAAAAAAATTGAGGGGGGGACGTGTCCCCCCCTCATCGCCGCCCCTGCGTGGAATGATATGATAACATGGGCAGATCTACAGCAGGGGGGGGGGGGGTAGGGGGTCCTCCCACCCCCCCCCCCCCCCCCCCCGGCCCCCTTGGGCTGCCAAGTGAAAATGTGATATTAAAGCGGGTGGGAGGGGGATTCTGGAGAGGAGGACTACTAATCTATTTTATTTTTTTCAGGGGGCTGGGGGAAGTGAAGCGCCGTTTTAGCATGACTTTCTTTTTCACTCTTACTTTCACCTATCTCAGATAACCCTAAGTTTTTGGTTGCTGCTTTATATGTAGTTGATGATAATGCATGATTAAAATAAAGAGAGAGAGAGAGAACCACCATCATTTTGCAATGGTTCAGGGTTCGTGTAATGTACATTTGAAACCATTTCTTAGCGTCTCAATCCTAAAAAAATAGCAAAACTATTTTTGAGGAAAAGCATTATACTGAATTAAATAAAGAATAATTTATATTGGATCATACTAATACTAATACGGGCTAAAGACAATGTGGTATTTGTATAGAGGTATTCCAAAATGACATTCTGATAATCAACATTTGTTCTGGTATCATATGTATATACGCATAATACAACTGATCTTTATGATTTCTTAACGTGACATAGCTTCTTCTCCCTCTGCAAACAAAACAGAAAACAAGGTTATTTAATAAAAGGACCATGCGACAAATAATCATTGTGATTCAAATTGATGCAAGGATTTTTTTGAATATGCAATGCTTTTCACCAGAATCTTCTTTGTAAAAATGACTTTTACAAATCTCAGCCATGCAATTCTGCCACTGTGCTGTACTGCTGTATCACTTTGAGATTAGGAGAAGTGTATTATGTAATGGGTATTTTAAATTGAATGGAACGTCTCAACTCAGTAAGCATGGCTGAGATTTGTAAAAGTTGTTTTTACAAAAATGATTCGGGTGAATAATAGTGCTATTCAAACAAATATTCGCATCAATTTGAATCACAATCATTATTTGTCGCTTAATCCCTTTTAATGACCATGTTTTCTTTTTCGTTTGCAAGGGGAGAAGAAGATATGTCACGTTAAAGACATCATAAAGATCAGTGTTGTATGCGTATATATTATATACACAGGCCAGTAACAGCTATGTAGCTTGTAAATTTGTAAGAGGGAAAATGCTGATTGAAATGATAATGATGAAATAGCAAATAATTGAGGAGTATCATAGGTACCAATTCAATGGATATTTGTATTTAGAGCCCCCGTCAGTAATAAAAGAGCCCCCGTGAGCCTTCTCACGGGGGCTCTTTTTTCGGGGGAAGAGCCCCCGTGGACAAAAAATTAATTTGAGCCCTGTCTATACCTTTAAATTATGTAAAATACAGTAGCCTACACTGCACAGGGTTTCCTAGCATGAAAAGTTGCAAAAAACATTGTCAAACCAGCACTGTGCATCCAGTGCTTGACAATTTTTTTGTGATACACTGCAAACAGTGTGCCTTGGGTGTGATTGTTACCTCACAATAGAGTGCGGACAAAGTGTGCAGGTTCTCATAAGCGTAATCGATGCGCAATGAAAATTACACAATACCCGAATGTTGGCTCTATTCTTGCCCGCTAGTTTTAAAGGCATTTTGCCATTGACTTTTCTGATCAGGCACTAAATATTTGTTTATTGGTTAACTGTGTAATATTATTGACCAGCAAGTTACAAACAAAATCCCATTGAATTTTCTGAGCGGTCAAAAATATTTGTTTTGCCTGTAGTTTTGTTGGCTTATCAATAAAAAAACTTTGAGGGAACTGAGTAATAACATTTAAAAATTGCCCTGCACAGATATCTGATACAGTTAATAATACAAAACGTTAGCACTCTCTATCAGGTACCACAATATTAGCAGTGTTTGTATCTATGCATTTCTGTATGTTCCTCTTTACATTTCCTTGTTTCATTGTTTTATGTTTCCTTAGGGTTTGATGCATCTACAAGGCAGACCAGTAGCATCATTTGATCCTGAAGGTCTCATCTTCGCTTGTGGAATCAACTCAGAGATGATTAAACTCTACGACTTGAGATCATTTGACAAGGTAAGTGTAACAAACTTCAGACATACAAAATTTGGCTTGTAACTTGTTGTATTTGTCTGCATATTCTATTTTTTTTAGAAGTATTCCTTCTGGTGTTATTTTGTTTTGTATTTTTAAAACCTGTAGTTTGTAGTGATTGCAGGTCATCTAATGTTGGAAACCCATTGTTTTCACTTTTATGGTTGAGTGAAAGATGGAAAGCTACAACTTTTTCTTTGTTGTCTAAGTTTATTTATGAAAATTGTGATAATTGCCTTTAAGATTTCATCTTCTTGAACAAAAATTGGTAAATACATGTCAAGATTTCTTTCTTCGTTATTATCACATTCAGAATATTGTGTATGTGCTTTTTATCATTGCCCAAAATAAGTTAAATGTAGAAATCTGAGTGATACCTTTAAAAGGTATGTAGCATGATGAAAAGTACAAAGGTATGAATCGTCTAGGCTTGGTTTGAACTCCAGTTCATAAATTTGAAATGAATTTCTTGAATGCTTGGTTGAAGCCAAGGTCATGATAATGAAGTTTATAATGCCCAGTACCCAGAATATTGTTCCATGACTCAGTATTCGTTTTGTCTATTGTACATGATCAGGGTCCTTTTACAACATTCAAGCTGCTTCAAGATAGAGATTGTGACTGGACATCTCTCAAGTTTAGTGCTGATGGAAGGAAGATTCTCATAACAACCAATGGACCTGTTATTAGACTCATAGATGCGTTTACAGGGCAGGCTCAACAGACTTTCATGGTTAGTATATTTGTTCTTATATCTGTTTGGGACTTCCTTCTTGAAAATATACTGTAAATGCAGAAAATTTAGACATGAAATCTTTTGTGATTTGTTGGGGACTACCATTTCTATGGCATGATGGGTAATGGAGGTGCGCGCTTGACCTCTCTCTCTTACTTTAAGTTACTTGTGTTCTATGTTACTGTTAGCCAATAATTTTGTTAATATATGTATCTGTATATGGCATGGAAGCTGCTAGACAACTGCTGAGTGATATAGATTTGTAATGTTTTTAGAATTTGTATTTTACCTGTGCTTCACACTTTACAAAACTGTAGGTGAGTTTTTACATGCTGCCATACTGTGTGACCTGTGTATGTTGCTGTACAGTGTAGTTGACTATTCAAAGTCACCCATCCATTAAGGCTGCGACGGGTAGTTGAATGCTCGAGTACCCGCACGGTTGACAACTACTCGGGTACGATTTCTTGTACCCGAATATTCGGCCGCAAAAAAAAAAAATTTAAAAAAAAAAAAAAATGTCCAGGCCCACGCTTACCCGTGCCAGGAAGAGCGGCGTCCGCTGGCATATTACCGTCGGTAAAAATGTTTCCCAACTCAAGCACTGTCAAACTCACCTTTCAGAAACTGGGACCAAATGTCCAGATTTCTGTTTGGACTTGGAGGAAAATGGATTATTCTGCCATCTTTGGTTTTTAAAACAGCATTGTTTACTGTTATTATTCTTATTAAATCGGTGCCTTCAACTGCAACTCAAAGTAAAGTTGCATGCGTTTTCAGCGAGGGACCTGAGAAACTGCCAAGTGGTATGGTAGTGGCAAAAAAATCAAAAAAATCAAAAAAATCAAAAAAATCAAAAAAATCAAAAAATTCAAAAAAATCAAAAAATTCAAAAAAATTCAAAAAAATTATTAAAAAAATGGCGTCCGAATATTCGAGTATTCGCCTGTGAGCCTGGGAGTGTACTCGGGTACCTCATTACACTGTTGTGCACAGCCCTACCATCCATGTCATTGTTTCTTTTGATATTCATGAATGAGCTCTAGTATAACAATGGAGATAGCCAGATATGTCACCTTTGTTCTGATTGCTACATTCACCAGTACATCTGTTGCAAATTGCCATGTAGTGGTAAAGTATAGAAATTGTAGTCTGATGTCACCATCTAAGGTGAAAGTCATTGGATCGTGTATCTTGTACTATTCCAATACTCATGCAACTTTTAGATTACAACTACTTATACCTCTCATGTAAACCAAGTAGTCCGTAATAGTAATTTTCATCTCCGAAATTTATGGAGGATTCACAGATTTATTGATTTAAAGACATGTCACCATGCTGTCAGAGCTCTTATTCTTTCTAGATTGGATTACTGCAATAGTCTTTATACTGTTTTGTCTGCTAAAGATAGAAGGAAACTTGAAACTGTCCAGAATCGTGCCGCTAGATTAATCTTTGGCCTTGGGTCAAGAACTCATACTTCACCTTTACTTAAGGAGCTCCACTGGTTACCTCTCCACCAACGTGTTCTGTTTAAATTCTGTCTGTATGCTTTTAAAATACTCAATCATCTGGCACCTGAATATCTTAATGACACCCTCCAAATATATACACCAACTCGTAATCTTCGTTCAGCAACCGACACATGTAAACTTAACATTCCCAAATCTAGACTCTCAGCAGCTGAAAAACGCTTTGCAGTAGCTGCATCAAAGACATGGAACAGCATCCCTCTTTCCATAAGAGAAATTACCTGTCTTGCCACCTTCAAAAGATCCCTCAAAATTCACCTTTTCCCCAATGATCTATGTGATATACTTCCTGTACTGTACTTTCTTGTCCTCTTTACATATATTTGTATTTGTAAGCGCTATAGTACTTATTGTTTTTAGCGCTCCTAAATATTCGATATTATTATTATTATTATTATTATTATTATTATTATTATTATTATGATTTAATTGATTACTGAACAAAGTAAATATGAATAATAATTAAGTTATAATATTATTATTATTTATTTTGTATAACTTCTGAATGTTGCCCCATGGTTTGCAATAAGGTCTGATTATTTTGCAAACCTTTTAATATTATTAAAATTGGAAACCGATTCCCCCCTGGTACCTGTTGATCATTACAACTGTTGGGGGTGTTTATTTATTAAAAAATCAATACATATTTCAACTTCACATACTTCCACAACCACATTTTATGTTAGGTAGACAAATCATATTTATTCTTATTTATTTATTTATTTATTTATTTATTCATTCTTTGACTGATTGTTAAATCCTTTAATTGTCCTATATTTTGTTATTATTTTTAGGGTCATCTAAATGGCAAAGGAGCAAGGTTGGAAGCATCCTTCAGTCCAGATGCACAGTATGTTTTATCAGGTATGTACAATGCATCACATTTCAATGTCATATTAGACTTATGTATCACATATTGTCTAATAATGTTAATAATATATCCTTTAATCTTGATCTTTTGGGAATTAATTTACTCATGAGTGAGTTGCCAATTTGTCTTGTGATTTTCAAAGTTTTTCACGTCATTAAAAATTCATAACTTTCTTATTATTAGTTAACCGATTTTGCTCAAACTTTTTTGATTTGTTTGTCTGATTTTTCTGCTTCTATTGAAAGTGAGTTATTTTTGGAGTGGACTTGCCCTTTAAGACTGCAAATTAAGTGCAGACAGCAAGGAATGCCCTAAAACATTGACAAATATGCTCTTTTTAAAGAATCTATGTTTAATGAATGAGGGTAAAATTTGATACCATTTGTCATGCTTAACTCGCAAGTAACCCTAAAGCATCGGGGCAGTGAAGAGAAATGAAACATTGATATCGCAGACCTGGTATCATGGTTGAATCCCCCTTTGAAGGGATAATTCAGTGATGCTATTTCCTGATTGGCTAAAGTTGTATAATTTATTTATTATAGGCAATTAACTGGTATCATTTATAAGTTTCTTTGCAGAAAAGTAAAATATTTTTAAAAGTAGAAAGAATCGTTTTCAGTGTATAAGAAAGAATTATGAGTTGCCTTTGAAACTATGATGTGTTGGATTGTTTACAGGATCTCAGAATGGTATCATACATGTATGGAACACAGAGAATGGGCAGAAGGTAGCCACACTGGAATCCAAACATGAAGATAATCCTATCTACTGTCTGCAGTTCAACCCTAAATTCCTCATGCTTGCCAGCTCATCACAACATATGGTAAGTCAGGAATGTGTGGGAAAGGTAAATCCCATTCAAAAAATATGGTATAGACTGTTGATGTGAAGGGATAAAGCAAATCTTATCTGTTGTTGATATTTGAAGAGCTGGGGTTGGTGATGTGTTGACTATTGAACCATCCTATGCTTTAACATGCATGCTTTTTAGTTAGTTTTCCTTTTGCACAAACTTATTTTAAGGCAGACATTAATGTATAATGTTAAGAAGCATAAATTACTGTTATATGTTCATGGGTGCACATTTATTTTCCCAGCTTTACATACTAGGCAGCTAACCACCACAGCATGGTATAGATTGACAGCCAGGCAGTATAAAATGTGATTTGTGCTAGAGTTATCTGTCACATGCTGTTGACCCGATTTTTTCCCCTCTGTAACTGCAGAGGCCATATAAACTGTATGTCATGAGGGCCTAGAGATGACATATTTTATTTATGATCAGAATGAAAGGAAATCCTCAGAGATATAACAAATACTTGAGGTGGCCAGATCCCTTATCCTCCAATTTGCTTAATATAATGTCTTAATGTGAATTCTTTGTTGTTTCTCTTTTTGCAGGCCTTCTGGTTACCAAACATTGATGAATGACACATGACAGAATAATGGATGAAGAAGGACCAAAATTAAAGACATTCAACACTTCTGTACATAGGACAATCAAGTGTTCTTTGAAATCTGTAAATAGTATCACCTTGATGTGGTTCCTGAACAAGAGACTCATTGAAATTTGAGAACAGGAAAAAACCCACAAACTGTGAAAGCTGCTGGTGGCTGTCTAAACACAACTAGATAGTGATTGTTACTTTTTTAGCAGTCTGGACGCATTACGGTGATCATTGTTACTTCATATAGCTGTCTGAACATTATGAGCTGACCATCATTACTGTGGATTGCTGTCTAAAGACATCGAGCTGAGCTTTGTTACATTTTATAACAGTCTAAATAGAATGAACTGATTATTGTTTGGTATAGCAGTCTGATCACCATTCCTCTGTATTACTGTCTGAGTGTAATAAACTGATTGTATACTGCAGAAGGCTGTCTAAACATAATGAGGTGATCATAATTATTTGATATCGCTGTCTAAGTGTCATGAGCTGATTATTGATACTGTGGATGGCTGCCTAGAAACATAGAACTGAACTTTGTTACTTTTTATAGCAGTCTAAACAGAATGAACTGATTATTGTTTGGTATAGCAGTCTGAACAAAATGAACTGATCACCATTCCTCTGTATCACTGTCTGAGTGTAATGAACTGATCGTTAATACTGTAGATGGCTTTCTAAACACATCGAGCTAATCATTGTTCCTTTTTGCATACACATGTATATACAGTTAACTAAATTATTTATACCCTTACCAAGTTTTGTATGTTTTAAGTACATGTACATGTACGTTAAAAATGTATTTGTCCCAATTCATATTTCTTAAGAATGTGATATTAAAAGGAAAGTCCACCCTGATATCCAGTTGGTTTTAATAAAAGCAGAAAAATGAGAGAAACATATTATTTAAATTTTGAGCAATATCGGAGTAAAAATAAGGAAGAAGTGAATTTTTGAAGTTGTCTTCAGTAAAACTCAAAATGACAACACTGTGACATATCTTGCAAGCTCTTCTCCATTTGCTCTTTCATTTTCCCAGTTATTGAAGATGGATTAGGTTTGTTTCATACAGGGGTTGTATAAAAACATTTACAACAATAAACAATGTCATTTAGGGTGAATGTACAATTGAAACTTTTCATAATGGAAAATATAAAAATGGAAGGGGAGCTCGCAAGATACGTCACAGAGTTGCCAATTTGTGTTTGATTGATTGCACCTACAAAAATTCAAAACTTTCTTAATTTTAATCAATTCTTTCTCAAACTTTCACTGACCTGTTTCTCTCATTTTTCTGCTTCTATGAAAGCCAACTTAATATCAGCATGGACTTCCCCTTTAAAGCGTACATCTAAAAGTATTCAACAAAGGCCCTAATTCAACCAATCCACCTTTCATTCTTGAGTTATGATAAACACAACAATCATCAAATTTACAAGGGGTATAAATAATTAAGTTGTTAAATGTAGCTGTTTGTTTGTAATCAGCTGATTATTGATACTGTAGATGGCTTTCTAAGCACAATCAGAATACTTTGTATAGGCAGTTTGAATACAGTGAGAAATGTGCTAGAGGAATGTCTCTGACAAGGGATGAAAAAAAAAATGTTTAGAAAGGTTTGTCAGAGATGAAAGGATTCTCAGACATTTTACTGAAGTAATGCTGAGAGTGATCTATAATCAAGATAGGTTGCATAGTCCTATTGCATAGTCCTATTGCATAGGTTAGTGTCTTATTCTTCCTAAAAATGGATTGAAATCATATCCTGTGCTGCATAAGTTACTCATTTTTTTGTATTTGCATATTTCTATTAACAAAAAAGACCCTGTTGGTCACATTGAATATTGGATGGGCATGTGTTAATGTATAGTAGTAGGGAATTCAATATAATTCTATCTCTTGGAAATACTTACATATTTGTTCTCACCTTCACTAGAACCTGATCTTCTCTTCAATATGGGCTTTGTCAAAAGTGTATAAAAATTGAGAAATCATTCAATATTATGTCAAATGTGATATGCAAATATCAATCTAATATATGACCTATCATTATAATACTCTGTTCATTTTTACTCAAAATTTATTTAATATTGCTGTCTCAAAAAATGTAAATAACTCTAACTGGAATTACCTTACTTCATAAGTTTGTATACATTGTATTTGTAGTTTTGTATAGGATGTTTGTTAGGGAGTAATTGGTTGAACAGCTATCACTTGACTCATGGTGATTGGTCATATCTGCATGAAATATCACATATGACAGGTGCCTGGGCATCCATGCTTGTCTGCACTCACCCGTTGCACACATTTGACTTGAAAGACAATTCTTAATATAAGAAGAATGACTTGACAAAAAGCCAAGAGGGAGATTGCAGATAATGGATATACACATGTATATTATCATTCTTGACAACTTTCTCTTCCAAATTATGAATATCACTTGCTCCATGGTACGGTACATTGTATTTCTACCAGCCTGAGAATAGCTTAAAGATACTATGTCCCATTTTCAGCCAACATCAAATTCTGTAGAACTTTGCAGGAATTATGGACATATCATGTATGTCCTATCTGTGCAATTTAATCGTTAACAGTGTCCTAATATTCAATTTATGCAAGGAAACCCGTTTACTTTCTTGACTTCACTGTCAGACACTATTGACAGACTGACCGACTCCTTTTTTTTTCTATGGTAATCACATGCGTAAAGCAAGCTGTAAATGGTACATGAGCATTTGTCTACATCAATGACCCAATTCTTGTAATGGCCAAAAATAAACTAATGAATTTTTGCTCAGCACAAAATGAACGAACATTCAGTACAAGGGTCTGAAAATCAGACTATTACTTTTAGTGAATCTAATCGCCAAAGTCGATTCAACAACTAATGGTCGTTATTTTCCACTTAGAGACATTTTCAAGCCCTTTCGTTTTGAGGGAAGTTCTAAATTAGTATTATCTTTCAAATACCTATGGAATTTAACCTTTTCATTTGTTGCGCCTGCAAATGGGACATAGTACCTTTAACATAGCATCACTTGGCAATTCTAAATTTGTCAGTGCATAACCGCGGAGCATGCAGTATGATGCAGTAAGATGTCAGAATGAACCTTTTCATTGGACAATGATCTTTGAGTGTCTAAACTACATGTATAAGAACATTGAGGGATCTTCTTCACTTCCTGATAGGCCCCTCTAAACTCCCTTTGCCTCATCTCTTCATACTGCCTTTGCTTCATCGTCCTAAATATGGGTATGGTACCCTTTCTTTTGCAGAGTCGTGTGTATTTGTACCACAGAGTCTGCACTCCTAAAAGTAATTTGACTTTTTTTCTTTTTCATTTGGCCAATGTTTATTTTCCCATGCATGTATAGCATTTCTCATCTTCAGATCCATTGAAGAAGATTATGTGACTTGAAATTTCATTTATGATAGGACATTATAAATCAGACTAGATTACTACACATACAGGGATGATTAAAACATTCATAATCAACAATCAGAGACTACTAAGACGTATGCATGCATTTACAGGAGCAGTATGATAGTACAGTCAAACCTGTCTATAGCGGCCACCCAAGGGAAACACAAACAGTGGCCTTTGTAGACAGGTGGTCTTTGTAGACAGGTTCCTTTATTACATGATTCAATGAGAATCCATTTTCAAGGGAAACAACAAATGTGGCCTTTGTAGACAGGTGGTCTTTGTAGGCAGGTCGTCACTAAAGCAGGTGTGACTGTACAAAGCTTGTAAGTTTTACTTGTCTCAAATCCCAACATGTTGAGACCCATGAATATTTATGTCACTCATATTTTTGTAAGTGTTTGAAGAAATGGGTTTGCTCTGCTGAGCTTGAATACAGTTCAGTATGTTTTGTACTGCAATAATATAATATTTGAAATGGAGACTTTCATTGTTTTCTTTTATTTAACACACCTTATGTTAAGTAGACTGGTCTTTCTTCCTGTCGCTCCATCCCCACCCCACCCCCCCCCCCCCCTCTCTCTCTCTCATTACTGGTGCCTACATGTATACCATTCTTCATGACTATCACTATCTCTTTTACTTTGTTATGTCTATCTTTCTCTACCTGCATCTGTAACTCCATTTTTTTGCTCATGGTTAACTGTATGGTAAATATAAAACAAACATACAACAACAAACTGAAAAGAAATGCATAATACAATGTGCTCTGTTTACCTCTATCTGTCAATATCTTTTCGTCTCTCTCCCTCTCTCTTTCAATGTCCTAATGTCCTTTTTAATTACCTGTCCATGGGATCCCAGTTAGATTGCTTAGAGAGAAATATCTTGAATGATAAGATCCAAAGAGACATCGATACAAATGGCACGAGTATTTGCAGTTTGTTATGGGAGTAAGTTGGTAGATAATATTTTCCCCCCTTCCACAGGGATCCTTTATTAAATAATATCGTTCACATTATTATGTATACAAGAATTGATTTTTACATGCAGAATTTCAAAATAATATTCTTGGCCATTCAAAAATAAGAAAATACATTTATAGATATCAGTTACAAATTGAAGTTCCCTTTTTTGTCTCGCCTGCGTAGCAAAAAGCGAGACATAGGCGCCGCTTTTCCGGTGACGGCGGCGGCGACGGCGACGGCGACGGCGACGGCGTCAACATCAAAAACTTAACCTAAGGTTAAGTTTTCGAATTTTTGGTATAATTTTTAAAGTATAAGTTCTTAGTCAATGAAACTTTGACTATAGGGTAATCAAGTATCCCCAATCATGTGAGTAGAATTTCAGATCACAAAGTCAAGGTCAAAGGTCATTTCAGGTCAACAGACTTGGACTATGTTGTAGCATCATCATCGAAAACTTAACCTAAGGTTAAGTTTTTGAATTTTTGATATAATTTTGAAAGTATAATTTCTTAGTCAATGAAACTTGGACTATAGGGTTATCAAGTCTCCCCAATCATGTGAGTAGAATTTCAGGTCACTAAGTTAAGGTCAAAGGCCATTTAAGGTCAACAAACTTAGACTTTGTTGTGGCATCAACATTAAGATTTTCAAAATGCTTCTTCTTCGTTATTTTTCAACCGATTTTGATTCTGATTGTTTCATATGATTAAATTTCTACACAGAATCGTGAAATTCATTATCTATGCTAATTTATGCAAATTTATGCAAATTTATTCGAAATCACAAAAAAGGCTTCTTCTCCTTCATTTCTCAACCGATTTTGATTTGATTTGCTTTATATCGTAGAGCTAACTTTGGTACACTAAACTTCTACACAGAATTTTGAAATTGTTCTCCATTAATTAATTATGGTAATTTATGCAAATTTATTCCAAAAATAACAAAAATTGCTTCTTTTCCCTCATTTCTTGACCGATTTTGCTTTATCTGGTAGAGCTAAATTTGGAACAATAAACTTCTACACAGAATTGTGAGATTTTGCTCCATTGATTATTTATGGTACTTTATGCAAATGAAATGAAATATGTCCCTTCCAGGGCATCAAATTTCTATTTTTTGACCAGTTCAAAAGTGTACCACATAAAATTTACGATATTTGTTGTTGTGAGATGCGGATGAGCGCTACGTCATTGACGTTCTGGTTTATCATATTGAATTGCGTTATGCAGGCGAGACCGCCGAGAGCGTTTCCCTTGTTTAAAATAAATATCACAGATTTAGTTGGCAAAATGATTTTTAGAAGAAATAAACAATCAGAAACACTTTGCAAAAACCAACCACTTTTTCATAAATTTCTTTTCTTTCAGATTTGTTTTACATATATACTTTTCCATGTTATAATAACACTTTATCGCTGATATTATGTTTTCAAAAACTGGCAAACAATGTTTGCATTTTGCTGCAAAAATGTCTTTCCTGGCTATAATCATAATACAGTTGAGGGCACTGTTATTATTACCGTGAAGCCCAAACAACTTATTTTGATTTCTAAATGTACATTATTACGGGACATCCAATACTCAAGTTTAGACGATATTTTGTTTGTATGAATACAGTAACAAAATAAATGTATTATCGTTTCTATACTGTTATTACAGAATGTACATAAGTTATCTGTTACTAATTTAAATCTTAACAAAGCATCTTTCATATAAAGAATTATATTCAGTAACTTAAACTGAAACCAGCTCATCGACAATTGAATTAAAGGGAAGAAGATAATATGAACTCCATACAATATTGTCAAGGCCAAACTCCTGTTTCCACTTTGTAAGACTTTTACGTTCCTTTATCTTATGCTTCAATAATGAACGGTATTATGTGCACAACCCTTTTTCACTTTTATTATTAATAACAATGCTTCCGGGATGATACATGTAGGTTCAATGACCTTTGGTATGACATTTTCATTAAAACCCAATCGAATAGCATGACAAAAGCCATAATATTGAAGAAAGTTTACATGTACATTGTATTTACGTTGAAAATCAAAATATGAGAGAAATGATCCATCTGTTTTTAAAACATCGTTAACAAAACGTACCCCCTTAGCGCACCAAGACTTATAATAAATTACGTTATCATTAACTTTTATTTTAGGGTTATTCCAAAGGGGTTGACATGCAATATCATTTACAGTGAATTGAGTAAGGTCTGGAAAGGCTAATAACCTTTTCCCAAAATGGGTTGCGCATTGTAGTGGCTAATTCTTTGTAAAATTCAGCCCCCATGAATAACTGAAGAGATGTATACGATGGAGGTAAAAATGATAGAAACATAATTTATGAAGAGTGAAACTTTCAGAACAAATAAATCTTCTTTTCCATGATATCTTAAGTGATTTAGAATGCATACAAATATCAGTCACTTTTACCCAACCTTCATTGTACAATTGGCCCGTTTGTTTCCTACTTATTTTATCACGTTTGCCATGCTATATAAATTCGAAAACACGTCGATTGATATCCTTCATAATTTCTAATTTTGGTTCAGGAAGAGATAAAAATAGGTAGTTCAATTTGGGTATAAATAAGGATTTTACTATGGTAACTCTTCCTAAGGGAGTCAATGTTCTTTTGGTTGGTATATAGATTATGATCAATAATGCTAATTTATACTGTATCCATCTAAAGTCTACACTGTCCAACGTCTCTAGACTCTTCATCAAGTCTGTCATCTGATTCAATCGGTTCAACAACTGGGTGGTGATAGGGTAACGTTAATTCCCTATTTTTGTTTAAATTGTATAGAATGGATAGTTTGCCCAAGAAAGGGGGAGGTGAGATAAGGGGAGAGATGAAGGAAACTGGAAAACAACGTGAGATAAGTAGAAGGAGATAGATTGCTCGAAAATGCACTTCAAAGATGATCGTATTATGTGAATCAGTCTTTGAAATTTATACCATAACAAAGTGTCTTTTTCCCCCTCTTTCGCTTTCTCGCAAAATTAATAAATCAGGATGATTCCTATAGCAACGAATTACCGAAGTAATGGGATAAGGGGAGAGATGAAGGAAACTGGAAAACAACGTGAGATAAGTAGAAGGAGATAGATTGCTCGAAAATGCACTTCAAAGATGATCGTATTATGTGAATCAGTCACGTGGGGACATCATGCTAAGTGTTAAATGAAATATCTTGTAAACTTGTAAGAGGTGCATTGAATGATTATTGAATAATGTGTTAAGGTTATTCGTCTGTGTCCTTGATGAAGTGTACAGCAGAGAAGAAAGAGAAATGGAGATAAGAGAGAAAGATAGAAGACAGACGGGAAATTTCCCAACTCTAAAGGGACAAGGCGTACATCCGGGCCTGGTCAAGCGCTTTTCGACCGGGGTATCGCGACAGACTTTAGTTAAATTACATATTATATTTTGGAATAACGTCAACTTGATGGAATCAAAGTATCGGAAACTGCAAGATGAGAAAGTAACATTTCGAAGAACGTGCAGTTTCTTTGCAGGCAGCGAGGTCCATGAATATCCCCATACGATGAAATGACGATATTCGGGTACCTCGATGTTTAAATCTTCAGTTCAAAATTTGGCAGCATGGTGCTCAAATATAACTTTTTGTTACATTTCTTTTTATATCGAAATGAAATTTATACCATAACAAAGTGTCTTTTCCCCCCTCTTTCGCTTTCTCGCAAAATTAATAAATCAGGATGATTCCTATAGCAACGAATTACCGAAGTTGCGATTTTACATTATTTATCTAGTGTACATGATGACTCAATAACACTTTTTGGCCAAAGTAAAAGAGCCCTTTTTGCTCGCTCGCTTGCAATATTTGGGACAAGGATATTTCAGTATATTTCAGGCAAGAGGCTCTTACAGCCCTCATGCGAAAATGTGCATGTACGTCTGTGGGTATGAAGGATGGAAAACAAATCCTCTTTAATAATGTTGGATTGTTCAAATCGAAACTTTTTAACTCCTAAAAAGGTGCCGTGAATAAAAAAAAATAGTCGAAAAACGCTGGTTTATTAGACTAAACACTTGTGCCCCCCCCCCCCCCCCCCCGCACCAAGGAATGAGCCCACGCTATGCAAAACATGATGAAAATGCATGCAGGATTACCGTTAGTACAAAGGAGATTTCCCCTTTTCTCTCCTTACTTCTTAATTTGTTTTCTTTCAGTTTTCTTTCATGTTTTCCGTTCTTTCCGTCTTACTAACCAATCATACAGGAAGAAATATTTACAGACGCATAGGAAGAGAAGTAACCACAACCAATCTCCTTCCCTGAACCTTTCGCCCTATATAATATAGTGATAACCATGAAAAATACACACACAAAAAAGTGAAAACTTCCGTTTCCTTTATCAAGATTCATTGCTGTATAATTCCCTTATATACATGTACTTAGATATTATGAAGACAGTGTAAAAGTTACGTTTATGTTTTATGGACGATTAAATCAGTTGAATCATTTTTTGTGGGGGGAGGGGGAGGCTTAAGCCACTCTTTGCCTATTGAATCGCTACAGATGAAGAAATTAATTGCACACACGGTATATTATCCTCTCACTATTCTGTGAAAACTAATAGAAAACAGATTATTTAAAATAGTAATCGAATTTGACATGGTCATAATATCATTTTACTTGATCTTCTGCAGTTCAGACATGCCAAACACTCGTTAAGAGGATTATTACAGTAGATGAAAATTAGATAAGTATATTGTTTAATTCTGTTATGCATGCGTGGGACTTAATGCATATTCATAATTATATCGAGTTTGTAAGTTCATTGATAAGTCGCAAATTCATTTATATATAGTCAATAATCGAAGTAAATAAGTATAACAATTAGTAAAATGTTTACAAGGCCTTGAACTTATCGATGTCAATATGAAGTGCATAATAAAAAAGCTATTCAGTATGTTGTTGAAACGATATAGATGGGATATCTACAATCATCTTCAGGAAAGGAATCGAAGTTAGACACAATTTTTTTTTATCTTCTTATCATCGGACAGTTCATTACTAAGATTGTACACACTAATGATATAGGCTTTCTTATCGTTGTATATCACTATGAACATGACTGACAATGAGAGCGGACAAAATATACAGTTCCTCAGGTAGACAAAGGAACATCCCTTCACAGCTATTATGTAAAAAGGTGAATATGCATGTGACACCTGTTCTACACATTTTTACATAATAGCAGTAAGGGATGTTCCTTTGTCTACCTGAGGAACTGTATATTTTGTCCGCTCTCATTGTCAGTCATGTTCATAGTGTATGCTGCCGCATCTGTTTGCTATTATGACTCATGTTGTGGGTTTTTTCTCTTTCCTTGAATGCAAATAAGGAAATATATATAAAAGATGAAAGAAAGTTTTCTTTTATAAAACCACGCAATTCCGGAGAAGGTAAAACGGACATGATGCTATGACTTCCTGGCTGGTGCAACACTCGGTGGTTGGGTTGGGCTGGAAAGAGAAAAACTGCATGTATATACAACTGAGCAATCGCAGACAGAGAATATAAATAAAGAATGAGAGAGTCAGGGAGTCATTCTATAGATTGAAGTTTCTCTTCTATACCATTCAAGAAAAGATATCATACAATGAAATCGTCCAGTGGTCTATTGTTGGTGGTGTTAACCCTTTCTTTTAATGAAGGTGAGTGTTTTGATTACATGCATCTCTTTCCTGTTTTATATTTTAAAATTTGATGTCTTTGTTGGTATTTCATATCCCAAAGTTACATGACAAAATTAATATTAATAATCTCTCATTTCCGTAAAAAGTCTTGATGTCATATTTCAAAGGGACCTTTCAACCCTTTTTGTCAACCAAGCAAGATTGCATTATCATAAAGTTTTAACGTCAAAAAGTGTCTACACTCACATTACGTCTTCAATATTATTGTATGAATATGTATAAATAGGAAAAGAAGAAACATTACCGCTGACTATATTTTCATTGAATTCTTTCTTAGGGTTGGCCAAGCCTGTGTTCGAGTTTGAGGATTGGAGGATTGGTGAAGATAACAATATGGCAGACCCTTCTCAGGATGCAGACATGGAGCCAAGAAGCTTCTTAGTGCAATCATCATGGGTATCGAGTTCAAACGATGATTCAGGATCTGGTGATGCCTACTCGGGATCTGGTGATTACAGTGACTGGCTTAGTACGTCTGGATCAGAATCTGGATCAGGATCAGTATCAGAATCAGGATCCGGATCAGAATCAGAATCAGAATCAGCATCAGCATCAGGATCAGGATCAGGATTTATGTCGGAAGAAATAAGAGTTTCTGAACTTAAGCAATTCATACCACTATATTTGCATCATGCACACATCGCTTTAGAATGAACTCTCTATCGAATCAGATAGTTGAAGGTTGTTGAGGATTATGACGAATCAGATTGTAATGATCATTTTATATGTTGTGAATGGCATCAAACAATAATATTCCAAAAATATCCCAATACATAAATTATATAATATATAGAAGTTGTTTCTTTTCATTTAATTTTTAAAGTTATATAGGCCTATATACCGTGTGAGTCCAAACAAAATTTACACCTAGACAATTGCTAATTATCTTTAAAATCATCTGTGAACAGTAGCTTATTATAAATCTTATGAAAGAGTGTTTTATCCTGAATCTTTTGGTACCATTTTTGTGCGGTATGTGTTCACGCTTGGATGAACAGGTGGCATTGTTTGCGAGAGTGCAAAAATCGACTTGCGCCAAAGTGATGCCTTCAGAATGTATTATGTTGGGATTAGCGGAGTGAGAGAATGGATTGAATGTATCAAATGAAATGCATTGCATATGTTTTTTGCAAAGGGCAAAGTCACACACACCCACACACACACGCACAAATGTTCGTTGATATTTGATATTCGATATTTGATATGTGTGGCATGATTAATTTTGTTAGGGGTGTTATTTGGATCTGCAAAGACCGAATTAATACCCAAATTCCAATTGTTTTATTCAAACATCACATAAGCAACTTTGGCGCAATTCGATTTTTGCACTCACGCAAACAATGTCTCCTGTATTGATATTAAATTTATTGATTCAAAACTTTGTTCCTTGTGTAAAATTGACCGGGCATGGTGGCTCAGTCGTTAGAGCGCCTGCCTCATGAACGGGAGGTCGTGGGTTCGAACCCCGGCCGAGTCATACCAAAGACTTATAACAATGGGACCTTCTGCCTTCTAGCTAGGCGCTCAGCATATTAGCTTGGAGAAGAGTAGTAATAACATATTATGTTATGCAGGGCCCGCTGGAAGAACAGTTTCATAACTGAAGTGGCTACCCTGGGTAAATAAAAGTTATTGTTATTAAAGTTATTGATGATGAGACATTGCAACATTTTTTTTGACTGTATAATTGCTCATTCTTTTTGGTTATTGCCTACATTGTAATAAGATTGTATGAGGTTAACAACAAGTATATCCATCACATTGGGCTTATCTTTTAACAATGTCATTTTATCGTTTAAAACTGTTTCTTCAAACACGACTTGTTTGGGGATATAATATTCTGACTTGGTCCCGTCTTTAATATAGTTGATCGTCGTATGATAATGAAATATTTTTTTCATTTCTAAGCAACAATCTACAATCTGTGTTTGTTTATATCTTCAGGTGCGTCTAACGGCGCAGGGTCTAAACATTCTTCGACAAGTAAAAAGAGCGAGAGAGAAAAACAATGATATGCATGTTACACCAGGCGATCGAGGCTATGCCATATGTGGATGCATGCCTTTTCGTCTCTCTCGTGTTATCTGGCTGCGTCAAAGATAAACATTTTCGAACTGATATTGAAGAATAGCGCCCTCGGGATATAGTTTGGCTATCGCATAATATTAAATTGTCAAAGCATAATTATTGTATTACGAGTACTTTAATGTTTCAACGACATTTTTTGTATAATGAGAGCCTGAAATTTTGTACACATTTTTGTTATCAGGCTTCAAATTTATGTCGATGGATTTTTTTTTGTCATAAAATCACATCATACTAATCAGGAATCAGACATATGGTTATTGCATTCATTTCTAATTGACTGACACAGTGGGCCGAAAACTCGTTGCAATGCTTTTTGTCTTACGATTTTGCTTACTATTGTTCACACATAATTATCTCCTGTGTGTATCAGGAATGGGGGAAGAAGGCAATTGACACCCTCCGAGCTTCTACTTTTGCGAAAGTAATATTTTCCTTTTTATTGCTGATATCTAGAGGAAAATGTTTTATATTTTTGGCGTCAATAGAGAGTGAGAGAGGGGGAGGGGAGGGAGGGAAAGAGAGAGAGAGAGAGAGCAAGAGAGAGAAAGAGAGAGAGAGAGAGAGACAAGGAGAGAGAGAGAGAGAGAGAGAGAGAGAGAGAGAGAGAGAGAAAGAGATAGAGAGAAAGAGAGAGAGAGAGAGAGAGAGAGAGAGAGAGAGAGAGAGAGAGAGAGAGAGAGGGAGGGAGTGGTAGACCAAACGGGGGCCCTCCAGTTCCACATATTATTCCCCCGGGATTTTATTTCCCCCCGTGAAGTCCACTGCATGAGGAAGATTATATATAAGGCAAAGGTCATTTTCAAGTTTAGGCATATTTTCCTTTCTTTATCTTAGGGGGGAGGGGGAGGTGTATGTCTGCGTCGATCCCCCGACCCACCCCCCCCCTTTTTTTTTGTTTTGTTTATCATATTGTGATGATCACATATTTCGTCCCTATTCAGTTTCACGAAGTGACGGTAGTGAGGAAAATCGTCACCCAAAGTGTATGCGATTTTCCTCACTACCGTCAGTTCGTGATATTTTGATCTATATATCAACTTTTATTTCTAACAAACTATGCGTCACTGAATCTTTTACATTATTTATTATGCGAGTACGTATGTAGCCGCAGATTAGATTCCGGATTCCCCAGTGTACACCTGTGCCGGCCCGTGCATCTTCTTCCTCGATTGTACTGCAGATGCATGTCGATGCATAATTCATGACTCATAATCGTAGTCAATAGTGCAGTCTAGAGAGTGTACAATTATATCTTATTAATGTTACGGGACTAACGCAGTATCATGGACACGTATAAATGACTGATCTGGGATAGAAAACTTGTTAACAGTAAGTGTATAAATACTGCATGGTACATAATTTGCTTTATGATGTTTAAGAACTAAGTATCCGACATTGATTGTATAATGTATGGAATATAAGTAACCACTCGCATACGGAAACCATGGCAAGCAATCTGCACTGCGCAAGTGGAGTGGAGCCTTATAGGCTTATCGTGTGTACAACTACAAACAGTATTGTTCGGGAATAGGGGAATAGACAGTGCAGGTATACATTGTAGGTATACCGGTAGTAAGACATGCAGACCTAGCATGTCTGATCAAGTTAAGTGTAACTTTATTATATTGCTAATATGAAATTATGAATGACTTGACATAAATGTAATGCACCCTGTTTTCAGTTTGGTGGGGGGGGGGGGGGGCACATGAATCATACCCATCATCTGGTAGTATAGAGGCCAGGATAGAGCTGCACCTTTAACTGTTGACATGAGAATGTACCTTATGTACAGGGTGAAAGAAATTGATTGTAAGTATTATATAGATATGAAATCATGTTATCATGCAAGAGCTACAATTGCAAATATTAAACAGTGGTGTAATAAGCGCATTGTATTATTAAATGTTTATTTATGAGCATTGTTATGAAAGTGATGAAAGATCATTCCTGTGGCCTGAGGTAAAGATTGTGATGTATCTTCTCACCGTCATCTTCCTCTCCTTCTATTACCTCTACGTACGGTCTTCACTCCTGAATATTCTTGTAGATGCATATGTCATGAAAGACATATATGTGCTGAGTGTCCATTTACATAAGTTAGCTATTAAACCTTAAAGGTGCAATTAAACATTGCCCTTTCTTGTTCTGGTTTAGGTTTGGTTTAGTTCATCTAAATTGTCTTTACTTATACATCCCTGGTGAGGGATAAGAGGTTCACTGTGTAAGGATGTTTACCCTCATACCACCCCCCCCCCCCTCCATATCAGTTACTCCAAGTAATTACCCCACATGACTGAGAATACTTGACAGCTCCCTGTACTTCCTGGACAATTCAATGTAAGGAAATATTTTCCTCAAACAATGCCTCATAATATTTGAGGATGTATCAGTCGTTGCGGGAAGGGAGGGGGATAATTACCCTGGGGGAGTAGTTCTTTTAATATTTTGTAGTAGAGATTAGAGTAGTTATTGATGTAATGATATGTTTCTTCAAACTTTCTTGTCAGTAGGCTTAATTAGTGAACATCTTTAATCATTATGCTATTGTAATCAAGTTGTTATGGTTATGAAGGCATTAGCATTAGAGAATCGATGGGAATTGAAATCTATTAATGGGGCTACAGATCTATCAATGGCTTAAATATTACAAATTATAGTGATAATGGTTTCAGTGATTCATGTTTTTATTTTTTTTATTCAGGGTTTTATTTGTATTTTTTCTCTATGATAAGAATCTTCAATTCAGATTGCCATTCTTAAAAATGAATAATCATTATTCTTCACAAATAAAATATTACCCCAAAAATGTATTTCCCCCTATTTTTCTGCAGACAATCTTTAAGATCGAGGAAGCACTTGTAACTAGGATGAATCGTTTCAGACAGGCTGTAAATAACGTTATGGCTAATGTAGCCACTATACAACAATCTGGCCTACACAGAGACAAGGCTATAGAAGGAGACCCACAGAAGGAGGAGAAATATGAATATTCCAGAGCAGAATTCCTCCAACTCAGTTATGAAGAGGTTGCCATAGCAACAGATATCATCATTCGACCTATCATGGTTCCTAGAGATCTATCCAAAATACCGTGGTACAGTGGTTACGCCGAGTAAGTATTCAAACACACTGTTATGTACATGTAGTAATGGGGTACTTGAATAAATTCACTCCAACTATAACAACCATGTATCAGAATTTCGTATAAAATACCTGTGCTCGATCTAAGATGATACATGTAAAATGTGCTCAAAAAGCTAGAAATTATATGTGTACGGTACTAAGAAATTTTTAAGAGACTAAATGATGCAGTGAACAAACAAATTCAGCTACATGGCGTCCGAATTGAGAAAATAAATTATGGGAAATCATCCATACTAAGGAAAACATTCTGATTGTTGACTTCAGGTCACAAAAAAAAAAATCAATTTGTATCTAGAGGTACTGGTAAACAATAGTTTTACTAAATGTTCAAGACTACAAACAAAGTCTATATAATGCTTAAAGGTATTGGAAACGCCCCAATTTCAAAAAATGAAATGGAAGCTCTTATTACCAATCATGTGAAAGCATATGTTTTGACTAATACATAATGATAAAAAATTTGCCGGGAAACTGCCTACTAATTGATATATTTGGTAAATTAGTTTATTTATTGGTGTGTGAGAGATAAACGCATGTGTCGCGCATGTGTGCGTAGTCCCATATACATCTTTCTGTGTACAGTGCTTGTAACTTTACCAAGACTGGGCCAAATTTCTTATCATTTTGATGATTCCAGAACATTGCAGTATACACCAATACTTATATGCTAGACGATCAACCTTTTCCGATCGATTCCACAACGTTTCTTTCACAATGTAATCGCATGACCATAACTGGTCTTTATCTTTAATGAATTATGTAGAAAAGGCATTCTTTCAAATAGCCAAGTAATGTAGAAAGGAAATGTAAGGAAACTTATTTATTCATCCTGACCCCCTAGCCAAGAGACCATGTGGTCCCATGTGAACATGTGTGTGCTGACCAAACGACAGCATCAAAATCTTTAACTTGTTAAGTGTGGAGATTGTCCAAAGTTTTTTTTACGCATGTAAATGTACATTATGTACCTTCTCATACTTTCTTTATTGGTTGAAAGGGAAACATCTTTACTATGAAAATGAAACTGGCTATTTTAGAATATGAATAATTTCAGACGTTTCACATCATTCAGTGTTGAGCTGCTACAATGTAGGTGATACAAACAATTTTGATCTAATATGATGTCATATTCTGATACTGTGTACAAATAAGGAAGCAATGATAATGATTTGTTTCTGTTCATTTCGTGGACTCTTATTTGCTTTACAAGATTTGTTCTTGTCTCTGAAATGTAATAAAGTTTCATGTATTACATTTTATATCTACATATCCTCTCACATGACATGTTTATGTGTTTTTTAATGACCTAATGAGATGTTCAGTCAGTAGCTAGTTTTTATTTACATTTGAAATTGTCCTTTACAGATTTTTGTTGTTATTAGTATTTCAATTATTTTAGCATTGACTCTAGGTTAATAGCATTAAGATTGAAAGACTCTGTAAGATGTGTTTTTAAAGCTTACAATCAATTTAAAAATGGTGTTAATATAATTTATTTTTTCTAGGATACCTTGGTATGCATGTTCTAGGCATCCAATAATATGATGGCCTCTATGTAGATTCAGTCAAATTGGCATATCAATTTTTCATGTGTTACACTATACATGCATGGTACCTGCTCAAGCATGATAATTTCACTATTACAAGGAGTTCCATTGTAAAACTTTGAATGTGCAATGCTCCGAGGTGCCTTTCAAGAGAGCGTACATGTAGATTGATTTTGAATGTTTATCAATCATGCAGTGGTGAGTGGAGGTCTACCGTCATTCACTGTTTGCGTATAAAACAGAGTGCAAGGGTCTGCTTATAGATGTTACCTGTTCCTTGCGATAGAAATATGTTAGTATTCTTAATTTTATTGGTGTGTTTTGGAGAGGCTTTGGCAGTTGCTGTAGATTATTTTTCCAATGATGGAGCTGCATCACATTGCTAGTCCAGAGAGCTCCATTCTCTCCGGTTAGTCCACTGCCTGGACTGTTTCTGTATTGTACTCTTACATTGACCAATAATATACCCTCAATGCTCAACATAGACAAACAATCCTTTCATCTCGCCCTAGCACCGAAAACGGACATATTGTGATCTGTGTAGGGATAATGCATGTAGGGAGGGGGGGGGGGAGATAGAGAGCAAATAATGAAAATAAGCAAGGACAGAATCTGGACTAAAAATATCCAGTCTTTTGGTAGACACTATATTATTATGTCATAATGTGCTATACAAGAACAGCCTATTTACCTATTATCATTATTATTGGAGTTGGAAGAGTGTCTGTGAAAAGTAAAATTCAATAGGGATTTTTATCGCAGAAGAATCGTTTATTACAAGTTAATATATTCAAAATTAGATGCTCATATTTACATATTCATATATATTTCAGAATTTGGTAATGAATAAGATACAAATTTATGCCAAACATTTCTGCATTAGCAATAACAACTTTCTATTTTTTTTAATGGTTAATGTTTTCTTTGTGTTACCAATAATTTATTGTAATGGATCAGAAATGGTTCTTGATATATAAAAAAATAGATACTGGTATTTCCCATTTTAATACATTAGCAAATGTGGATTTTGGCCATTTTAGACAGTAAATTGCTTGGCAACATGACTATATACTGTCAGGTTATCATTAAATGCATGGTGTTAAATTCACAAACTTGGTTTCAAAATATGTGCACAAATTTTGGAAGAAAGAGTCATTAAATAAATGTAGCAGTAGCAAGGTAGTCGTAGATGTTTTACAGGTTGTCAAAATGAGTATTTGGTTGATATATATTAAATGCAGCAATACAAAAATAGATGTTTTTTTTAAAAAATGTTTCAGAGTTGTGAATGCTGGCAAGAGTAAACTAAATGAGGACCAGGCAGCTTCTAGACACATGTTTATCAATAACAAACACAGAGAGAAAACACTTGACACAAGCCCTGGAAATGGTCTACCAATCAAGGTATGTTTGTTTTCTCCCATATCATTTTGATAATGATTAACAACACTTAGTTTGCAGTCATGGTCCATTATATGAATAAACAATGTACACTTTGTAACATCATCAGGTATACATCCTTGAATTGCCAATTTGATATTTTGGATAATATTGTGAATGGGTGTTTCTCTGTGCAGTTATTATTGAACTGATATCTAGGTGTAGGGGGAAATAGACTGGTTTTTTTTCGTAAATTTTCAATTGGGAAGGGATGAGGCTACAATTCAATTGATTTAAACATAATTTTTCTACAGTACAATTAAAAATAAGTGCATTGCAGCCATTGGCTGAATAATTTTACACTGTAGAGAAATACACATTGCATCATATAAAACAATTAAAATAATGTGTGGTCACATGATTATTAAAATAACCTTATGTTCACACAATGAGATTTTTTGTCTCAGATGCAGATACATAAAAAAAACTGTCATGTTAAAAAATTGATTTGAAAGTTAAGGTTGCAATTAGGTATTTGGAGCTTGGTATGTAACACCGTCTCTAGTGTATCATAAATCTTTTTTAGTTTATCATTTATACATTTATTGCCTCTTGCCTAAAGTGTGAGTGCCCTGATCTTTTTTACTTTGGGTCTACACAGTACTGATAGTATACTGTATGCATGTAGTAATGTCTGCCTTATTGAATGCAATAGTGTTTTCCAGACAACCTAGTTGAGAGAATGGAAGAAAAGGAATCACGTTGAGATTGTTGTAGACATGTTCACTCCCATTATGTTGACAGTTCATAACACATCACATCTGAGTCATCATTGGGTCAACAAACTATTCATGTCCTATTATGTGTAAGATAACTGTCATTGCTAACATTTCACGATATAACACACAAGATGAGGGTGCAGAACTTTTCAATGTGTTTATTTTTCTAAAACCCTTTTCATACAAAGTTGGCACAGCCATGCTATTGAGCTGCATGTACAGTATTCTATAGTACAGCTCATACATAAAGTTCACTGGTATGAAAAATGAAGAAAATATTTTGCACAAGTACAAATTCTAAAGTGCTAAATTTCATATGCTCCTATTTACCAATTTGTAGATTGCATGAGGTGCATGATCATACCTGTGAGTCTGAGATTAAAAAATCAGAGACAGTGATATATTTTTAGATATAAAAAGTGAATAAGCTACACATCATGAAGGCCTTTGTGTAAAGATTCACAATTATACAACGCGTGATGATTTTTAGAAAATGCACTCTTTTCGACACAAATTTTAATAGGGTTTGCTGAAAAAGCATACAAGTAGTAGGGGTATCCAAAATCTATTATACTGTATATTGAATGATTTTGTTTCCTCCGGCATGTAAATACTTTATTGAATACCACATTTTAATCATTTGAAGTTTGATCAATTCTAGTTTCCAGCTCGTTAAATGATATGGTACATCTTTTTTTTCTTGTCAGGATTTTGATCAGATTCCGCTGACGTATTTTGCCATCTTTGATGGTCATGCTGGACCAGGGGTATCACTGATGTCATCTCGTGTTCTTCATACACGTGTCTTAGCTAAGTTTGAATCAGTGTATGATTTACTTGCTAATAGCTCGCTAGAACAGAGACAGTTTACAAGGTCAGGTGATCAGAGACCTAACAAGTGGCCATTTAATGAGAAGGAAGTCTCTGTAGAAAGCTTGGTAGTTGGAGCATTAGAGTCTGCCTTCGTTGAAATGGTGAGTAAGCCATATTAGTGTGGTATGGTATTTTTTTGGTTTTTTTTGTACATGCATTTCTGGATTCATTGGGGTCCAAGTTTTCAGAAATTGATGGGGTTCAAATTTTCCTGAAGACACCAAATTTCCCTATTGCGCTTTATATAAGCCATTTTGGCGCCCAATGTGGACCCCCCAGGAAGTGAAGGAGGGGTCTGAAAATTTGAACCCCATCATTTTTGGCCAATTGGGACCCTTTTGAAGCCAAAAAAGCAACAACAAACAATACAAAATTAAAAAAAAAAAAAAATCAGTTTTGGCAAAAAAATCCTACAGGATTACATACCATACCGCACTGTATATTGAAAAGTGAATCCATATCTTATGTTAAAATGGTGAGTAAGCCATATTGAAAAGTCAATCTGTATCTTATATTGAAATGGTAAGTAAGCCATATTGAAAAGTGAATCTGTATCTTTTATTGAAATAGTGAGTAAGCGATATTGAAAAGTGAATCTGTATCTTATAGTGAAATGGTGAGTAAGCCATATTGAAAAGTGAATCTGTATCTTATATTGAAATGGTGAGTAAGCCATATTGAAAAGTGAATCTGTATCTTATATTGAAATGGTGAGTAAGCCATATTGAATAGGGAATCCACATCTTATGTTGAAATGGTGCGCTGTTTAATTGTAGAGTAATCCTTTCATCTGATACCCTTTCACAAACCCATGTTGCTATGATATACATTTAAAAAAAATGTTCATAAACTCTGAAAAAGCTGCATAATGCATGCATTGCTTTTACAAGAACCAATTTGATACTCTCCTGCATCTTGCTGAACAATCACATAACCTTTACCTTTGACCTACATGTAGGATCCATGGACCAAACAGGAACGGATGATGTGAGGTCTATATTATCCCATTAATCTCCACATTTAAAATTAATGTGTCTATTATACGCATATATGAACAGCACGAAGTAAAGGTTATAATGATAATAATTTGGATTTATATAGTGCAATGCAGTATATCCTCTCTTACCCCGTTCATCGGATTCATTCACGCACACATGTGCACCATCTCCACTCCCTGGGGACATTTATTGTGATGCGGTTCATAAACTCATGTAATGCTCCTATTATGCTGCTGTTATGTGCGCTTGGAGGTTTAAGAAAGGGATACCGTATGATGAATCCATATTTTTGTTGTAAAGGTGAGTGGATTGAAGCTTTGCATATCTTTAGAGTTGATTTGTTTTTTTCACCAATATTGGATGATATGTTTGATATGAAACATGAAGGTTGGAGGCACCAGTCAATTCAATGGTTTGGGTTAAAATCCCACCACTGCCACTGTCTTGTGTCCCTATACAAAAATAAATCATTTAATGTTAATACAGTATGCATGCCACAAATAGTTATTTGTAAGTGGGATAAGCTTATATGTTGGCCTATAGAGATAAGATCCATTATTTTGAAGTTCATAAAGGAAAATATGTTAATGAGGACAAAAATGTGACATAAGATACAAGATCGTGAGTATAGCCTTGTATAGAAGGGTGTAATGAAGACACTGTGAATCTGATTGTTCAGTGAGATTCAGGGATACCCACTGCCATGTCTCTGCATGTTCAATCTAGAGCAAGAAAGTGTAGTAACCACAGGCGTTTGAGTAGAGTATCTTGGGAACAGTGGTCTGTTGGGTTAGTGTCATGTTACTATGCATAAAACATTATGCGGCCTAGGTGGATGGTGGTCTTCATCCAATGCCTGCGACATACCTCTACAGCGCTATATCTAGCCTTTTGTTTTCTGGAAACTGCATGTATATTATGTAGGCTGACAATAGAGAGGTAGTTTTCAAAAAAATAAGCCCTATGTACATGTAATGTAAAGAAAGGAGTGAAAACAGGAAGTAGATGAGTGTGATCATGTTGGATAAAAACACTTAAATTTATATTTACTTCAAATACACTTTATTCATTAATTCAACATTAAGGAATGTTTAGAGAAAATGAGAATAGAAGGAAACAGATTTTAAAAAGCTTAGTGTATGATCAGATTAATTATATGTGAGGGTATCGACTCGAAGTCATAAATCAGACGAAGCAGTTGTTGCGGTTCTTGGGTATGAGGCCAATCTTTATTTCATGATGTTCAAATCAAACAAAAGAGGGTAGAAGACCCTTGACTGCATGAAGTCACTTCAGTTGCTGTAGAAAATTAAAAGGCACAAAAAGTATTGCATCATTATGATCACAAATAATTTCTTGCTACATCTGCTTTCCAGATCATCTTCTATATTATACAGTGTATGCAATTTAGTTAATACATGTACATAGTATATATTGAGTTTACCTCGGCCTATGAAATTCATGTAGTAAATAGAAGATGACTGAAGGCAATGAAAGCGACTCCCTATTTATTACTTTCACATAATTCTCCAAATGAGTGAGCTAATATCATAAATCATTCTATCAGCCTTAAGCAATATAGAAACATACTCCAACTAATCACAATACAAATCAGTGGGGCATGACATCTACCAATATTTAAGTCACCTCATCTCTAGAGAAGATTGCAATATTTGCTATCTGTAATTAGTTATTAAAACATTTGCATACCAATGTGACAAGAAAACCAACAGAACCTGTCTTTGTGAATACAAGGCTTACCAAAAAGCAATGTCCTACCACGCCTTTCTAGCATTAATATGCATAACTCAATTACTACCAGCATGCATCCTTCATGTAAATTAAAGTTAAATCTCCCTCTTCTTCACACAAATCATTATCTATCCAATTAAGCTCTTCAGCAAATCTTAACATTTAGAGAGTTAATTATATACTGTACTCACATATTAAGATCTCTAAAATCAACTATAGACATCAAGAATATCAGGATGAGACATCAATTACAGCTTCATGTAGGCACAGCTACAACCAGTCTCATCTCTGCTCACTGCATGTATGAGCTTTAACCTGCATGCAGTGAGTGTATGTTCACTGGGGCATATCACTCCTCTTTAGTTAGATATATTCCTTTTATCCCTGACTAATTTGCATTATAAAGAAAGAGCTATTTCCCATTCCCTCACATATACATGCAGGACATGTTTCGATGTAGAATTACAAATCATTGAAAAATCATTCTTTAATCAATTCAATTAAAAAATAAATACTCGATATGAAGTAAAATTCAAAATTTATGTTTTCCACATAGATTATAGTAGTGTTTCAAGAACATTGCTCTCATGTTCTTATATTTGCAGCAGCATTTCCATGTTTATAGTTTGGTACTATCTATACAAAAAAATTGCATATACAGTATAATGCTGGTATTTTAGGAGTGCTGTATTTTGAAAATTCAAAATGCAAAAAAATGTTGGCAAGGTTCATGTAGAAATGAATTGTAAGTAGCCTAACTGGGTTAACCCTTACAAATAACCTGTCACAAAAATGTCTGTATCTGTCGTCATCTGCCAAAATAGCTCCACACTCTACATTGGTTGCCCCTAACGATATGTTAATTTTATACATGTATATGATTATGTCAATATGTTTTATTGTATTGTACTATTTTCTTTTTTTTATTATGTATGGATGAACTAATGTTACTGTATTAAAGTGAATTATTGTACATTGTTTACAGGATGAGCAAGTAAGGAAAGAGAAGTTAGACTATCACGTACCAGGTGGTTGTACTGTCCTAGTAGCCATCTTTCTCCTGGGGAAGCTCTATGTGGCTAATGCTGGAGACTCAAGGTAATCATGAGAAGAGTGTATGTGTGGAAGAGAGCTAGATGTTTATATACAGTCAAACCCGTCTATTCAAGCCACTCAAGGGAATCATAAATAAAGCCACTGTAGACATGTAGTAGCATTTCTGGACAGGTTCTTCAACATAAATTTCTCTCTTGAGGGACAGAAAATGCATGTGCATTATAGATAGGTAGACTTAAGTTTATAGATAGATGGCCACTGAGAAAGGTTTGACTGTATTTTAAGATACTTGAAGATAGATCAGTCTATTGTATGATGGAAAGGGAGTTGGAGGTGCCTTTGTTTGCATGGAAAATATCATTTGTTTCAATTGTGGTTTATTTGAATGAGCCAGCTCGTAAACATCTTTGGTACCCATGACCCCAAAATATCCACAGATCTTTTACACGATGGATACGTCCCACTTCTGCATTTTTGAATAATCACTGCCGAAGTGATGGAGGTGCTTCATGAATACCTTTTGTTTGCCTCTTGAGAAGAACTTCTCCACCTGTTTATCAGATAAATGTACTGCCGGTGCATAAATGAATACTGATTGAATTGCTTTCATGAGCATGATTCCAGTATTCGTCTCGATGGGTTTTAACAATTTAGAAACAAATGACCTTTTTTCTGCCCATGGGCGAGTCGTATTTAGGAACTGGCTCATTATCTTAGTTTTTAAGGCATAAAAGCTCTCATTGTTAAAGTGATTGATACATTGAAGGACCAAGTCTAAAATTTTGGTTAAAAATAAGTTAAAGTGTTACAGTTGATAACGGTTTGTTATGTAGTATGAACATTCAATCGTCATGTAGGTGGCACTGGACGTGTCATGTAAATCAAGTTCAAAGTGAAAAAAATCCTTGTTTCCTGTATTTAATTGTAGTTTGTCTCAGAGTGAATATCATTATTTAGTCTGCCAGAATTTGCCTTCAATCTTTGTTTGTTGATTAAAACCCAACCACATCTAGAGCTATCATCAGTCGTGAAGATAAAGTGATACCGATGTCAACAGACTTCACACCTCTTAGTGAGAGACAAAGATTACAGATGGTAGCAAGCACAAATCCACAGCTTCTTGGGTCAGAGTTCTGCCCTCTTGAGTTCCAGAAACGAGTCCAGAGGAAAGACCTAGGCAAGACACTCATGTATAGAGATCAAAACATGACTGGATGGTGAGTTTTTGACTCTCATTCTTTTTCTGTTCTCAGCTGATTTAAAATCACTTGATGTCAAGCTTCTTTCTGTATATAAAACCAGTGCATGTCCACATCGAATTTAGTTCATGAAGATGATCAAAAATGAATGATTGAAAATTTTAAGTGAAAGTGACTTTGATCAGAGTTCACAACCATTGCTCTTTCTTGTTAGTTTATTGCAGACGCTTTGTTCGAAACAAATGGATGAAAAGCTAATAATCCCATGTTACATTATTAACAACTGAGAGGAAGTCTGTTCCCTCTTTCCAGGAATGTCACTGATATATTGTAGTGTATGCGATATAAGAATTAGTCAAAAGCTGAAATATGTCTTTAAAATCCTCAAATTTATGTTTAGATAATCACCTTCACCCAAATGCTGATATTAATTAATATGTAAAAAAGGTAAGGTTATTTTTATACATTCTTTTAAATTAAAGAACAATGTATAGATATATTCAGAGTATTGTCTAGATAAAGAGCTAGAAGTCCATGGATTGTGAGGAAGCATTACCTCGATCTGAAAACCTTGAAAGATAAGTACCGGTAACATTTTTAATATTCAGTCTATAAGATCTGCTATGTTTCTCTAGTACTAGCTACCAAGCTACAAATGTCTACAAGTGGACGTGGGTTTTAAAGTTTCATGTCTATAATGTCTGCAACTAACTTATAATGCAAGATACATGTACAACAAAATGTTTCCTCACTTTCTTGCATCACAATACATGCTTGTTTGCTTATTATTGAAATACATGTGCATTTTTATGTATTGTATTTGGGGTAATGTAATGAATGAGATATACTCTGGCTTGCTCATCACTGCTCTGCCAGTAGGGTGCTTATTATTAGCTGGCTAATTAGGTAACCTTGTTATTACACATGTGCCTGGTGTTATGAGTCAACAGTGAATTATGTTTGATCCATCAAGCCTCATGCCCTTTACCCCATGTCAAGATCATTCAATCTCTCACTTGATAGTTGATCTAGCATACATTGTGATATTGCTCTTGATACTTGATAGCTTGAGGTTTAACTGGTAAAAGGGAGATCTTGAAGGGAAATCAAACCTTCATAACTTATACTGTTTTCACACTGGCAATATTTTGCTTAACCCCGTACTATAGGTGGGGTTAAGGGGGGGTCTTAGCCCCACCTATAGTACGGGGTTAAGCCTATTCCACTTTCTGTTCAGACTGGCTTTTACCAAAGTGGGCTAAAGTTAGCTAACCCTACCTATAGTACGGGGTTAACTAACCCTACAAAATAGCAGGGCTAACTCAGCAATTGTGGTGCTAACTCCTGCTAACCCCGCAATTGCGGTGCCAAGCAAATGCAATGGAGCGTATCGCAGCTGGCCAGATGTGAAGTATGTCCAATCATAACAGTCACGATATCCGGGGTTAACGAATTGCAGTGAGAACAGCGTGAATTTTCTTATTCCGGAATAGGCGCTAGTACGGGACTAAAAACAGCGTGTGTGAAAAGCCAAACAAAACAGTCCGGGGTTAAGGATAGTACGGGGCTAAGCAAAGTACGGGGTTAAGCAAAACCAGTGTGAAAAGAATATTAGTTCAGTTTCTATGAATGCGTGCGCAATCAGGTTAATTATGATCCTTAATAACAAGATGAGCGTCCATTCAAGATAAATGTCTGTGCATGCGTGCTCTTGTAATCCATAGCACATATGGGCAAAAACGTGCCTATAAAAACTCCATTATAGCTCTTTGGGATGCACCGGGGCCCTCAATTTTTAAAAATATTTGGATAGAGGATGAGTCGGACATATGATTTCATGTCTCATTTAGCCATGTACATTGTATCTCTGTAAATATTGATCGGGTTTCTTCAAAATTTCGATATGTTGTAGCTAAGACAATTATCTACAAGCTCAGTGTTCACCATTTTTCATTTTGATGACGTCATCATACACAACATAGAATCGCCATTTTTGTCTCGCCTGCGTAGCAAAAAGCGAGACATAGGCGCCGCTTTTCCGGTGACGGCGACGGCGGCGGCGTCAACATTTTGATTAATTTTTGATATAATTTTTAAAGTATAGGTTCTTAGTCAATGAAACTTTGACTATAGGGTAATCAAGTATCCCCAATCATGTGAGTAGAATTTCAGATCACAAAGTCAAGGTCAAAGGTCATTTCAGGTCAACAGACTTGGACTATGTTGTAGCATCATCATCGAAAACTTAACCTAAGGTTAAGTTTTTGAATTTTTGATATAATTTTGAAAGTATAAGTTCTTAGTCAATGAAACTTGGACTATAGGGTTATCAAGTCTCCCCAAACATGTGAGTAGAATTTCAGGTCACTAAGTTAAGGTCAAAGGTCATTTAAGGTCAACAAACTTAGACTTTGTTGTGGCATCAACATTAAGATTTTCAAAATGCTTCTTCTTCGTTATTTTTCAACCGATTTCGATTCTGATTGTTTCATATGATAGGGCTAGGAGGGGGATTTAAAATTTCTACACTGAATTGTGAAATTCATTATCTATGCTAATTTATGCAAATTTATTCGAAATCACAAAAAAGGCTTCCTCTCCTTCATTTCTCGACCGATTTTGATTTGGTTTACTTTATATCGTAGAGCTAACATTGGTACACTAAACTTCTACACAGAATTTTGAAGTTGTTCTCCATTAATTAATTATGGTAATTTATGCAAATTTATTCCAAAAATATCAAAAATTGCTTTTCCCTCATTTCTTGACCGATTTTGATTTGGTTTGCCTTATCTGGTAGAGCTAAATTTGGAACACTAAACTTCTACACAGAATTGTGAGATTTTGCTCCGTTGATTATTTATGGTACTTTATGCAAATGAAATGAAATTATGTCCCTTCCAGGGCATTAAATTTTTATTTTTTGACCAATTCAAAAGTGTACCACATAAAATTTAAGATATTTGTTGTTGCGAGATGCGGATGAGCGCTACGTCATTGACGTTCTGGTTTATCATATTGAATTGCATTATGCAGGCGAGACCGCCGAGAGCGTTTCCCTTGTTTTTCTTTCATGATATTCCACATGTTTGTACAACCAAATTGATACCATGTTATCTCTTTATGACTATCATTAACGGAATGAGCGTCCGTTTAACATTAATGTTTGTGCGTGCGAGCTTATACATAGCATATATGGGCAAAAACATGCCTAAAATCCATTATAACTATTTGGGATGCACCTGGACCTCAATTTTCTTTTCATATTTTGATAGAGTATGAGTCAGAGATATGATTTCATGTCTCATTTGGCCATGAAAAATATTCTGACGTCATCACAATGGCCTTTGAACTCAAAATACGAATTTGCATATTATGACGTCAGCATATTTATGGAAAATTGATTGTATCTTTGTAAATATTGATTAATTTTCTTCGAAATTTTGATATTGTTGTAGCTAAGACAATTCTCTACAAGCTTAACATCACCATTTGTTTATTTTGATGACGTCATCATAGTGAAAATTTCGATTAAAGACCACATATCAGAAATTTCTCCTTTTGTGTGTTATGCCTATGGAAGGTGAATTTCGGTCACATCATGAATCTACATGACATTGTTTTTTTTAGCAGTATCTCGCTTATTTTTTGCTCTATTTTGTCTCAAATTTTAGTTGGAACAGCCCACCTATACTTGTTCCAAACAAGTATTACATGTCTAGTTATTATTTTTATTACTTTTATTATCATTATTATCATTATAATCATTGTTAGTATTTTCATTAGTTTTATCATTAACATAATTATGATTATTATTTTGACAGTTTCCTTTGTTGCCATTTTATTGATTGTAAATGGTTGAAAAGCCATCAGAAAGTAGAATACAATGGAAACTCATTATAAAGAGCTCTGATAGAGTGAGGTATCTGTTAAAACAAGATAATTTTGCTGTTCCCACCTCTTTATATACTTTCGTTTTTTACCCTGAGATAACAAGATTCCTGATACAACAAGGTAATTTCCATGGTCCCAAGGACCACTGTTTTGATATGTAATTGCTAATGATAGATCTAGATGAGTGATAGCACTATTTATTGGATGGTATGTCTGTATGGTTGATTTTGAGCCAATTGACTCAGACTTGTTGACTCCTTACAGGGCATTCAAGGAAGTGACTGAAGAAGACGTCAAGTTTCCACTTGTTTACGGAGAAGGGAAGAAAGCCAGAGTACTAGCAACCATTGGTGTAACCAGAGGGTTTGGTGATCACGAATTGAAGGTTCATGGTACAGATGTCTACATCAAACCATTCCTATCACCGGTACCGGAGGTAAGCAACCATTTCTGTAAATTAGTATTTTAGGTAAAGTACCATCCTTATAGCTGATGAAATTAGGTAAGATATCATTCCGTTGTCTGGTACCTAATCTAAGTGTCCATGCACACTGGTATTTATGGTTTATAGAAACTCTTTGTATCACTGGTACCCTGAGTTAACCATCCCTGTAACTGGTTAATAGGCTAAGTATCTACATCAGAAGTAGTTGTAATAATTATGCAATGTTTCCTCCTTCTTTTCTCTATTTTCTTATCTTCCTTTTTTGTAATCTTGATTTTATGTAAATTGTGTACTAAAGTTATATTTATTTTGTATATTTTGTGAGGACCATTTTTCACGAGGCATTTATGTACTTTTCATAATCCTCCCACTTCCGATATCTCATTATATATGTTTTAGCTTTTGTTTATTGAAAATTATATGAAGTTGTTTTTATCTTGACTCAGAAATAAGTAAATGGAAAAAATGGAATGAAAATTATGAACCACTCCTATTATTTGTAATTGAAGTGAGGAACCATTTCTACATTTATAACAAAATTAGCATAAATTTCTCTTTTTGAGATCAAACATGAAGATATATATGTTTCTTATGATACACGAGGGAAACAGACAGATTTGCTATTGCATGATTATCTTGTTATTATTGCCAATGTTATACAATTTAATTATCATAAACAATGACTGTAAAATTTGATGTTATTACTTTCTATGTGATGATTTTCAGGTGAAAGTTTACAACCTCTTTGACCGAGACAATTCCGAGGACGATGTACTGATAATGGCCTCAGATGGATTATGGGATGTGTTATCTAATGACAGAGTAGCAGAGGTTGTGAGAGAAGTTCTCAATAGCTTCCCTCCTAATGATTATAAGAAGTAAGTGGTTCATTTGTCAAACAGCTCCTAATTTCAATAACTGTTTTATATTTTACAAGTATACATTTATAGAAACAATATTCTAGTTCATTGGTTGTATTATGTATATTTTGCTGAGTAATAAATATGAATTGATTTTCTTTGTTTATAGCAAATTGTCAAAAATTATCAAAGGTATCCATTCTTTAACATTACATATTCATTGGACCATTTGAAGTAGAAAATTGGACTAAACTTAATATAGGTCCTCTTTTTAATTATGTTAGAAATAATCTCCGCAAATGAATAGTTCTGGTATGTTTTTCAAGCTTGTCTGAGGCGTATACTAATGTGTATTCAGTAGATCTTATACATACATATGAACGTTTGTTTGTTTGTTTGTTTGTTTGTTTGTCAGGTATGCATCAGCAGCTCAGGAGCTTATCATGGCAGCGAGAGGAGTATTGAGAATAAATGGATGGAGAACATTGAAAGAAAACAAATCAGGCTCAGGGGATGATATTACGGTGTTTGTGATTCCTCTTAATAAGCATACTAGTATGGACAGACAAAGCAGTATGACTGAATCACATGATGCTAGCCCCATCAGCAGTTAACATTATCAACACAGTGTACTATATAAAGACTAGTAGCTGGCTGTGTTTGTTGATTGGGAGAAAGATAGAGAAGGTGCTGCATGTAGACATCATGAGGAAGAACAGATGAAACAACAAGATTTACTTTGAAGGAGACAAACATATATACTGATTGATATACTGATTTGCCAGAGTCTTCACTATGGCAGGGAGAAGCTAGACCATCCTGAAATAACTTGCCTTCATGCCAAGATGGTTTGGATTCAGTCTAAGTCTGATTTTAATGACAAAGAATCACGGCCCAAGTTTCGTAATGGTAACCTAATATTCTCCTCACAAAAAGATAAATTAATGCAGCACTGAATTTTTGCAGTTCACAAAATATTTCTTGCCACATACAAAGGTTGTCATTTACAATGAATCAGTCCTGAAATTGTCGGGAATGTGATGGACTTTCAAACGATGCATGCCTAAGTTTCTGGCTATGGAGTTCATGTATATATCTGCCATCGTGTTGATATAGATATCATGTTCTAGCTACATGTATCTATCTGTCATTGTGATGGTTACAATGGCCCTAAACTGAACTATACTGTAGTGTGTTTATGTTACGAAAAAAGGACAAATTAGTATGATGTGAAGGGTCAAGAGGTCATAGCTCATGCATGTATAATACATTACTGTCCCATTCTTGATCAGTGTGGAATAGTTTGAAGCATTGCTTGAGGAATTCAATGAATGATTTAAGTAGACCCTCCACCTTTGTACTATCTTCTTCTGACTTGTTATCTGATGCATATGATGACAAATTACTTGGTGGTAGTATTGAATGATTATGATAGATGTCGCAAGGAGTTAAAAGTATTACATTAGAAGTGATTAAATATGCATCATGTTCATGCATCATGTTCATGTATGTATCACCACATAGATTTTTGAAACATGTATCATTTGTAGAAATGTGTGTTTTATATGATTATGTACATGAAATTCAAACCAAAAGAGATTTTTATATCTACTCTGTAAGAAGTACTTCTTGTATTGTACTGATCATATTTTAATTGTGATATGTATTAAATATTTTTATTGAATCAGTACTTATAAATATGAAATATAATTTTAACATGTAGAAAAAAATCAATCTTCCATTGTAATTGATGAGATGTTTTAGAAGTCATGTTTATAATTGCATGGCTGAAGCATTTTCTGCCAAATAATGAAAATTATTCATTGAAAGTGATTTATATTTGTAAAAGAAGATTTGTCCTTGCCTGTTTTCTTGTAAAATATTATATATGTTAATTGTCAGAACTGTATGTGTAAAGTGTGTGGGAAAACTGCTTGATCCATCTTTACTCAAATAGGCCTATGTCAAAGTGTCATAGCTGCATGAACATGTATGTCAAAATATTAGTGCACTGGAGAATGAAATAATCGTCATGTGTTTGTATCTGTATATCACAATGCAATTGATCGTAAAGACATAGCAAACAGTGCAGCATTTCCAATGGTATAAGTGCTTTTACATAGTTCACTTTGATATTAAAGGGAACCAATTATCAAAAATGATTTATTTGTTATAACAATGATTTAGTTTGTTGTCATAAGACATACAATCACAAAAGAAATGTGTATATAGTTAAGGAGTGAAAAACATGATGGAGAAATTGATTTTATATCAAGGCATACACGGAAGTTAACTCTAAGCTTACTCCCATGCACTAGTGGATACAAACACGTCTACTCACCAGTCATTTTTACTTTACCTTTATTTTTACTCTGACTATTTTCAACAAATTGCATTTATATGGAAGTAACATTTCAAGCTGATATTTTGAATTTGGTATATCAGTATAGAACCCCACATGTTCATCGAGTGAAAACAAATAATAGGGTGATTCATTCCCTTTAAAGATAAAGGTGAGTTCTGGTAAAAAAAAAGAAAATAAATTCTGGCACAGAATTAAACCAAAATTACACTGAATTTTCAAGATTACAAATAAATGTCATTTGCCAAACAATTTTAGTCAAAAATGTATACTGGCTGAGTAATGAGCATAGAAAGATTAGGAAATCAAGGTTAGTAGCCCCGATACCATTTGTGTAGTCCCAAATACATCTTTCTGTGTACAGTACTTGTTACTTTGCAAGACTGGGCCAAATTTATTAAAGATTTTGATGACTCCAGAACCTTGCAGTACACACCAATACTTACATGCTATATGACCAATTTTTTTGATCCATTCCACACCTTTTCTTTCACAATTCAATCGGATGGCCAGAACTCACCTTTATCTTAAAGATTGATTGCTATCAATGTGGTGCAATGAATATCTGCGACAGTACGAAGTAGGCATACACTTATACAGTAATGTGACTTGATTGTGATGAAATGTATCTTTCTTATTGCCAACTCTTTTCATGACCTGCCACCTGTACTTCCTTGATAATGAAACCTTTCTTCAATGTATCAATGTCATTTATTCATTGCTTTGGTGTATAAATGTATTTTATTCATTTCGTTGGATTATTTTGTCCAATGATCTGTATTTATCTTAGAATACTGTATTTCATAGTGAAAACGTTTAGAAACCAAACTTACAATGAAAAAGGCACTTCCTAAAGAGTCTAATGTAAACATGGAATAAAAATGTTTCAAACCTCACCATGCTACTTAATTAAGGAGAGAAATATTTTTTGGTAAGTAAAAGTTGTTTGTATGAATGAGTCTATTCCTTGAAACTGCTGCATGTTAGATGTTATAATGTAGTATAAAACATAGGGATCATGCTTTATAGCAATATAACCAGAAAAATTACTATTAGCTGATAGATACTTAGAGTCTTTGTGAATATGTAAATCCAATGGCTAAGTTTGTTTTGTGAAATTATCCAGCATCAGACTGGTCTATTAGCTTATGATTGTATTTCCTTCAAATACATGAAAGTACCTTGCATTAGTCTATTTATATATTCAACCCTGGAAAGTCTGGAAATTTCAAGATAGCTTCTTAATGCAAATTAAAGCTGATACAAACAATGTGAAACTGTATTTGCTATTCTCTCAGTAAAACAGCGAGATATCTGCAGTCATGTATGTTAAATTGTCACCTTTTTTATCTGAATGTTGATACTGGTGAAAGCTTTGAATAACAAAACTCATAATAATAATAATAATAATGATATTGGATTCTTATATAGCGCACGTATCGACCTTGCAAGGTCCTCAAGGCGCTCCAACATTACCCGGCTATGCTAGGCTGCCGATTTCGACGCTCACAGCATTTAAGGAATTCCTTCCTACAGGTACCCATTTAACACCTGGGTGGAGAGTGGCAAGTGTAGATTAATGTCTTGCCAAATAACATTAGCGCCGCGGCGGGACTCGAACTGCGGACCCTGTGATTCACAGTCCGACGACTTATCCACTACGCCACAACACCTCTATGAAATGAAATGAAATGAAATTAAAGGTAAAGACCAGTTATGGTCATGCGATTGCATTGTGAAAGAAACGTTGTGGAATCGATCAGAAAAGGTTGATCATCAGGCATCTAGCATCTGCAAGGTTCTGGAATCATCAAAATGATAAGAAATTTGGCCCATTCTTCGTAAAGTTACAAGCACTATACACAGAAAGATGTATATGGGACTACCCTATATCTCTCACAGACCATGAGAGAAACAAATTTACCAAATATATGAATTAGTAGGCGGTTTCCCGGCAAATTTTTTATCATCATGTATTAGTCAAAACATATTCTTTCACATGATTGGTAATGAGAGCTTCCATTTCATTTTTTGAAATTGGGGCGTTTCCAATACTGGTCTTTACCTTTAATCGTTAAGGTACATTAGGATCATTTGCTGTAAGATGCTACTCTCCTTGAATTTTCTTTATGTAGTAACAGACTACAATGTATATTTATGAGTATAATTTGCATGAATTATAATGAGGGATGCAAAACGATTTAACAATAGTTGTTTTATAGCTGTGTGCAAATTGTGAATGAAGGGATGGGGGGCATCATGCCCCCTAACTTGAAAACGTGAAAAGCCTGCAGTACTTAGGGTAACATATTCTAGTTAGGGGGCATTCCAGTGGGCATTCCAGTGAACCCTCTGAAGAGTCGTAAGGACTATGACACCAGCATGTTGGTCTTGTCACTCTTGTGGGTCATTGGTCTCATTGTTTGCCACAATATTATGAATTCTTTCTTTAGTAATTAAGTTGCTGTTTGAGAACCATAAAGCATGTAAGATGTTTGTCTGCAGTTTTGTTATTACAAGCTATCCTAACTGTTGACTGCAGTATGCCATCAATAAGTACCTGGAAAAGAAGCATTTATAAATTTGAATTCAAAACAAAGGTTGCAAATTAATTGCTATAATGTAGATAAATACATGTAAATTACGGTGTTATTTGTGTATTCTGACCTTTTCTATTTCATCTTCGCCCTTCAATTAAGAATATCAATGCTATGATCGTTTTAAGCAAGTTTAAAGAGATATGTAAATTTATTTATGTTTCGTGTTATTATCATATCATTTCACCTTTTACTTCAATAATACCATGATATTTGTTACAGATAATTCATTTGATGAAAAATAAGGGGTTCTTTTTATAGTATGAACTTTCTTTTGGGTGATTTACAACTAGGTAGGCCTATATTATGTGCATACTGCCAGATCTTTCCAGTGAACATAATGGATATGTTTTTGGTTTGTTGTAATAAAGCATGTTTGAGAATTAATGAAGTTATGAAACTTCTTTCAAGCATGATTGAAGATGAAAGTACAAAGTGATTAGATTAAGTTTCAAAAGAGTTTAAAGGTTTGTCTCACAAACTGAATAATAAAGAAAATCTGCTAGATTTGTATATTTATTTCAAATCTGCATTTTTAATGTCCATTTTATAACATAATGATATAACAAGAGTGCCTAGAGAAAGTGTAGGATGAAGTAGTGTGCATTGAACTAAATAATGCTTGCAGTCGGAATGTGGTTAGTATGATTTTTTCAACTCATTTAAATCTATAAAGCTTGTAGGAATTAATTTGTGTGGATGGGGTCAGAGGTTATTGGTAATATGACTTTATATCCTAATAAACAGGAATTTTTGTACCGATAATAAAAAAGATTATAACGACGTAAACATTTGTAATGAGACAAAATCCAAAGAATTTGACTGGAATTATGTTAAAACACTTATAAATCAGGTTTATAGATCTGGATCACATTTCATCTATGATTCTTTGAAGTGTCATACAATATGCTTTATTCCATAAACTTTGTTTTATCATTAAAACATTTTAAAATACATGTAATGAAACATTTTTTGGTTATTCAATGCATGATCTGTTGTGTTGACCCTACATATTACATGTACAGTGTATTCATTAATTATGGGACCTTTAAGCAGTGATGACCATTTTTATTTGTTAGAACCACTTATAATCTTTTCAGTTCTGAAAATTAACTATCAAAGAGTATAAAATAGGAGAGAAGCATTTCATAGAAGGAAAAAGAAAGAAATGCCACCAGTATATGAAGTACTAGGCAGGAAATTGAAACCCAATGTCATTAATTGTGTGTGAATGCATGATACTGAATACTGCCCAGTATCCTGGGAAATGTCAGATGTTAGCAGATCATGCGTTGCCAAGTTTGTGATCATCACTGCTTTACAACAAAGGGTATTCTTTACAGTGAAGAAAAGTCAACCTATAACTTGATGTATCCCCAAAGTTTTGTTCAAGAACTACATATTATTCAAATTATGTTTTTTTCTCCACAGAATAAAATAAGATTACATGACACAAATAGTTATGATTTTTTAAATTTATTTTGCTGGTGATATAATGATAAATTAAAGGGTGTATTCATTGGGTTTATCAACAACAAAAAAAGTCAGTCTACAGCATTTCCAGAAGTCATTCATTGTGAGCCAACAGGAAATTAGCTCTGTTTGAAAGCTAAAGTAATATCAGTCTTGAGAGGGCGCTGTACAGGCGTGAACACCAGTGCCATTGATTAGGAGAGTTTGGCCAACCCGGTTCGACCAAGTGAAATCAAGTTGGCCAAACTCCATCTGTATAGATGGCTCTGGTGAACGCTAGTGTCCCTTTACACTCGTGTACGCAAGGGGGGGGGGCAGTATTATTGACGGTCTTTAAGGAAAATACAGAACTTTGTAAGTGTCAAGAAATTTTGAAGAAAATTTAAAGAAAAATTTAAAAAATCAAAAAGAATGTAAGACATCCTGAAAAGTGAACATTTTCACTATTTTACATTTTATTGTCTCGCCTGCGTAGCAAAAAGGGAGAAATATAGGCGCCGCTTTTCCGGTGACGGCGGCGGTGTCAACATCAAAAACTTAACCAAGATTAAGTTTTGGAATTGTATAATATAATTTTGAAAGTATAAGTTCTTATTCAATGAAACTTGGACTAAAGGGTTAACAAGTGTCCCCAATTATGTGAGGAGAATTTCAGGTCACAAAGTCAAGGTCAAATGTCATTTCAGGTCAACAACTTAGACTATTTTGTGGCATCAACATCAAAAACTTAATCTGAGGTTAAGTTTTTGAATTTTTAATATAAGTTTAAAGTATAAGTTATTATTCAATGAAACTAAAGGGCTATCAAGTATCCCCAACCATGTGAGTAGAATTTCAGGTCACTAAGTCAAGGTCAAAGGTCATTTCCGGTCAACAAACTTAGACTATGTTGTGGCATCAGGTTAAGATCTTGAAGTATAAGTTATTATTCAATGAAACTAAAGGGTTATCAAGTATACCAATCACGTGATTAGTCTTTTATGTGACAAAGTCAAGGTCAAATGTCATTTTAGGTCTGCAAACTTACACTATGTTGTGGCATCAACATCAAGGTTTGAATTCTTTAGCATAATTTCATAAATGTTTGTTTAAATTTCATGAAACTAGCACCAAAGAGTTATGATTTATCAAGTATATCACAAATCATATGACACAAATTCCAGGTCACAAAGTCAAGGTCAAAGGTCATTTTAGGTCAGTAGACTTGGATTATGTTTTCACAACTCAATGTTTGTTATTTGTTCATATTTCATATAAGTTATTAATCTTGGTACAAATAATAGTAAATAATTCTTCTGATGATTCTTAGTCAATATTCACTTCAAAATGCTGATTATTCAAAGGATATCATTGGGGGGGGGGGGGGGGCTGCTAATGGGCCATCCTGCCTATAAATAATGTCCCAATCTCAATTTTTCATCATATCAAATTGCGTAATGCAGGCGAGACCGCCGAGAGCGTTTTCCTTGTTTGTTTAGTTCATACAAACAGTGGTGGATCCAGGTGATCAGTGCCGAATCAGTCGTGGCCCCCTTTTTATGGCGGCCTAAGAAAAGAAAGAAAGAGGAAAAAAGGTAAAAGAGAAGAAGAGAGGAAACAAAAAGAGAGAGAAGGGGCATATATATACAGTGCGACCCAGAAAAAAAGAAACCGAGAACTATCACTGTGTTATCATAACTTAATCACAATTATAATTGATCAATGACACATATTTGTAAAGCTTAGATCCTCCTCTTTATTTGATGCAACTCATATAATGCGTAATTTCTTATGTTTTTCATTGTTTTTTTAACTTATGTATTTTAATGTTTTTGTTGTTTTATTTCATTTCTTACTACAATTCAACTATTTTGACTCCAAAAACAACCACTTAAACTTTAAACAAGACCCAATAACCAAGTTTTAGGAAAAATTACATTTCCATATGTTTTGTACACAAATCACAAAAATGAGCGATTTTCGGGCTGACATGCAAAAACAAAAGGTCACGTGACCTTGTAACTGTTGGTCCGATTTTCAATTTTTTGTTGTTGAAAGATGCGCAAGACTTGAAAGAAAAAAGTCAATGAGCGGCGGGGCGCCATCCATATGCGTTCCCGAGCAATCAGAAAAATCGTGGAGGGGGGGGGGGGGGGTCATAATGCCCCCCCGGCCTTATTAGGGTTAAATTGGGTGCCTATAATTATTATAGAGGTTGCAGTTATGAGAAATCTGTTGTGTCTGGGGGAGATGAGGGGTGATAACATCTTGTTATTAAGCACGTATGGACCGTTTGTTACAGAATGACAAAGAAGGTAATTGCTTTAGGTCATTCCATAACAAAGCAGTTTAAAATTCAACATTTTATGAATTAATATGAAACCCAAATGTTGTATAAGTTTATTTATCTTATAATAAATTTGTAGACTTTTATTCAAATATGATCTATATCTTTTTTTAAATGGCACAATCTATAACAGTACGTAGGGTGGACTCCCAATTGACAATGCCCCCCCCCCCCCCCCGGCAGCGTTATTTTTTTCTGCGGCACAGATTGGGGTTAGGTGCGTGTTGAGCCTATGAGAAAGTTTAGGGTTAGGGTTAAATCAAGACCTCTTTTTAAAAAATAAAAAAGCCCCAATGTGTGCCGCAGAAAAAATGACGCCCCCAGCAAGCCCCGACAGGCCAATTTTCAGCTCGTACGTGGGTAGACATTTTTCAACCAGTGCAGCGCCGCATCAATACGCTAGCCACTGATCGAAATGGTCAAAGTGGCTTGAAATGTGTAAATTCATTAAATGGGATTAATTGTTCTGATATCAGGACACATTTCTATATTGAATTTGGGTGTCAAAACCCACCATCTGACTGTTTCTGACTGAAAATTTGGACTAATTCTTAACAAAAAATCAATACAAATGGTTATTTTAGGGCCATAAGTGACGAAAATTATCATATCGTTGTTAATGGGGGGTCAATTTGACCACTTTTTCTTGCATCAGAACACGTTTTTACGTAGAATAGGCCCATTAAATATCCTTTGGTAGGGAGAGTAAATGGGAGGAATTCTTTGGCCATCAACCGAAAGAAAAGGATCGGTCGAATATTCATACGGGTAACTTTTGTTGCACAATTGAGACTTAGTTAAGGAGTATTTATTTCAAAATTTTCCATAATGCTATTGGTTTTAATGCATTTTTGTTCAAGATTGGGAAAAAGGAGTCTGCTAATTGTCATTTTTGTTCAAATTTTCCAGAAACTTTAGATCACTTGTTTTGTGACTGTAGAAAAGTTGTACCACTGTGGGAAAAATTGGTGGATAAGATTAACACTGGCCCTGATCACAGTTATAATCTGACTCTGTCAAAATTTAATTATTTGTTTGGGATACAGTCAAGGGACAAACACACCTCTTGTATAAATGGTTTCTGTTTATGTTTAAAATATTACATTTACTCCTGTAGGTTTCAGGGAAAAGAACTTATTTTCAAAGCTTTTGTTTCAATAGTAAAGTTCAAACAAAAAATAAAATATAAAATTGCCCAAAAGAAAAATAAGTTACATGTCCATTTAAAAAAATGGTCTATCAAGTTTAACTGAAATTGTGTAGTAGTCTTGCAAAGCTCTGTTGTCCTTAACATCCTAATTGACTTTTCGTAATGTAAACTTACCCCCTGGGAAAGTATGTGAGTGTGAGTGTGTGTCTGTGTGCGTGTATATGGGTGCATGATCGGGTGCCTGTTTTGAAGTTTTAAGATGATATTATATATTATATTGTTGCTTTTACTCTATTAATTTTTCAGAAATAACAATAAAAAAAGAAGAAGAAAAAAGAGAGAAAAAAATATCCTTTTGTGATAATAACGATTGGAAAGGTTATCTGTGACCAAAAATGACCATAATGGTCAGTTTTGGCCAAAAAGGGGCCACAATGGACATACAAAAGGACTGATATTTTTGGGAATCAGTGCAAAAGTTTACCCCAGATAACCTATTCAAACCATCCCACCAAAAATTCTGATTAAATTACCTTATCTGCTAGGGTATAACAATGCCACAGCTGATATTTTTGTCCACTTTTTCCCATAATGCATCATGTGAAATTGACTAAACACTGGTGGCGCTAGATAGCACTGTGGATTGACATATGTGTCATGGATCATAGAACTTACATAAAGTAGTCTAAAAGGTCCACTCCTTGCAAAACAGATTGACACTGATACACAATTAAATTTTTAAAACAAAGTTTCATTGTTTGCCATCTGCAAGATTTACAGCCTCTGACTTCGAGGCGCATTAGATAATTAACAATTGATACATATCTGCAAAGGATTACAAACTTACAAGATATGTTTGAATTTCAAGAGTATTTGAACAAGGAATTGCAACGTTCCAATGCATGTAGAACAACTGCATTATAACTACATATGGATAATCATCTAAACAACGTACCTGATATGTTTTTGAGATTAAGATTATTTATTAAGTGATGGACACATTTCCAAAGCAACTACATTCATTTTGTAAAACGTTAAACACCATGGAATAAAAAAAAAATGTCTGTTGCTAGCACATGGTATAAATGAACCCACGATCCACAGATTTTGTTTAAACATGAAGAGGTTCTACTTTGAGCATCTTGAATAGAATAATCACACCCAAAGCAATGGTAGTGCTTCATGAATAGCTTCTCTTTTCCTTTTGGAAAAGGATACTTCCTTCTACATGTATCTGATGGACTGCACCGTTGCTGCATAAATGAATAATAATTTCATAACTTTCATGAGCACTTACGTGTACCCATGTTTTCTCATTAGCTTTTTACAATCTTGATCGTACATGTATCTTATAACTGGCTTACTTATAGTTTCCAACTGACAAACAACTATGCATTCAAATTGAAATGTGTACTTACAGGGACACTGATCCTCCATAAGCCTAAGGGGCAGTCCTCACTCAACTCCATATTACTGGAATTAAGTGCATACCTGATGGGGTTTTCACATATTATTAATACTTTTACAACTTTATTCTTCATGGTGGTCTATCCTATAACATTCAACTCCGCTGAAAGTTCTCCTTGACGAATCAAAAACTTACACGGTGCTTGCCTGACAGCAACAACTTATTATGCATTCCATTTTTAGATATGCAATAATACTTCAGGGATGGAATATATAGTTCATTACAAGAAAATCTGGTAAGATAATATCCCTAATTTGAATTTGAGTATTCAGACCGAGTTATCAAAATGCTCTAAGATTTTAGAGATGGTTAGAAAATTGGCATCCATTAATGAACTGCATTCACCTTGAGACCTTGCATTTAGTGCAATCCTGAAAATCCTCTTACTTTTATCCTATGAGAGGAATAATTCATTTGACAAATGAATTGTTTTGAACAAATTGTTACAGTGTGCCTGAAAGGAAGAGTACATGGTCACTCCTTTAAAAAACAAAACATACTACTTGCCATTAATCACAAATGGACCATTGTCTTACAGAAGAAAACAAATTCTGACAATACATCACAAGAGAGTAATTCTTTTTACATTTTATGCAAATACAATGTACAAACTACCATATCTCACTACCTAGCCACTAGCTTTCTCATTAGAGTCGTGTGTCAATCATAAGAGAAGAGAAGGGCTTGTAAAAACAAAAAGGAAAAAAAATACCCGCTCATGGGTGATCATACGAAACGTGTTACATCTGACATAAGTCCTATATCCGTCTAGTTCATCTAAAATGAAAAATCTCCTGGTATGACAGTGACTGATGGAAGTGATACCAGGGCCCTGTGTTATTAAGACTTGTCAAACTAACTAACTTCTATCTCTTTACTACAGAGAAGTGATTGATTTAAAGTTGAGATCAATTTGAATCGCTCACAACTTTATGTAAGATAGGGCCCAAGAGAATTTAATTTTCATTAATGGATGAGATACATGGATAAAAGACTTTTGTCGTAGGTGATTCATATTACGGCAATGCCCTGAAATGGTATCCCCATAGAAATCAGCTCAATGGCAGGTAAGTAAGATATGAAAAATATTGATGAAGGGTTATGCTATTGATGCAAGGTAATCCTTAACTTCGGCTGGAGCAAGCCTCCTGAATCCTGTCTCATTACATATTCCAATCTCGATGTTGTCCTCATTCATCTGACCTTCGAAGCTTTCCTGTTGATGGGAGAAAGAGAGAGAGAGAGAGAGAGAAAGAGAGAGAGAGAGTGAGAGAGAGGACACATTTAAGCTAATCTGGTATTCTGCTAATATTACATTTTCTGAAGTAAACAGGCTTAAAGTAATTCTGAATTATTTATCTTGCATAAACGGTTTCCTTGCATAATTTGAATATTAGGACAATTAAATTTCACAGATAGGACATACATGACATATTCATAATTCCTGCAAAGTTCTATAGAATTTGATGTTGGCTGCAAAAGGGACATAGTATCTTTAACGAGTACCTAGGATAAATATTATTTGTCCATAAATTGGTCTATCATAGAATAGTCGCCGAAGATAGAATAGTCCGTAATTAATGACCCATGAGAACAACCAAAATGTTTGTATACCTAGATATTTCACTAGATATTTTCCATTTTCAAGCATAACCTTGACACAAATCACATCACATAAATCATTTGATAAATAAATGTTTAAACTGTGAGACATAAAATATCTTTTTTTCATTATTTTCTTTGATAAAAATAAAACCAGGATCTTCTTTCGTTTGGATATGAGTAATGGCATCCTCTTACTTGCAAATTTTATTCGCTCATCGCAATAGCAACTTTCCTCAATATTGAGTTGCCTCAATTTTAGAAATTCTTAGATGTTATTAGTAACAAATGTTTTTATGCAAATTGGATGTTTATATCAATTGTGCTAACACTTTCTTAGATTTTTGCTTTTTCAAACACTATGAGTAAAATTAAGCCTCATAATCTCTGTTGGTAATTCAGGATAAAATATGATGGATCATGGCAAAGACTATATTTTTAGTTGATAGCATCGAGGTCTAGAATAAGTAGAATTTGTTGCTTATCTTACTTTTGTGAAACAAGTTGTCCGCTTTCTGACATCTCCGAAGGTCACGGACAAAGATATGACTGTCATGGGGTTAATTTCATGAAACGACCCCCTGGCTCTTTCTGGATTGCTTTAGTAGTACTAAAATTTCAACACCTACATTTTTCCTTTTTTCTAAACCTGGGCTTATTCATATATCATTCATTCATTCCTTTATTCATTAATTTGCTTAATCAAAAAGATGGTAATCTTTCATACTGAAAGTTGTATGAGAAAATGGCACCATAAAACTCAACAGTAATGTACGTACATAATATAACATTGTTTGTATAAGGAAATGAAAACCCTTTTCCCTTTTTCAAAAACCTCTAGCACTGTGAATTTAGAACGATGGGACCATCAGCCAAAGTAAAAATTTATCTAATTTGAAATAAATCTGGGTCATTGAAGTACGATAAAAGCAGAAAATTCTGTGACATGAAACCTTTGTGCTATGTTGATGATTGCTATATTTCAAGGTACAAAACTTTTGTGAATTGAAAAGATTAAACTTTGTGACTAAATTGAAACATGGCATGAACATTTTTTAAATCTCAACCACTTATAAAATTTGTAAGATGTTTGATACACACATAGTAACTGCTTTTACAGTAGATTCCCTGACCCTTCTGTCTCATTACCTTTGCAATGAATTTCCATTAATAAATTTTAGGTGTCAATTTTTCATTGTTTTTGTATTTTTCAAATTTTTGGTTGCACCTTTGAAGGTTGCATTAAATAATTCAATAGGGATAAAACTTAAAAGGATGTAAACTTTTTTCTGTTTTAGGAGTAAATAAATTTGTGTAAATTCTACTTTTTAATTCAATTAAATATTGCCATTTTTAAATGGAATAATTTTTCACATCAAAGACTTCAAAAATAATTCTATTCACTTTCACATTTGTTGTGACTGAAGTTATGATGGCTCAGTGATAGAGCAGTGGTCTTGAAACTAGGGATTCTCACTTCAGAACTAGCTTGATGCGCTATTATCCTTTGGAAGGCATCAATCCTTAATTACCAAGTCCAGAAGTCCCACAAGTAACACTTACAGCCGTGGGTCCACTGGTTGCTACAACCATATATATGCTCGCTTTCTCAGCAGTAACATAATATAATGGTGTTGTGGACTGTGGATCACAAGGTGCGCGGTTCAAGTCCCACCGCGGCACTAATGTCCTTTGGCAAAACATTGATCTACATTTGCCACTCTCCACCCAGGTGTTAAATGGGTACCCGGTAAGATGCGAAAGCTAATGTGCTTTAGATTATCAAGTGTACGCTTGTAAAAATGACGCCTGGCTGGAATGCTCCCCAGGGAGAGGAGAATGTGCATACATTGTGTGCGGGTAAGCCTGAATCCGATGATCGGGGTAATAATATATATATCTGTAAAGCGCTTTGAGAGAGTTTCGATCCTGAAAAGCGCCTTATAAGAACTGGCTATTATTATTATTATTATAATCAATCAATTACCTTAAGTGTGAGAATTGCTGTGTGGACTGCATCTTCCAGCTCCATATCTTCATTGTAGCGCTTCTCAAGGAATGTCTTTCCACTGACGTGATTCTTGCCCATGGCTGTAGCCTTCCAGGGGAAATACGCCCCTGAGGGATCACACTGGAACAGGTATGGTCTGGCCTCATCCTCGTCCCATCCCGCAACCAGAAGAGACACACCAAATGGACGTACACCACTGTAGAGAAAGAAGAGAGTCAGGTACATAGAAGAGGGCATACCATGATGGGAAGGTTAAGCCACTTTCTGATCTGGGCATGCATTTCAGACATCTAAGGACAAACATTCTGAACCATTTAGTTTGACTCATGAATTAAATAAGAAAATGGGTACTATGATGACCCGAAGCCTGCAAAGGGATTGTAGCACCTTTTCTACCCCATAGTCACAAGTTAAGAATTGAACATGACTGTTAAAAGACAAGAACTCATTACAAGTATTACAAGTTACATACTGTGCAATGGTCTGCCACTAGGTTTTTGTGGTTTCAAGAAGCTATCATGAATTTGAACAGACATGTGAATTAGTCTATTGCTTTGAAGGGATCTGGTAACTTTGTCTCAGATCCTTTTAAAAAATCCTTGATTTAGCTCATGCTGCAATCATAATTATAAACCTTTGGGTCATACATGAATCCCATGAATTTCACAAGCCAATCGCATGTCTGATTATCAAAATATTATCAAGATATTTATGACTGAAAATCGAAATCAAATTTTGCTTTTCCTAACGGTTTTCGTAACACTACAGGGTAAAATAAGTATGGTAAAACCAGTCAATCAAAGATTTTTACCTTTTTGAGGCACTTCATGATCATATTGAAGTGCAATTTTGTTAGGGCTTCAATATTACACCATATCACAGACACAGATAACACATAGGGCCATGCATCTCAGATTTAACATTGTTAAACGATGCCTTTAAACACTATAGCAAGTACCCTTTGATAAGTTCATGCCAAAACAGTAGTGCCACGCCCACTCTCCCCACGATATTCCTTACCCTTTTTGTGTGTATTCCTGCATGACGGATGCCACTCTCTGTACCAGCTGAGATGTGGGGATCTGCTCTTGATACTGCAAGAAGTAATTCTGAGCTAGTTTCCTTGCTTGCCTCACCATCAGTCTGTTTCATAAATACAACATTTGACCATTACAATGATTACATCACTTCTATTCATACAGAGTTACCAGGAGATCTAAGAGAAATTTAGTCTTTTCCCACAAGGTATGTCCAAATTAAACAGTGGTACTTTCATATCAGGGCTTGACATTACTTCTTGGTTGGCTTTTTTGTTGATAGACCAAAAGTAAAAAAAAAAACACTAAAACAACATAACAAAGATAACAACAAATGCAACAAGAGCTTTAATAGAATATTACTTAAGGTAATATTAAATGTTGTGAAATTGACTTTGTTGAACTGCACTTTAATTTTTCTAAGATCTATAAGGAAAGTGTACCTTTGTAATTTTAAAGGGACTTGTTAATATTGTTCACATGAGAGAAAATGGTGCTGAAGTAATGAATTCAATGCTAGATTTAAAGATAATTTGAAAGTTTGTGTGAAAACAGACCATTATTAATGATAAAAATTGAGAAAAAAAATATGATCTGATCGATTCCTGAATTCTCTCAACTATAGTATAATTTAATTACATTTTAGGTGAATGTAAATCATCACAAAGCAATGAATTGGTTCTATACACCATTCCAGACATATACACAAGTGTTGAAAGATTTTTTAAAGCCTGTCTTGTGTTTTTTTTTCATGGAAAAATGGTTGGTAAAATCCAAATATTGGACAGGAGAATTTACTGTCAGAGATTGTCGCACAGTGACGCTTTCAAAGAAAACTATAGATATCTTTGTGGTTTGAGAATTTTTTCAGGATTTTCATATAAAAATTACGCAGTTTCTCCATCAACCTTCAACAATGTAATACCGGTTCACTTTAATATTGAACAAAGGTGACAAATGATTGTTTATATCCAATAATATTATCATTTGTAGCACAGTACCGGTACCACTAAAAATCATAAATATCATTTCCAAGGAATTCCATGAGATAACGTCTATCTGTACAATGCTGCTTCCTACATGTTGGACAAACACAGTTAACCAGAACGTCAATGACGTAGCGCTCATCCGCATCTCGCAACAACAAATATCGTAAATTTTATGTGGTACACTTTTGAACTGGTCAAAAAAAAAAAATTGAATGCCCTGGAAGGGACATAATTTCATTTAGCTGTACAAGATTAAATTGAAACTAAAGGAAATGTAAAAAGAAACTAAAGGAAATGGAATTTTTGTAATTTTTGGAATAAATTTGCATAAATTACCATAATTAATTAATGGAGAACAATTTCTGAATTCTGTGTAGAACTTTAGTGTACCAAAGTTAGCTCTACGATATAAAGCAAACCAAATCAAAATCGGTTGAAATATGAAGGAGAAGAAGCATTTTTTGTGATTTTTAAATTATTTTTGGAATAAATTTGCATTAATTACCATAATTAATCAATGGAGCAAAATCTCAAAATTCTGTGTACAAGTTTAGTGTTCCAAATTTAGCTCTACCAGATAGGGCAAACCAAATCAAAATCGGTCAAGAAATGAGGGAGAAGAAGCAATTTTTGTTATTTTTGGAATAAATTTGCATAAATTAGCATAGATAATGAATTTTACGATTCTGTGTAGAAGTTTTAAATCCCCCTCCTAGCCCTATCATAAGAAACAATCAGAATCAAAGTTGGTTGAAAAATAACGAAGAAGAAGCATTTTGAAAACTGTGAACGGACGGACGGAAGGACGGAAGGACGGACGGACGACGGACGCCACAGCATGGCATAAGCTCATCAGGCCCTTCAGGCCGGATGAGCTAAAAACTGTCATCTCATGTTTAGTCAAACAAATGTGGTGTTCAGACAAGCAAAGTTACAGGCAAAATCAAGAGTGATGTTTAAAAATACAAATCCATGCGGTACAATGTGTCCCTTACGACATACAGGTATGTATTTTTCCATCTATTTCATCCAAAAGTGACATCTCTAGATAGTGCTGTAGCCGAACCGCCAAACCAAACGGAAGTTCGCCGAACATGGCACTTCCGAACCGAGCCGAACAGAACCGAACGCACCGAACGGCAGAAAAATGTACACGTTTTTCGCGAGCTAATAAACTTGTCATTTTGTACCTAATTTTCATGTAATGATTGCTCATTCTATATTTACTTTTTTCCCATTTTCCTCCTTCGTGAGTTATGCCTCTCCAGTGGTGGGCGCGACTTCACTGGTGCCATTTAAATCCCAAATCTTGACCTTTGCCATGTCGCGATCGCAAGCTATAAACAAGAATACATGTGCGTACTAAGCGCTGATCAAAACAATTTCTGCTCAAACCCAATCAATTAAAAAAAATTTTTTAAATGTAACAATATCGGACAAATTTTTCAATGTAGATATATTTTTGTTTTATTATTCAGGAAAATTTGGAATTTTATTATTTACCCTATTGAAAATAAACATTTATAAGAAAAGTAATCAAACCAGCCTGGGCTGCTATCTCTGTGTATTATAATACATCAGTAAATTCAATATGGCAGCTTCCATGACTGGTAACATTAGACAAGAAGCGCCTCAGCAAATAATTAAAAAATATTAATTATTGTCAAATTGAAAACATGATTCTTGTAAAATTGCACTATGAATGTAAGTACTACTTTTCTTTACAAATAGTTACGTTTAAATCAGTTTTTTGTTATGTGAAATTCGTGCCGGTCGGAAGCAGTGTTTTTCATCAGGAGTGGTGGGCAGAAGTCCTTTGTGCTGGTCGGGCGAACCCCTCCAGCCCGCCCAGTGCCGACCACCATAGCTCGTATATCGCTGCTTGCTATTATATTACCGAACCCTGAACCAAACCAAGTTCGGGCAAAAAATTGCCAAACTGCCAAACCGAACCGAACCCGAACATGGCGCTTGACTTACAGCACTACCTTTAGATATGCCCATTGGAAAATGTTACTGAAACATGAAACAACCATTAGGTAAATGATTGTTTACCATTTACCAAATCTCTTAAAGGGATTGGGTAACTTTGTCTCAGATTTTGAAACAAAATCCTGGATTAAGTTCATACTGCAATCATAATAAAGAACCTTTAGGTCAGTCAGGAACCCCAATGACTTTTACAAGCCGATTTCCTGTCTGATTATGAAAATAATTATGATTGCAAATCATAATTTAAAAGTTCGTCTTCCTAACGAATTTCACAACACTGCAGCCTACTGGGGAAATTAGTATGGTAAAACCAGTCACTCAAAGATTTTTACTTTTTTGAGGCACTTCCTGTTCATTTTGAAGCCCAATTTTGTAAGGGCTTCAATATAACAAGATATCACAGACACTGATAACATGTGGGGCCATGCATCTCAGATTTAAGATTGTTGAACGATGCCTTTAATCAAAATATAGAGATTTTCATTTCTGGATGCAATGAATGGATACATATCAGTGTCACATGTTGTATAGGATACATTACATGCCCTTATTCAATAATTGGGGTAACCAAAATGTACTACTAGAGGGATTTTAAACACTAAATTCACACCACACCTGAAGAACCTACCTGTAGTCTGGGCCCATGCCGCTATACACCATACCAAGGTTCTTTGTGATGCCTTCCACCTTGTGGACACTCTGTTCCTCATAGAGGACAGATTTGTGCTTCTTCTCCGTTGCTATGACAACACCATTTGATGCTTTGATGCCCACTGAAGGAGCACCAGCGGCTACAGCATTCAGCGCATATTCAATCTGAACCAGTTTACCTGAAGGGCTAATTGATCAATAGTGAAATGGTTAAAATAGAAAGAAGAACAAATGAGAAATGGTTTAATATAAGAAGCACTGGAATGAGAATGACTAGCATTAGCTCTAGACAAGCTCTTTTGTGGTTGCCCGGTTGTTCTTCTTTGAAGAAGAACTAGTATAGTAATCTGACGATTGTATTGAAATACAATAAGAGATCCATTCATTTGAATAGAAAGAAAGATGACCTTATGCTTGGATGATCTCCTTTTAATATAAAAATACTGTTAATAAGGATCAATATCAAGTTTGTGCATGGGCAGTACTCTACTATCCTAGTACCCATCCTAACAATTTGGCTGATTTGCATTTAAAAACAAAAACACACAAACAAGAAATGTCTCCAGCCTCCACCTTAACCTTTTGGTTTATTTACAGATCTACTAAACAAAAAATAGGAGAGACTTATCCCATTGCTAATGCAATGATTATTTCAAGCAAAATATTATTTATTAATATTTTAAATCACAAATCTATTTTCATTCCTGAGGGGTATTTCACAAAGCCTTTTTTCAATGACAAATGACAAAAATCAGTGACAAATCTGTTGATAACAATCAGAAGGAGGATTTTAGTAGCTTATTAAAACAACTGTCATTTGTCACTGATTTATAATAATAATACATTATATTTATATAGCGCTTATTTCAATGTTCCTAAGCGCTTTACAAAGTTGTACTTAGATAATAATACATTCAATAACTATAATTAATATATACTAATCAATCTACAATTAATTCAAAATACATACATAAGCACATATACATCTAGTCAATACATATAGATACAATAGAATACAATTAATTTTAGGGCGAAACATTACAAAGTCAAATTAAGGCAATTACATTACATCTACCGTGTAAAACACATTAAAGCTACAGACTAACAGGGAGGATTAACAGGGAGAATTAAAAAGAAATGTCTTAAGGGAGGATTTAAAAGAATCTAACGAAGGAGCTTCCCGAATCTCTAGAGGAAGTCTGTTCCAGAGCCTCGGAGCAGCTACGGTGAAGGCACGGTCTCCATATCGTGTTCGAGTTCTTGGACCCGGGGCCAGTTGCAGATGAGCATAGGTGGATGAGAGAAGTCTTATAGAGGTTGTCTGGGTCTTTGGTGAGATTAGTTCTGTGATGTAAATTGGAGCAAGTTCATGTTGGGCTTTGTAAGTTAGGATCAGGATTTTGAAGGTAATGCGTTGAGAGACGGGAAGCCAGTGAAGAGAGCGGAGGACAGGGGTAATGTTATCGTATTTTCTGGAACGGGTTATTAAACGAGCTGCAGCATTCTGAATTCGTTGAAGAGGTAGAACATGAGAGTCTGGTAAGCCGTAAAATAAACTGTTGCAGTAGTCAAGGTGTGATGACACGAATGCGTGGACTAATCGTTCAGTTGCGCTGGCCGTCAGGTACTTTCTTATTTTACCTATCTTTGAGATTCCAAAAGCTGCTGCTCGAGACTTCGAACGTATGTGGTCAGCCATGGTGAGATTCTTATCAAGAATAACACCGAGATCACGAGAGGCCTGAACACATCCGATAGACGTTCCATCGCCAATCTGCAGTACAGGGAGAATCCGAGCACCTCTGAACCTGGAGAATACATGGATGACCTCAGTCTTAGAGTCATTGAGTTGAAGATTGTTCTGTAGTGACCATTCCTTAACATCTGCTATACACTGCTGTAGCTTTTGAAGTCCGACTTCATGTTCCTCGGGTCTGATGACGGCATACAACTGAGTGTCATCTGCATACATGGTATGTAGGATTCCTTGATGGGCATTGATGACTTGCGATAGAGGGCCAGTGTACAGTACAAACGCCAAAGGACCAATGACCGATCCCTGAGGAATACCCTGGGAGAGAGGAAAAGACTTGGAAACAGCATCGTTAACTACGATCTTCTGTCTCCGATTGTTTAGATAGGAGACCAGCCACTGTCGAGCTACATCCTTGATGCCGTAGTCACGTTCGAGGATTTCAATCAAATTCACATGGTCAATGGTATCGAAAGCAGCACTGTAGTCCAGTAGAACCAGATTTGTATTCATTGTGTGCATTTCGTGATCACAGCACTAGCAGGCAAGCGCTAAAACTTCCGAGGCAATTCGACCACAAAATTAGTTTGTATCACAAACACGCAAAAAGACCAGATTAGTTTGGCTTATAATCTAATTTTCATTGGCTGAGTAGATTACCTAGACTATCCCTGATTGAATTTTTGTTGTTGAAATAAATCGTTATTCCAATACAAAATCATGGATAACATCATACATAAATATTTACAACTATCCCTGATAAAAAAAACTCAGCTGGAAATCTTTGTTTTTAGACAAACAGAATTAGAGTCTATGCCAAATTCTTGTAATGGTTTATGGTATTATTAAGCGCATGCACGATACCATAAACCATACGAGAAGTTTGTATAATTTTTGACAGAAAGCTTCAGTTTGAGGTGCAGAGCTATAGCGTGAAGACGCTCCTGAACGACGACGTTGACATCGAAGCCCTAAACGGAGGGTTCCCGATGTCGGATGTGATTCAAAATCAGGTGGAAATTGCAAAATATGATTACGATTAAAATTTGTAAAAAAATGGGCTAGATTCTAAGATTCCTTTGCTAAGAATGGATATGAAACTGCCAAAAAATACAGCTTCCCTTATTACAGCCTCCCTTATTCATCGGCTGGCTGATTCGCTGCTATAAACATTTTCTCATGAGTTGGGCCGCCTATTTGGCATCCACGACATCCATGCATTCTGCACTCCGTGATTACCTCACTCCCGTATGTATGTCGATGATGATGATGAAGAATCCCGTGATGTATTGTAATTTGTATTGACAAGATTGGAAACAAACACAAATCTCAGCATGTGGGACAAAATTGAAAAAAGGGTGACTTGCACTGTTTCTGCTAATACAATCAGAATCATTCTCATCTTGTAAATCAGCCTCAACACCATAAATCAACACTCAATATCTTAAATTAAAATTAAAAATACAATTACCTAAATGTAGTAAGTGAAAAACTGTATTGCTCTGTCATTTTGAAGGGTATTTGTTAGACTTGTTCTTGAGTTTCTACACGCTCCGATCCGCACAATGCACAGAAGTATTAACAGGAAACGTAGAGGGCGGAATAAGTATGGCGACGAGCATGTTGAGAAATATGAGCATTTCTATTCAGAAATTTCTGAATAGATGCAATACCGGTGTAGCAGAGCTTCTGAGGGAAAACGGGTTGATTTTAGGTAAGTAAAACAATCTTATCTTATCATTAGGGAGTCTAAAAGTCTATGTATTAAAATTTTTAGACCTTCGAAATAATGGCTTGTTTGCTGAAGAGTGCGAGTGACTGTGTTACTGTTAGTGTTAACTCGGGGGAGCTCCGGGGAGGGGAACGACTCTGCGCCGCGTCGTACTCCTTAGATATAGATTTGAGTAGATCTAGACTAGAAGAGTCTTGCCTGAAGAAGCAGATCAAGTCATGCATACTTTTATAATTCGAGGACTCAAGGTTTTTTTAATGAATGAATTAATGAGCATGATGAATAATTAATTAATAGGCTTGAGCGAGCTCTTGCATTGCATTAATTTTATCTTGTTGTGACTGCAGTCTATGGCAATAGGCCTTATCGCAAATAGCCTTTGTCGCTGGGTGGCGCCCTTCGCGCAAAGGCCTCTGGGATAGAAAAGGGAGCAAACACGATCTCGGCTTTCGGGAAGCCATACAACGTCACACGTTTTGTATAGTACTACTCGAAGTCGAAGCTATTTTTAATCAAATTTAATGCTCTTTCAGCCGCAGTTTGTAAACAATTTGATACTTGTACCCAGAGTTAAAGAACTAATCTTTGTTTTGTGGTACTTCACTGCAATTATGGCAGACGGAGCTTGTAGGTTTTTACAGTTTTCAGCCACTGAACTCAAGAAGTTTTTGAGGGATAGGCGCGTACCAGTCAATGGTGAAAAGCACGCTGAACTTGCTGAAAAAGCCATTTGGACAGAAAAGCTTGATTGATGATAAAGCTGAGCACTGAGATTTTATAGTGTCAGCAGGAAAAGTTGATACTTGATGATGGAAGATGGGTAGTCCCAGAAATCAACAATATTCATAATTTAAATCTCCATTTCCGAAAATGAATTGGAAGTTTGTTATCTCGTATGAAGCAAATACATGTCCTTAGTTTTTATGATCTGTAAATTTGTTTACATGATACTGATTGCTTTTTATAATGTATACATATGAGAAATAAAGTAAATGTTCAATATAAGACAACTATCTTTCATGGGCTTGTATCTATTCATTTCTACTGTGTATGGACAGTTTTGTAATTTATGGAAGAGATAAAATGAGAGAAAATATCTTGATTACTCAATTGTACTTTTTTGTAAGGGTTAATAGTGACTCCAACATTTAATGAAGCCATCACAATGAGCGACGATTTAAAAAAAAAATGATTCAGATATACTGCTTGTTTAGTAATGAATATAAAGAGGGAAGAGATGTAAGTGTTGAGCTACTATAGAGGAGTGAAGAGACGTTATTGTTGAGAAAAGTATAGAAGAGAGGAGGAAAAGAGGTACTTTTTGAGAAAAGTATAGAGGAGTGAAGAGATGTACGTGTTGAGAAGAGGAGTGAAGAGATGTACTTGTTGAGAAAAGTAGTGAGGAGGAAGAGATATATATTGCCAAGAAAACTTATGGGAATGCCACAGCTCACCCACCCCCCTCATTCACTTTGGCTACAACATTGCTAGCTGCATGGGTATCTTAATGATCATCGTTTACACAACTTTTTATCTCCGAATATTTAATCACATTCTCTTTCACATTTTTATCCTCTATCTCATACATATACTGCTTGTAATGTAGCATTTGTTTCTTTTATTCTTTTTATATTTTGCCAGCTCTTCTTTCGCATTCTTCAGACATTCACCCTTGTGTAATAAATGACTTATTCTCTTATCTTTTTCCATGTCTGCAAATCTCAAGTCTAAATAAAAAGACACACAAAATATTTAGGTTCAATTGCATGTATTTCGCTATGAAAAAAATATTATAGGATTGAGAAAAAAAACGCCTGGTCCACTGGGCGTATAGTTCCGAGGATCTGTGCACTTGTGAAACCTTAGTTGTTAACATGGTTCTTCACAACATATCTGTGGGGAGAAGAAAAAGAAGACACAAATTAGATCAACAATCATCTCAATCATCATGTATACGATTTAAAATTGTCAATTGAACTTATTTTCTCATTTCGTTCAACTAATTTTTGCAGAAAACTTCCCCTATTCCGAATTCCAGACAAAAATGTTGATGATTGATTTCAATGTATTGATAAGGCAATTTTCTTTCAAAAAAGGAAAATCACAGGGGCAATCAAATAAATTAAACCAGGTTACCAGGTAGATGAAAAGCATTAAGAATGACAAGGTCGGCTTTAGCGCCTGTTGTTGGCAACAACGCCGTAGCTGTCTCGACACGATTCCCTTCGCCACTCGCTCGTAACACTGTTTCGATTAGATTTAGAGGCATGCAGTGCCTCCCACTTTGTCATCACAAAACTCGAAAGTAAAACATCAGAATCATTCTTATCTTTCTGGATATCTTCGGTTATTGTTGCATCCATAAACAGCACATCTGTCTCCACCACCCATCATGTAGAATCAATGTAATCGGTGAGTTTGCAAGACAAAATATCACGAGATGTTTGATCGGTATAGGAGCTGAAAGTAGAATAAGCAAACGTTCGATGTACGTAGTATAGTACGTACGTGTGTACTATACACAGAGTGCGTCGGCTGCTAACGTTTCGCATCGTCGCGATCAGACGTTTGCGGCGCTCTTGCTCCCTTTTCAATCCCATCGTCCCTTGCGTGAGGCTATTTGCGATAAGGCCTATACTCCAGTAGTAGGGTCTACTCGCTCAAAGTCCAAGTCAAACTCAAACAAATGAAATCAATTTAACTCACCAATGCAATTAAACTCACCTACGCGATGTGGGGAAAAAATACGGTGCTAGAAGAGCTACCAAGTATCACGCATTAGGCGTGACATCACGCATTTCGAGGGTCTGAAAATGCTCTTACGCAAGACGCACGCGCTAGATTTTGAATAAACGCTATATACCTTATAAGTGTGTTATACGAATCATGAAAATGTCACGCATTGCCGATCTTTGAACTTGGATTCTCTGCGCTAGTGTAGTTCCGTATCCATTTTTTTTTAGCAGTTTAATATCCATTCTTAGCAAAGGAATTTTAGCCCAATTTTTAACTAATTTGAATCATATAAATCATATATTGATTTTTCCACCTGAATTTGGATCACATTCGACATCGGGAAACCTTCCTTTAGGGCTTCGATGTCGACGTCGTCGCTCATTACCGTCTCTACGCTGTAGTCCTGCACCTCAAACTGAAGCTATCAGTATCAGTACAAAATTATGCAGACTTCTCGTATGGTTTATGGTATCGCGCATACGAGAAGTCTGCATAATTTTGGACTGATAGCTTCAAAGGGGGAGGGAGGTACATTAGCATTCATTTTAACATTATTAAAATGCTTTCTTTTTATATTCTCCAGAGCCAGCCCTCACAATTCCAGCCTTGAGAGGTACAGAGTCCCAGAATGAAAGAAGAGACCTGAGAAATAGCCCTAACTCAATAAAAGAGATGTTCGATGGCTTCCTTTGGGCCGTTCCAAAACACAGACGCAGCATTGAACGCAACAGAGGTAGAAGGAGAGCGACAGATAAAAGAGTTTCATACAATGAGTCACTGGTGCCTTGTGAGACGTGTGGCAATCTCAGACAATTTGGGTACCTTTGTGGGTAAGAAACAGCTCAGATCTTTATCTTGACCCTTTGGAAATGATTATATTTTCATCCAGTATACACTTCCAGTGTTTAACCCTTGAAGGCAGTTTCAATTGCCCCAAATTTGAACTGGCATATCGTCTTGTCAGACAGAAAGGGCAATTTTTGTTTGTGGAATTTAAACTGGTATGGGTTCATTACCTTTGAACAAAAATAAAGAGAAAGCACAGATTGTGGTTGACAATTTGTCGCAAGAAATTTGTTAAAAAAGTTACACATGTTTGGTATTGGCCATACAAGATTGAAGAGTAATCATCAAGTATTAATTGACTGTAGGGTTGATGTGTTGTATTTTTATGCCTCCGTTACAAAGTAGCCGGAGGCATTATGTTTTCGGGTTGTCCATCCGTCCCTACGTACGTCCAGTTCTCCTGATCGCGTTATCTCAAGAACCGATTGATGGATTCCTGCCAAACTTTGGTCACGAATGTATCTTGCAAAGCTAATGAACTGATTAGATTTTGGGGGTCACGAGGTCAAAGGTCACAGGGCTCATTATGTATGCAAAACAGCTTGTGATCGCGTTATCTCAAGAACCGATGTGGGTTCTTGCCAAACTTTGGTCATGCATGTTACTTGCAGAGCCGATGAACTGATTAGATTTTGGGGTCATGAGATCAAGGTCAAAGGTCACAGGGTTCATTATGTATGCAAAAATAGCTTGTGATCGCATTATCATTAGAACAGATAGATGGATTCCTGCCAAACTTAGATCATGTATGTATCTTGCAGAGCCAATGAACTGAGTAGATTCTTGGGTAATGAGGTCAAAGGTCATGGGCTCATTATATATGCAAAAACAGCTTGTGATGGCGTGATCTCAAGAACCGATTGATGGATTCCTGCCAAACTTTGGTCATGTATGTTACTAGCAGAGCCGATGAACTGATTAGATTTTGGGGGTCACGAGGTCAAAGGTCACAGGGCTCATTATGTATGCAAAACAGCTTGTGATCGCGTTATCTCAAGAACCGATGTGGGTTCCTGCCAAACTTTGGTCATGCATGTTACTTGCAGAGCCGATGAACTGATTAGATTTTGGGGTCATGAGATCAAGGTCAAAGGTCACAGGGTTCATTATGTATGCAAAAATAGCTTGTGATCGCATTATCATTAGAACAGATAGATGGATTCCTGCCAAACTTAGATCATGTATGTATCTTGCAGAGCCAATGAACTGAGTAGATTCTTGGGTAATGAGGTCAAAGGTCATGGGCTCATTATATATGCAAAAACAGCTTGTGATGGCGTGATCTCAAGAACCGATTGATGGATTCCTGCCAAACTTTGGTCATGTATGTTACTAGCAGAGCCGATGAACTGATTAGATTTTGGGGTCATGAGGTCAAGGTCAAAAGTCACAGGGCTCATTATGTATGCAAAAATAGCTTGTGATTGCATTATGATTAGAACCGATTGATGGATTCCTGCCAAACTTAGATCATGTATGTATCTTGCAGAGCCAATGAACTGAGTAGATTCTTGGGTCATGAGGTCAAAGGTCAAAGGTCATGGGCTCATTGTGTATGCAAAAATAGCTTGTGAACGCATTCTCATTAGAACTGACAGATGGATTACTATTTAATTTAGGACATATTGCAGAGCCAATGAACTGAGTAGATTTTATGGTCATGAGGTCAAAGATCAAAGGGTCATATTTGTGTACGAGAAATTGCTTGTAATCACGATATTCTGAGAACCTGTTAATGGATTACAATTGAACTTGAATTTGAAAAAAAAATTCTGTTTTGGTTTGTAAAATTGCTCTTTGACAGAGGCATCATTTTCGACTGCGCGCAGTCAAAGTTCCATCTAGCTCTAATTGATATAACCTTTTTTCTTTTCTTTAAAACATAAAGTTTAGTAAAGGAGAATTGTTGAAGGCAGTGTTTTAAAGACATTCTGAGTGTGAATTTACGGTACTGCCATGATATTCTTCCACGTGAGAATCAATAGAATGAGTAAGCATACATACTTTTTTCTTCACCTTTACCAGGATTTTTTCTTTTCTCTTAATCATTTTATTTTGATAAGCACAATATTTTCTATTTTTATCATTTTGCATCTGTAGGCATTGTCTGGTGAAGATCAGAGAGGAGACAAAACAGATTCAAGAGGAAATGTTTGGAGAACTAGACAAAGAGGGAGTGCTCCCAGACAAGGAAAATGTAGTCTTGTACAAAGGAGAGACTCTTAGTGAGGCTGATAGAAGGGACAAACACCCAGTAGAAATCAAGAAAAAGAGACCAGCATGGTTTAGCAAAGACCTTGTGCAAGATTGGAGGAAATGGTAGCCTCAGCTCATTAACCATTTATGCCATACATAATGATGGTCTGTGGGATTCGTGCATTCTGTGCAAAATTGCATCAATGGCACAGGAGGAGTTCATCAATCAAAGTCGGCTAGAATCTTCCAGGATGCTGGCGGTAGATGTATCTATGGTAATGGGATGTATGTAAACAATAATTGTATCTTTGGCAACATGATTTTCTTTGATAACAGCAAGTCGATATACATTTTTAAATGTGCATCCATCAATCAAAATGAAATGCTAATGCCATAGAGTTTAGTCATCCCTTTCACAGGGACTACACTACTACTGTGATGTATCATGTCCACAATTTCCTGTAAGGCAGCTGTATGTATTGTCTTGTCCAAGGACCCAAATACTGGGCTGAGAATCAAGATCATGATCTAGATTATGGCGGTACGACCATTGTGCTAATTCTACACATAAGTTTCAGACCGTTACATTATTGGTGAATTTAAGGGGGGAGGGGCATAACCTTTTAATATCTAATTTGGTATACATGTAACATAATTAAAACAAATATATACACAAAATTAAAAAATGCCTCGTTGTGTGCACCTTACAATTTTTTGCCTACTTGCTTGACAGATTTATCAAAATCCTGCACCCCCCTATTTTTTTTCTAATTAAAATCCCGAGATACACATGTCCTTTGTTATATAATTATCTGCCATCACCAATAAGCTGTCTGCTCCAAGATCCATCAAATTCTCTCCTTCCCCATAATGTTGTTTTCACATTGCATTTCAATAATGTGTTTCAAATGTAAACTGTTCTGTTACTGTTCATACAAAATGATCTCATGCAAAGAACGAAAGATAATGGACAAGCAGTTGATTAGTTATGATGATACACTTCCAATTTGCCACAAGTACATTATTTTGGTATTAAAATTATTTGACCATTTGTAAGAGAAACATTTTTGTAAGCCATGATTTGTCTTCCTCTGATGTGATGAATAGCTTTGTGCATATTCCTTGCTTGTTTTCCATATTCTCAAAAAAAAAAGTAGCAAGAGGCATTATATTATGTTTTGGGGTTGTCATATGTCCCGTTTTTGTGATTGCTTTATCTCAAGAACTGATTGGTGGATTCCCGCCAAACTTTGGTCATGTATGTATCTTGCAGAGCCAATGAACTGATTAGATTTTGGGGACACAAGGTCAAAGGTCACAGGGCTTCTTACGTATGCAAAAACACCTCCTGATCACACTATCATTAGAACCGATGGACAGATTACCATCAAACCCAAGACATGTATGTATCTTGCAGAGCCAATTAACTTATTAGATTTTAGGGTTATGAGGTCAAAGGTGAAAAGTGGTGGGGCTCATTATGTATGCAAAAGTAGCTTGTGAATGCAAACTCACATGTTCATGTATGAATCTTGCAGAGCCAATGAACTGATTAGATTTTTGGGTCATGAGGTCACAGGTCATGGGGCTCATTAGGCCAAGTAAAAAAATATACATGTTTAACTTCCCTGCCCGCTTCCTTTTTGGGGGCTGCCTCCTATTTTTTTTTTTTCCGATGAATTACAACATGAAAAACATACTGCTAAAATGATCTATTTCTGATTTTAAAAAAATAAATAAAGAAATACCGGCGGCCATCTTGAAAAAAAGCCAGACTGTCCGGAAAAATGTACCGAGCGGCCATTTTGAAGAAGAAAAAAAGGGCCTCCTCCTTCCTTTTTTTCAAAAAAACAGGACGCTAAACATGTTTTGTTTTTTATTTTACCTTATGTATGCCTATAAATAGTTTGTGAACTGATGGATTACTATCAAACTCAGGATATGTATTTATTTTGCAGAGCCATGTATCTATGAAAAATAGCTTGTAATCACGTAATTTTGAGAACATGTCATGGATTACAATCAAACTTTGATTTTAAAAAATGCTTCCCTTTTGTGTTGTAAAATCACTCTATGGCAAAGGAATCATTTGTATTTGTATACATGTACATATACTGTACAATAAAATTGTGTCATCATTTCTGGAATGTTTTTATTTCCCAGACACTATTTTTGGTTCTATCAATCATTTGAAACATCCTTATTTCAAGAGTTAAGACGTCACACCTACTTTTCATTTATTCTCCGATATTGTTTTCTGAATTTATTTCAACAATCTCACTAGAGCGTGTTGATTTTTCTGATGCATCAGATTTGCAAATAATTGTATTTTTATTTATTTAAAAGAAAGGGCGTGAGGGGAATATAACTGAAGATACATAAACATTAAAAGAGAGATAGGGAGAGTTTTTGCGTGTGTGTGTGTGTGTGAGAGAGAGATAGAGAGAGAGCGAGAGAGAGAGAGAATGTGGGGGAGGGGGGGGGGTGCAAAATCAGAAGTGCTGTAAAAGGAAAAGAAAAAAAGAAAGAAAAATAATGTAAATGAGACAAAGATGCGAGAAGATGAGGCAGTGCATAGTAAAAAAAAATATTTAAAAAAACCCTTACATCGCACCACTACATACAAGCATTAAGAAGCGGCCACCTTTCATACTCTGTAAGTACAAAATCTTACAGAAAGGCTAATTACGCTCATGAATATTTGCATTGAGATAATCATCGGCAGGAAAATCGAGGCTAATCTCTAACTCTCATCATAGGAATATCTACAAAAGACACAATCATCATCTGCTTATATCCAGGTCAGTCACAGGTATCGGCAAGTGCCAGTGGAGTAAATCGATGCTTCGTTCGACGGGCGAAAGATGAACTCTCTTTCTTGCTCTTTCACGCCCACGCAGTTTCATTTTCCAATCGCTTCATTGAAAAGGGATGGGAGAGTGTTTGGTGTAATTTGCTATGGCGGATCTAAACATCGAGTGTCCTGACAGACAGAAGTGGAGAGGAGGAGAAAGGGGAGAGATGTTATGATAGAATGAATAAATGGTGATTTGCAAATTGAAAGGGTATGTTTGTTTAATACCTACTTTCCGTATGAAATGGACTGTGATCTCTTAGTTTTTTTAAATTAATATGTGCTGTTTTCACCGTGTACATTTACTTGGCATTATATTAAGTAAAACAAGAAACGCTGAATTTATTTCAATATGATTGCAAAAATAGAATATTCATAAATATTTTTGTTTTAATGGCCCAGTCCTATGTTTTCATTGTACGCATAATGAATAAAAGCGTTCTGCTAACCACCGAAGGCATGACGTCAGCAAAATGAGAGGTTCAAGTGACGCAGTTCGTTATCCATTCTGCATCTACTATCCTCTATCCTCATCTACTGAAGATGGTTTCCATGGTACTGACGTCACAATAAACTTTCTGTTCCAGTTGTATATGTGTGTGCGACGACACACTCTGACCTTTCCTTGATTCCCCGCCTCTTTGAACAAAATCTCGTGTTCGATGTTTTGGGTGAAAATGCCTGCGATAATGGCCCGGACCGATGTAGCAGAGTGGTCGTCGTCCCTCGGAATTAAGCCTCCTTAATAATTTGGTAAAAGAAAGTTTATAAGGGGGTCTGGGGAGAATGCGAGATAAATGTAAAAACATCAATTATTTCTAGCAAATCACTGCATCTAAGACTTGAATAACCGCTTATCTCACTCGACGACCTAGAATATAATCTACTGCCTCCCCCTCCCTTGAACGCATATAGTTCAGATAGCCATTATGATAACTATAAATACAAATCGTGCGTTTAATTTGGTGATAGTATGAGAGGACCCAGAGTAATTTATTGTTTACATTACTGTTTTATACACAATAGGCATGTCGATGGGCCTATGAAGAAGGCTACTAGTGGCGTTGCTACTCCATATGACACGGTTGTTGTATATTTCCATTGAATGTCCATCTTTCTTCTTATTTTTTCGGGGGGGGGGGGGTGTGGGGTAATTGTATAATTGTTTGTGTTATTTCCCGCCTTGTACTGTTCTGTGTATTCATGAAATTACTTGGGTATGCTTTTTTTAAAGTGCTTTCTTTTGTTATGTTCAATTATGAATATGTGACAATAAATCCAAAGAGAGAGAGAGAGAGAGAAAGTGTGTAATGGGAGGGGCATATTGGAAACTTTTTGATAAATCTTTTCAGCAAATTCGAAAATACAAGGAACTTTCTTCTTCTTCCTCCACTTCATCTTCTCGTTAATCGTCACCTTCTTTTTTCTTCTCAAGTTCTTCCTCGTCATTATCTTCTTCTTTTTCCTCCTCTTTCTTTTCTTCTTCTTCAGCATCTTCTTTTTCTAATTCCTGTTGTCCTTTTTTCCCTTCTTCTTTTGCCAATTGCCAATGTTTCTCTGACACCCCTAATCATGATAACTGGCTATAATCATTATTACAAAGCTCATCATGTTCCATGAGGACACAACCTATAATTACATCGGTATCAATCCTCTTCAGGAAGCGTGTCATTAGAATGAACATAATCCTCTCCTGCGGGGTTTCATATACCCCGGAAAGGAACCTGGATTCTGCGTGTCAAATGATGTGCATGGAAATTGGCTTTGAAGTAGAACGAAGGTGAGGGGATGTAGGTTTGGAACAACGCGACAGGTGGAATAATGAGAGAGAGAGAGAGAGAGAGAGAGAGAGAGAGAGAGAGAGAGAGAGAGAGAGAGAGAATAAGTGGGAGAGGGAGAATGAGAGAAATAGAGAGGGAGAGAGAGAGAGAGAAAGAGAAAATGAAGGAGAAAGAGAGAGAGAGAGGGGGGGGGGGATTGCCAATTGGAGGGGTCTTTATACATTCATATAATTTGTAATTTACAACAACTTGTTAAAGCTAGGACAATAAGAAAATAGAAACAAATACAATTAAGGAGAAAGAGCTTTATTTAGAGAGAATTTGCATTAGAAGGAGAACGATCATTGTCTGAGTCCGGATTTGAAAATTACATTCAATATTACAATCATTACCGCAATGGGTGTATTCGTACCATTGTGGCTCGCATTACTAACGAGGAAGCAAAACATGATAGTTTTGATTTGGTAAATTAATTCCGCTGGGTTTATCTCACATTTTTATTCTATAAAAAGCCCTGATCCAATTTCTTCTCTTCAGATCACTATCTCATTGGAGATAACTCAACAATCATTGAAAACGAACAATATTAGCAAACGAACATAATTTAATAAGAAACACAACTGTTAAGAAAAACTTTCATATCGAGTAAAAATATAGGAGGCCCGATGTTCAGTAGTAGAGTACTGTGGTCTTGTAACGGGGAGGTCCTGGGTTCGAAACCAATCCGATGTGTTAGGCATGAATCCTCATTACTAATTTCCGAGGACCGTGGTTGCTTACTTATAAGCATATACATGATGTATTAGCAATCAGGTCAATTAAGAAAAGCATCAACTTTATCGTTTTCAAGACAGACAACTTTATAATTATAAAAAAAACTATAAATGGAAACGCAGTCGGTTTTAGGCCCGGATTTTAGGATTATCATTTCAAAATTCAAAGGTCAAACAGTCAAGCGGAGGGATGGAACTAAACATTCATACATTTTGCATGTTGATATTGATAGTACGTGCATTTCACAGTCATGAACATCCCTTTCCAGTGTTCAATTTTGATATTTCACTTTCACTTTTATTGTTCAATGGAAATTTACTTTGCTCACATTTCACCCATATACATTTGCACCAAACTAAACTACTGAAATTTAGTTTGGGGTTCTTTTTGTTCTGGTCTTAACTTCAAAAGGAGTGTTTTCATGCGCATACTGACTCAAACCTAAGTTGAAAACAGCATTGTTATCTTATTTGATTCTTCTAATTCATGAAACAAAATCTAATCTTATTTTAGCACAGATTATGCCCGTAGTAACATTTAAAGTCAAGTTTAAAGGCAACATATACTCTTCTTTAGATGTTGTTTTGTTTGCTTTTGTTTTAATAACAATGGCCACTTACAAAGCGCTCATCCGTAACGCAGTAACTTGTTACCTCATAACAAGTTTAGAAACTCAAGTTTGATCGATAGTAATAATATAGACAAAAAAGAAAAGACCTCTCAATAGTCACTTTCTAGTTTACATAATGATACAGTTCGATTATGATTTTTTTTTACAGCAGCCAAAATATGCCAAAAAATGAACTATTAATTATCAGTTTCTATTTTCAAACGTGAATTGCTTCGGTTGATGAGTCATTGAGCAGACGACACAAAATTCAAAAATTGAGCCCATGTCAATACTAAAGGTGACGTCGCGTTCGTCTGGTAAATATAAGGGATGTACACACTGATATGCCAGTGCACATGCAGTCGCAAATTAGTGCGCGTTCTCCAATTCATTGGCAATCAGTCAGGCTCGTTGCCCTTTCTGCGGGTGCGGCATGCATCAGATGACGCTTAATCATACGTTGATGGACATCAGCCAATGGATGCTTGGGTGACTTGGGTCTTCACATGGGCTGTCAAAGCCACGCTTTTCATTACCCGTCTTTTGTCCATAGCTAGGCATGGAAGGAATTAAGTATATACACTTTATTTAATTGGTTAAATTTGATGACGACGATGTGACTCAACTCAACATTGAAGTGGAATTTGATGTCGAACAAACTAGTGTGACGAATGGTTTATCCAGACCGGTCGGGCTACTACCTGTTTGATTAGCGTATATTCCTAACTTTGATGGGGAAATATTTGTCGTTCTACTATTGTTGTTCTTCCACACATAAAAAGAACAAGAGATGCCCACAAAATCATGGCCAACAATTCAACTTGGTCACCGACCCAATGGATGCAAACTTCCCTCCAAACGATGTCGCGTTCCTCCTCGTCCTCACCATCAATGACAGCACCGACCACCATGGAAGAAGGCTCGACAGGCGCTATGACATCGTCCGCTATCGTCCAGGTCACCCTCATGTCCATCATCCTCGCTATCGCTCTCGTCGGCAACATCTGCCTCATCCTCATCATCATAACCGACGTGCGCCTCCGGACAGTCCACAACAAGATGGTCATCAACCTGGCCGCCTGTGGTCTCTTCACCGTGGTCGCTAACGGACCCTTTATCATCTCGACCCTCGCCAAAGAGGAATGGATTTATGGCGATGTTTGGTGCCAGTTTAACGGGTTCACGACGTCGGTTTACGGCTTGGCCGTGGTCCTGACTTTGGCAATGATCTCCATTAATCGCTATCAGGTCATTAGACCATTCACACCGCGACGAACTCCATGGATCACTGAGAAAAGAATAATTTTTGCAATCACAGGTAAATCAATTTATCCTCCTTAATTTACTCTCTTTACTTCATCTTCCATGTGTTCTTTCTAATATACGCATCTTTGCATCCATCTGTCTGTTTCATTGTACGCTATCATTGATACCACTGAACTACATTTTATTTACTTAATTATCTTCCTAAAAGTAAATCTCCGCATTCTAAAGTTTGCCTATTTGCTCATTAGTTTTGTCGATACTCAGCATTATCGTGGTAACAGAGGACGTTTCCCGTAACCATGCTAATATCGCTTGTTTATGTTTCACCCAAAATAATAATTTTGTCATTATAATTATGTTGTGTCTTCTATTAAGCAATATTTCAGGAAAATAAAATTCAATAGTCAAATAAGGCCTATATAATTATATTTGTCGAAAAAAAACAACTTCTTTTTCATGTTACTATACCCGATGATGATCGGCAAAAAGGCGAATTCTATTAAAGCTCAACAAACATGAACGATGAATATCTAGCTTTCATTTCATTTCCTCATCCATCAAAGTATCTGTGTAGACAATATCTATTTGACTTTCATGAGATGCAATACCGGTACATGCTTTTTCGAAGATGTGTTTGGAAATGTTTCTATTGTTGATGTAAGCACAGAATCAGCACTTCTATAGGAAGAAAAAAGGAGATTTTAAACAAATTAGTACATCAAGGTAAAAAAAAACACGTACAAGCATGAAAATAATGTTGATGCTTTTCTCTCTCTCTTTCTTCATGATTAAGAGAAGAAAATTGTAAAAACCAGATGAAATCTGAATCATGACAAAGAAGAGTTGCCCGACGACAGCGACGAGATTGATGAATGTCAAGTTATAAACTCGATTAGATTCGTTTTGATTTAATTGGATAACAGAGCTTGAATCGGGGTGAAGTCTCAAAAAGTAGTTTATTGTGTTTATGATGCAATACGAATAAAGAATGGGTGGTAGAGAAGAGATTTTTAAAAGGGTGGAAATGGAGTATATGCAGACGGAGAGAGAGACAGAGAGAGAGAGAGGGGGGGGGGGTGGGAGAGAGCGATTGAAAGAACTGAAAAGAAATAGAGAGAAGGAGCCTAATTGCATTTCTTGAAATAATAATCGGACGAGACAAGGGAGAGGTGCACTGCCTTCTGCAGCTTCGCCAAATGAGCCAAATGTCAAAGATGTTCAAAAGTTTTCCTACTATTTGTACACACTAATACGACAAAGTAAATTTCCTAATTCAAAGTACATTTTCTCAATTCAATTGATTTCTTTCGGGCCTTCCAAATGGAAAGGGTGTGTGCCGTCTCCGATTTATTTAGAGTACAGACAGAGTGGGGGAGGAGAGAGTGAAGAGAGTAAGAAAGAGGGATGGAAATATTGAGAGAATAGATGAAGGGGAGAAGGGAGAGAGTTAAGATATAGGAGAGAGAGAGAGAGAGAGAGAGAGAAAGGGAAAAGATAAGAGGATTAAAGAGGGGAGAGAAGGATATAAAGAGAGAAAGAGACAGATAGACATAGTCACAGAGACAGACAGAGAAAGAGAGAGAGAGAGAGAGAGAAACGGGCAGAAAGAATGACCGAGACAGAAAGAAAAATTAATTCAGAAAAAAAAGGAAAAATATTTAATAGAATACAATTCAAATACGTTAATATTGCTACATGTACTATGACAGGATACTTGCAATATTCATAAAATTCGTTTTCACGTACATTCGAAATAGTTATACATCGAACGGGATTAAATTCCTTTCCCAGGTACGACCGATTTTCTATCCATTGCATGAATCAGCATGGGGGGGGGGGGGCCTCAAATCCTTCTGGGATTAATCTTAATCTCACCTGTGACATGACTCGATAAGGAGTGTACGAGCAACCGTCGATTCTGTACTTGAACCTTTCTAATTCTCTAAAAGGATGTCTTGTCTAGTAAGTGCGGCTTAGATTTGTACTTTAATATTTTGTTATCAAAGGTAGTTTTGGATTTTTGTGAGATGGGAGTGTATGCGATTGGTGTGTAGGGTGGAGCTGTAAAGGTTAGTAGTGGAGAGGTTAATGAACACCCTTAATGGACTATTTAGTCATGTTTTTCTGATTTTCGATCGAAATTAACCGCCTTCTTGTCTAATTAATAGTGGATTTTTTTCTTTTTTTCTGAGAGGTAGGGCGTGTGTGAGAGTGGAATAGAAGGAGATATAAATCCACATTATAAGACACATAATATTCAGTTTTAAACTTTTTTCTACCAGGAATTTTATGACGGATTCATTATAAGTGTAACTTTGCCATTCTGAGAGATCGAGAGTGTGTGAGGGGGTGGGGATTGTTGGTTAAAGGGAAATAACTGACTTTTTTAAATATATACGACGAATACTTTCGATTTTTAACATGTCCTTTTTTTGGATTATCTACCGAAATTGATGTATTTTTTGTCATTTCTGAAATGCATACAACTAAAACTTATTCTTGGTTGATCAATATAATATAGTTTTGCTGCAAGGAATAACAAATTTGTTTAAAAACCGTTTTATTATTTCCAAGTCTAAAACATGGTGGTAATGTATTAAACAAATCGAACTAAATTGATGACTGAAGCAATCAGAAGCATCCATTGTTTGACTCCTATGCAGGAAGCAAAGTTTAAACCCTTATGTCAACCACGTTACGCGGACACTGCCATCGTTGAATATCACTTTTTTTGTTACAATTCAAATCAAGACTACATATTCCGCTTAGTCAATATACTTTATGAGTGCACGAATTACATGCCGTTGCTATGGATTCCCGTCTGTTTCTGTGCAACAGCTTTAATGCAGATTATTGGCAGAGCTCTTGAAATTCGACTGAGTAAAATTCACATAAAATTGTATCCTTCACTTAAAGAGAAGGTTTAGTTCTAGAAAAGTGACAAATATAATATTTCGTGTGTTTTTTTTTGTTAATCGATTTGAAAGGACGAATTTGAAACCCCAGAAAAACTTTTGTTTGTAATTAGGTACACGACATGGGTTTAATTGAATCTTCTTCTAACGAATCTCTGGACTTTATGATAAAGTAAAACAGAAACTGAAGGCTTAGAATGTCAGGATGACAGAAATGAGGAGACGTAACAAAACTCGTCGATTGTAACAGTTCAATAGATCAATTTGATTCGTAGGGTACACTATAGACGTTTGAATTAACCTTTTGAACATCATGCGACAAATGAACAATATTATAATAACAGAATACTCCACATGATAGAAATAATGATAGTTCATGCACCCCTGTTCTAAAACTCAAAGAGGATTGTTGACAGTAACATTTTCTATTGTTTCTCTGGCAATCCGGGCTGGAAAAAGAGAAAAGATAAAACAGTTATCTGAGGAATCGCAGGTGACATGTTGTGACTGATCGACTGTAACAGTGGTCTGTATTCCATCAATTAATGAGGAGCACAGTCTCTTTGTTCCGTGACAGCCAATTGCTGACTTATCAGGATATTGGATTAGCATTTAATGAAAATTGGTTCGACTTTGGGGAAGATTTCATTTCGTTGTCATCATGCTTTCGGGGAATAAGCTGGCGAGCAAGTGGCGCTCGAATAATGCTTCAACGCGGAGCGGGGGATTAATCGCAAAAGTGAATACAGAAAAAGTCTGGTGTTGAGAAAGGAAAGAAATGTTTAGGGAACAATGATCGGGCATTTTTTACTGATCACTTTCGTACATGTTTACCTGATGGTTACTGGTGCTAATTAGTGTAAGCTTGTATGGGGGGGGGGGGGGGGGGGGGGCTCGCACCTGACAAGACTAAACCTTACGATAAGAACAGGTGTCTTTTGAGATATATGGATGATTATTCATGAAAAGCAAGTCATTCACTTTGTCCCATGACTTAGCGCCTTTTCCAGTTTCACCATAATCTACATGCATATATGTATATATGTATATATATATATATATGTATATATATATATATATATATATATATATATATATATATATATATATATATATATATATATATATAAAGAGAGAAAGAGAGAGAGAGAGAAAGAGAGAGAGAGAGAGAGAGAGAGAGAGGGAGAGAGAAAGAGAAAGAGAGAGAGAGAGAGAGAGAGAGCTACCTGTACGTTCCATTTTTCCTAATTTTTATTTCTCACAATTTTATGTAAATGTATATTATTTCCATACAATATTCTAATGATACAATGTATAATGTTGACTTCGATCAGATCATTCCGTCATACTTTGTTTATTATATTACTTGACGAGTGTCATAGAATGAGATAATAGAACGAGATATGGAAATGACATAAACGTCAAATTCATAAGCCAGTTTCACACTATACTCGTTTTATTCCATTGATTAATAAGTTTTAAGTGGTCCTCGATTTGGATGATTCCGTTCTACGTTCTTATTTTAAGGGATTTTTAAACTTTATATCGACGCCATAAGGCGTGTTGCTGAGTCGGAAGATTTGTCGCTAGGGAAAGAGAGGATAAATATGGCAGATAGAAAACTATAAAACCCTCTAAAAGAAAACTCTAAATATGAAGAACGAGGCCAAATGTGTAGTGATCTTTTGAGTCATGAGATTCACGAATCCCTTGCAGTCTTACTCTCGGCCTACTCAAACAGCGGATGTGAACTTCAATATAAACCAAATGATTCAAATCCCATTTTAAAGTAGGATTTCTGATTTGTTTTTGGATGTTTGGCACGCAATGCAAATTACTTGCAGATTTGATGTGGGTAGGTATCATAATAACAAATCGACTAAGAGACGAGCGTTCTTGACTGAACATGTAACTCATCTTTCTCGGGTCATGATGCATATGGCTGGTCATCTGGTATTAATGAGATTAGTTCATTGGAAAGTCTGTTCCTAATTAGTCCATAGCTATTTTGATACACTAGTATCGTAACTATAGGTGCATCGTAAGAAAAAATATTATATGGTCATGATGATTTGATTCTAAAATAAAGATCATAGAATTAAGAACTTTAGAATTTATATATTATTTGCACGTGATTGTCAACACGGTGCTATATAAAGATCACATGTATATCAAAGCAAAATTGACTTAATTTTCGTTAAAGAAGAAGAATCCTATATATTCTGTAACTTTGTATACTAGGACAGAAACTCCTTTTTCTTTTATGCGATCAACAACAAAAAATTCTCGAAAGTAACGTCTATTTTCTTCCAGTCATTTCCCACAATATCACAGTTTACAAAACACTACAAATGTACAAAGTGCGTTTATATTATGAACTTATTGAAAAGAAATGTACAAAAACATACTGTTTTTAACAAAGCCTATTTAGTGTATCAATTGTGACGCATGTGGACAAGTGAGAAAATTAAAAAAGGAAAGAGGCAGTGATAAAGAGAAAGAGATAGAGGCAGAGAGAGAGAGAGAGAGAGAGAGAGAGAGAGAGAGAGGGAGAGAGAGGTTAGGATGCTAAAAACTATACAAAGAGGCAACTTGTTCTTAAATAGTATCCCACTCAAACAGACAAATACGACAAAGAAGAAGAAGAAGAAGAAGAAGAAGAAGAAGAAATAAACTTGAATTACCAAGATCGATTGGAGTCGGTTTGAACGTGTATATAGTGTGAGTGTTTGTAAGCGTTTGAATTCGTTGAGCTCAGGGGGCAATTGTAGATGGAATTAATCAATCAATTACGATGTATTAATAAATTCTCATTGAAAGATGGGAAATGCAATTCAAGTACCACTATTTCCTTTCGTCACGGACCACAAGATAGGCTGGTAGTAAGTATTAATCAGACACTGTGGACTATATCATTCATTCCGTCAAATGAATAACATCCTATCTGTACATCTATTAATATAACATCTAGTGGCGTAATACACGCTCCGAGTAGTGGGGGTGGGAGGGGGAGGGGGTGTACATAATGTGACTATTTACTTTCAAGATAAAATGTTCACTTCTATGAGAGTAAAGTTGATCTCGTCAACATTTTCTACAACTGATTTATTAAAAAAATATTGGTGCCTTGATAAATGGGGGAGGGGGAGGGGGAGTGGGGTTGTACAGTCACCCTTCCCTTAAAGGTGGCGAGGGGATGTTTACCCTATCCCCGGGATTTACGCCCAAGTATCCATCGAATGAACGGTGATTTCAACCCCGAGGCTCGTGCTTTTGAAAGAGATCTGCGTCATTTTCTCAGACACTCATTGAAATGCAATATCTGTCGGAAAGTACCATCTTCCTGTGTTGAAAGTACACTTCACGAAAGCATGGAAATTATTGCGTCGTGTAATATCGTATAATATCGTATAATAGAGTAAGCCACGTTCATATATGACTTTGTGAACCACGTCAAAAATAATAAGAATGATAAGAATAATAAAAATGATGATAAAATGATATGTACCATCTTCTTGTGTTGAAAGTGCACTTCACGAAAGCATGGAAATCATTACATCGTGTAATCTCGTATAATATCGTATAATAGAGTAAGCCACGTTCACATATGACTTTGTGAACCACGTCAAAATAATAAGAATGATAAGAATAATAAGAATAATAAGAATGATGATAAAATGATATGACAATTGAAAATAAAGAAGATGAGTGAAGAAAAAACAGCAAGAACAAAAGTCAATTAACAAAACGGGGATGGCGGCAAATGAAACTTCCTTTTTTTTTGTTGCTTGTATCAAATAAATAAAGTATAAGAGGGAGAAATGTAAAGGGCACTATTACAATATGTACTATGTTTGTATGCCATTTTTAGGCGGTTTTAAGCGGCCATGTGTGATGGGCCTTTATTTCAGTTGTTACGATAGCATTACATCATCTTGGATGTTAATCATTTCTTGAAATGCTATAAAACAGTATAGCGTCGAAGACCTTATATTGATTGGGTTCTCATTTAGTTCTGTAATTGACTGTCTATTGATTAATGTTCTAAAATTCGCCTATTAATATAGATTGAACGTTAGATGAGTGCACCCATCCTCTCCCTGCCCCTCTCCCTCTCTCCCTCTCTCACTCTGCTTCTTTCTTCCTTTCTCTGTCTCTCTGCTTATCTATCTCTCTGCTTCTCTCTCCGTCTCTCCCTCTCTCTTAGGTTCTCTTCCTCTCTCTCTCTCTCTCTCTGCTTCTCTCTCTCTATCTTCTCTAACCACATTTCATTTTCTATTCATGTTTTTCCCTCATTTCTTCTCTCATTAACTTAAGTAACTCTATACACAACTCTACAGAGGTTGTAAACGCTCAGAGTCGTGTCTGAATTAGTAGGTATCGTGACATGGTGAGGTGAATTTATAATCTAAAGCTAAAATCGTCTTCCCAATTTGCAGCTGTCATCATTCTTCATAGAGAGCGGAATGAGGACGTGAGATTTAAAATGTATGATAGAACATGCGGTTTAATTAGTCAACGGATATCCACCGACATTTATTTCCAAAGTAGCAAAGCGTTTGCAAGGCTTATGTGCTGAGAATAAATTGGATAAGTTTAGACAAAAGAGAAAAAATGGCGATGCGAAATCAATTTAATTTAATAAATCAAGGGGCACAGGAAGCGTGTTCTCCTGCAAACCAAAAGTATACATACAAATTATATTATGAGCAAAAGACTTCTTGAGCCCCCTCCGGAACAATCTTTGTTAGATACTGTTGGACTTGTGCTCCCATCACAGCGATCTTTGCTGGAGATGGTTGGAGTTGTGCCCCTTCCCCAGTAAGCTTTAGTAAAGATTGTTGGACTTGTGCTCCAACCACAGTCAACGTTATTAGAGATTGTCAAACTTGTGCCCCCGCCCTAGCAATTTTTTTTGTTGGAAATTGTCGGTCGGACTTGCGCCCCCTCCCCAGCAATCTTTGTTGGAGATTGTCATATTTGTGCTCCCGCCCCAGGAATCTTTGTTGGACATCGTTGGAGTTGTGGCTGTTCCCCAGTAATCTTTGTTGGATATTGTCAGATTCGTGCCCTCTTTCTAACAATTTTTGTTGGAAAATGTCGGACTTTTGCCTCCTCCCACCAATCACAATGTAGAAAATTGTCGGACTTGTGCCCCCTTCCCAACAATCTCTGTTGGAGATTTTTCGGACCTGCGCCCTCAGCCCCCTCCCAATATCTGCAAGAGAATAATATGCCAATGGTTTTCGATGCAGACTTCACGAGTAAGATAATGATGGCAATCGTCTGTGACGTCACAATTTATCACGACTTGGGTTTTTACCTACCAATTTTATTTAATACGCACATTTAAATGAACTTCTGAAGCATCACCTTTACGTATTGGTGCATCTCTTATGCATCTATTGGGTCCTATAGAAGGCATAACATGATGTAAAATGGGTAGCAATTATTTTCAATGGGTGTGCATGTCCAATCAGTGAAAATCATGATTTTTTTTCCCCCAAGTATCAAATAAGAGTCTGTGCCTGCAGACTAGTGAAACCCATCAACGTGCATGTAGCCAATCAATTATAAAGGAGATGCTAATTAATGTAATGCTTTTCGACCTCGAATAATAGTCGATAGAGCGTTAAATTCTCTTCTCCTTGACATATCATTATCGTTAGTTGTATATAATCCATAAATAATTCCGCCATAAATTCGAAAATTGATCCGGAGCTTCAAGCCTGGTCGTAGAAATGAGCTGGATCACAATAAAGCACCAATTAATATTTTGACATCATTCAGTTTCATGATCCCTAATTCCGCCATAAATTTGTCATCCCTATAGTTGGATTAGAATGAAATACCAATTAACATTTTGATAAAGAAATGAGGCAATTATACCCCTTTTTCTTTGAAGTCAGGTGATTTGAGAGGATAAGGTCAAGGATTTACATAATTGCTATGGGCCTAAAATACTACATGGCAAGATCGGATTATAATCTTCATTTTGTCAATGAGGCCGAGATAAAAACGATTAGAGCAGGATTGTCAATGTGAGTGAGTGCATCCACCAAACTCCCCGCGAAGAAAATAGCCCAACTGCACCGAGATCCAAATAAGGAGGGAAGTCAAACCATCTTTTCGAAACATTTTTAAACGAATACTTAAAATTTGTCAATTTACCAAGGAAAGAAAGATTATACCACAAACATTCAAAATAGGGAGGGGATGTCAAAAACTTTTCTCAAACAAAAATCAATAATTAAAAAGAGTATTAACTTTGTAAATGTAAATATATACTGTATAAACGTGAAAGTGATGTAGACCACACCCCACACTACCTAAATAACCTTCAACTTTTGATAATACACTTTCAACTAAGCATCATATCCATTAGAGACCGGGCTTATCAAAAAAGGTCTGTCATCAATCAAATAACGCGTTATGAAATAGCCTATCATAACCATCTTTCATCTGCTTACCCAGCCTCCAACCTAACCTGGGATAGCTCATTCGCTTATGTGCAAATCTGATATCACCCTCGCATAGATAAACATCATGATGCATGCGGATCTACCCTTGGAGAATGTTTATGATAATGGATGATTGTTTAATGATTTGGGGAGAAACAAAGTCTTCATAAAATAAATACAGTGCAAAAATAGTCTTGACTAATTAGTCAATATTGCCTATGATAAGGAAAAATATTGGCGTTGATAATATGACCAACAAAAACGTATGCTGACAAAATACGAGTGACCTGCAACTCGTATACCCCTGACCGTACTTTTCAGTAGGCCTGTATGGTTCCCAACAATAATATTTATCATGTTTATTTTATGCTGGTCTTAACAAGTAGGTGATTGCTATGATAACTATTATCATACTATTTGATCAAACACAGAAATATGGTGATAGGACGCCCTTGCACCCATTATTGGCTTTTTTCGTTAATTAGTATTTTATCTAGATGTCAAGACTGGCGTACCCCCCCCCCTCCCCCTCTGGTTAGACCTGCTATATGCCTCTGTACCCAGTTTACAGCTGAGAATAGTGCAGACGATTCAGGTTCAGTGCATTATTATCGCTAGCATAGCTGGTTGAGAGAAGTAGTTACATCATCGAAAGTTGCTCTTTCTTGGTCAGTCATTTCATCAGGCCTTAAATAGTTCCCTACCATGTAGACATCGTATACATTGTATTTTAGTTCCATGATTGAACCTGCGGTCGCGTACGCATGTCACACTGACTGTCCATCTCAATACGCTATGATCGTTAGTGCTAAATGGCACAGGTGAACCTGTCATCAAGCCCGATCAGTTCAGGAAACCAATCATTATCTCAAAGATTGCCCGTTTTTGTCTTCGTTATTTAAACCACGGACCTGTTATCTAGTTCATTCATGGTTTAGCGGGAGCCCACGAAACGCTCTCGATCATGCTGGTTCTGATGACATTAAGTCTGTAAGTGACTAAACTTTAAAAGATGTGATATCGATTCTATTTTGATTCTTTAAAATATTATTATCTTCAACAAAAAATTACTCTTGTTCATAATATTTTAGGCAGAGCGCGCCGTCATCTATTTTATAAAGCAAGGGATGCTTAAAAATGAGCGATGTGTGGTCCATAATTATGGATGTCAATTATTTCGTTAAAAAAGTGTGATCTTCGAGCATCCCCCCCCCCCTCCCCCTAACGGACATAAACATAGGTACATGACCAGCGATCCTTATATTGATACAATTTAATTGGTCTCAATTCTGGTATAATTATATTATTCATATATTTATTAATCCATTTTGTGACGAAAACTTGTTCTCATCTGTTCAGCATCTCAATAATCTAATTTGAACCACCAACATCCATCATCTACAGAGGAGTAAAACCCGATTTGAACTTTGCATTTTACGGGGTCATTATGAAGTTAAATCTTCATCACTTTTGCTCCTATTTTATCACTATTTTTTTTTCTGGATTGCGTGATGATTGAAACATCTGTCAGAAGTTCGTGTCTCTGAGGAAGTCGATCTTAAGTTCCTAACCATCTTATATTCATGTGAACTTCCGATTTTAAAAAAGTTCCCCTTTTAGGGTCCTTTCTATATTCTCTCTCTACACTAACTCAGTCATCACATTGTTGTTATAAATATCCCTGCACTTTTTGACTGGCCCCTCCAATAAACCACGTAACGTACAGTCACGCGCGTACAGCCAGTACAAATTAAAAGGGGCATCGTAAAAGTTGATAGGATTAATTTTGAACTCGATTATAAAGTTGAAGACTTGACTCACGCAATGTTCTTTTGTAAATCATCAATCAGAACGGCGGGGGGGGGGGGGGGGGGAGGGGGGCCTTTATATTTTCCCTCGTTGTTTCGTTTACAAAATAACATTACTGGATGCCATTGTTGATAACAATGTGATTCTATTTGAGGCAAAGAATAAGGGGGAAAATCATGATGAGAGACAATTGAATGAAGTGAATTACTAGAATTCTTATTGTCTGGAGCCGTGTATTGTCCGATGTGATAGAGCGAGCTATCTCAAGTTCAATCAGGAATGGATTTTTGTTTGGCTTGAGAAAAAACTCGGTCGAATCCAATACAGTATCAGTAATTCCAGGCACCTCGTCACATAAAATACACTAAAACTTAAAGGTGCCAAGCCTATAACTACAAGCAAAACATATTTATAAACCCTGTTTTAATACAGCTAAAACCGAGCAAATAGTTTACAAGTTAGGAAATAAATAAAATCTCTATGTTTCGTAAAATTGTTTTCCCATAGAAATCCCGCCAGTCTTCCAATTGTCCACAGGTCCAAGAGGGTGGGGTATCCCCGTAGTATCATTTTTTCCAATGTTGTTTCTCTCAAAGGGCGTTTCCACCTCTCTCCACTTTTGGATCCACATAGGATATACAATCAGACGTAGGACATGGGCCAATCTTCTTGCAATAGATAAACACCTCTGACATCTACATGCCCGTGACCTTTCCTCAATGTTCACTCTTCGGTGACGATAGGGGGACTTTAATAACATACCATAGCAGGTGCTGCAGTCGAATAATATCTTTAAAAAAAAAACGAATACTAGTGAGTGAAATCGAAACTGTATAGAATCTGATCTCATATAGATAGAAATAAAAATGAGCTAGACAAGCTTTGTTGATGTAACAAAATGAACAAGTTTTAGTATCATATCCAGTCTATCATAAATTTCATTTTCGTGCTATATTAGATTGAAATAATTGTGAAGTTTGATTAACAACGATGGATTCAGTTCTGTAACTTACTGTATAATAGTTTTCTAATTGATTGATTGTTTAAACATTTCAGGTACGTTCTGTCGTTGATTACTGATAATTGACCAGCTCTTAACAAATATTAAATAGATATATCATTTTGCTGCCCGTGTGCTAAATCACATTGCACATAAAGTGCAGCATGAGTGAACAGCTACCATTCTTTGAAAAAGTTATATGTATGCCATCCCCTGTCTAAAACAATTAAAAACAAATTCTTCAATAGGTCTTGAGCAATATTGATGTAGCAATCGTTGAAACAAAATTTGAGGAAAGTAATCAATTCAATTCAAATAACTTTATTTCCATAACTCAATCAAAAATGTATCACCTTGTAGTTATGGATGGGGTCAGGCGCGTACGCAGGGGGTGGTTTTGGGGTTAAACCCCCCCCCCCTCGATTTTTTTTTTATGTGTATGTTTTATGTATGTTTTCTTTGGAAACCCCCCCCTTTTGATTTTAAAACCCCCCTTGAAAAAAATCCTGCGTAAGCCACTGGATGGGGTATATGGAGACCTAATGCTACACGGTG